GCTATAGCTAGGCTATTGAAGTACTGTTTTGTTATTTTTCTTACGAGACAATCCAGCTTATGTTGAGTGAGTGAGTGAGTTGGGTTTAACGCCGCTTTTAACAATATTCCAGTTATATCACGGCGTGTCAGCTTAATGTGGGAGGAAAGCCCGAAGTGATGCCGGTCTCAGACGTTTACCACTTCGGTGAAACCCACGAGCACGGGTATGGTGCTGACAAACCTAGAAACATAATCGGGGCGAACCGGGATTCGAACCCACAATCATAGGTGTCTTGCGTGCCAAAGAGACGCAACTCTGCACAGCGAATCACGGCGCCCTAGACGACTGGGCCACCCGTGGCCCCAGCTTATGTTGAACTTTTCAATCTGCGTGGAGGTTCGGTGTACAGAATACGATGATGTGATATAAACTAGTTGACTAATTCAGAAATCAAAGATTTAGGAAACTGAGACCCTTTGGTCAAATAGAAATCCCGTCGGATCGAGGCTGTCTTTAAGAATATTACTTGCAGTAGCTGACAACTGTGTCATATAACAAATTGAGTGAGAGAGTGGGTAGTGAGTGAGTATGGTTTTACGCCGCTATATCCAGCAATGTCACGACGGGGGACACCAAAATTAGCTTCACGCATTCTACCAATGAAGGGAATTGAACCCGGGTTTCCGGCGTGACGAGCCAACGCTTTAACCGCTAGGCCAACCCTGCGCCCTTTAGAGGGAGTAAAGTTGATGGGCTTCACACAGAACCCCATGTCGGGAATCAAACCCGAGCCTTCAGCGTGACGAGTGAACGCTTTATCCAGTGTGCTACCCTATTGTCTTTCCCATAACAAAATAGTAGAGATTTCTAACATATTTGAAAGTTATAGCATCATAATTATAGTGGATTTTCAAAAGAATATTTGTCTTTGTGTGACTTTAAATCACAATTCAAACGAAACGAAAATAGAAGAGACACTGTCATAAACGTTCCCTCATAAATCATTGTAATAAGAATCGTGGAGAGATGTGTGAGTGGGGTCCGCCCACAGGCAAGTGGCTGTCACATAAAACTATTCATTATTTAACATATTTATATGGATTTGTTTCAAGCTTTTTGTTCAAATGTTTCTCATTGTTTTATGAATCCGGGGTGCGTCCGACACACAGTCAGAATGTGGCTTGTCTTAACATCCAATCTGTCATCTACAAGAATGTGTAACAAAACAAAACGAGGAAATACCACCACAAAGATAGATATAACATAGATGTTCGTTATATGAGTTAGGATGTTCTACTGTGATGACATAGCACCAGGTGCGATATCGGTTAACATGTCCTGGCAAACCGAATACACCAGGTGTTCGCAACATGACATTGTGCAAGCAGATCCTACGCTTAAGATGACACCAGGTGTTCGCGATAAGGGTCAACAAGCTCTGCATTGATGGGGACACCAGGTGTTCGCGATAAGGGTTAACAAACTCTGCACTGATGGGGACACCAGGTGTTCGCGATAAGGGTTAACAAGGTCTGCACTGATGGGGACACCAGGTGTTCGCGATAAGGGTTAACAAGCTCTGCATTGATGGGGACACCAGGTGTTCGCGATAAGGGTTAACAAGCTCTGCACTGATGGGGACACCAGGCGTTCGCAATATGGATTAACATGTTCTTCCCTAGTGGTGACACCGGGTGTTCGCAATGTGGGAAAGCAGACCCTGCCCTTATTAGGACACCAGGTGTTCGTGACACTGGTCTGGGTGCCGTAGTTCAAAGCGATCTTAGCGCTAAGGTGATCGGAACTCCCACCCTTTCACATAGATTTACGACAGTCGTAGCGCCTAGGTTGGTATTCTGATGATGACACCAGGTGTTAGCGACGTAGGTGAGCACAGGTTACCTAACTTATTACATCCATCAGGAAGACCCATGTACATGTACCCCTTCATAACATCCGAAACTGCATGGTGAGGTGAGGTGGGGTGAGGTGAGATGAAATGGGGTTTAACGTCGCGTCCAAGATTATTGGACTTATATAGCGACGTGCATGCACGTGTGTGTGTGTGTGTGTGTGTGTGTGTGTGTGTGTGTGTGTGTGTACTAGTCCGGACTGATTCCCGACCAGTCCTTGTTTTATCCCCTTAATGCCGAGCGCCAGACAGGGTAACAACAAGTACCCAACAACGTCTTTTGGTATGACGCGGTCGGGGATCGAACCCAGGACCGCCCCGGGCGGACGCTCTACCACTAGACCACGGAGGCGGTCCTAAACTGCATGGCAAAAGAAAGTACATGTATACCAAAAAATAAAACAAACATGAAATGGTTATTCGAAGGTTATATATTTGATTCGATGATCGTGTCGTGTTTTGAACCTTAAGTTTGCAGCGTTTCGGCGACTGTTATCAGCCGAGTGACGTTTTGATAAAAAAATCTTTTCTTTTTTTTTCAAATCCAATTTTCAAGTGTATGCTTTTCATGCAGTTAACATGCTCTTTAATAATCGTAATGTGCATCCTCTCATCCCACCACCGGTGCAGAGAAATAAAACAAGACAATTTTGGATTGACTCACAAACATGTTTAACTTACCGCGCCTGTTACAAAGTAGTAATCTACGTCATAATATCTTACAGTGCATTGATATATGAAATCCAGTACGGTCAATGATAATTTAATAGGTGTATAACATATTATACTGCAATGTTACTTGTTCATTTACCAAGTTCCATTTAAAATTCCGATGACAAAAGAATAGTGGATTCTTCAGATCATTAAGTCCGGCCAGAGACAGAAATGGAGAATAGGTCCGTGTTGCCAATGATTCTCTGACACTCGCATTGTACCACGAGACATAGATGTAAGTCATTCTAGATCTAATCCCACAAGTCGTCAGGGAAACAAACGACAGGGTAATGAATTGGTAGCCAGGCAACATACACTTAAATATAAAGACATTAGCTATGACATGAGGAATTTGTAGGTATCAATCCTTTGGCGACATAGCTTACGTTTTCAAACAAATTCAATCAAAGAAAATGAGGTTTGCAAATTCTCAAAGACCCAAAAAACTTGTATTCATAAAGGACGTGACAATGGTTCCGTCTATATTTCAAATCTCGACATATCTCTTTTCCATAATCGGGTTCTGTTTAATTTTAAATTTTAAGTTCGGAAAATTTAGAAAAACGCAACACCATCGATGAAACATTCAAGTGGCACATTTTATATGGAGACGCCCCAAGGTATAATATTCACCGCATATACACTGTAGCCTGGGCGTGTAGCGTCAGTTATGAAGCTCCTGTGCTATATTCACAAGCTGACACATATATTACACCTCTACTTTGTATCCGCCTTAAATAACCAGAGTGTATTTACATAACGGTGCATGATGAAAAGCAAATGTAAGGTCTCCTATGAATGATATCCTCACTTACAGTTATGCGAAAAGCCGACCGATTTCTGAGACACACATTTAGGTGGGAACAACTAGATCGGTATGCATGTTACACATACTGAGTGGTGAGGGGGATATTGGTTATTGTGGAGGAGAATATAGGGTCACAGTACGTCAATGTCAATGGGGGAATGCTTTGAAGACTTACGTTTAGTGTCCGACGTTTTGACGAGAGGGCATAGAAGGAGTGTGAGTGAGTGAGTTGGGTTTAACGCCGCTTTTAACAGTTTTACAGTTATATCACGGCGTGTCAGCTTAATGTGGGAGGAAAGCCCGAAGTGATGCCGGTCTCAGACGTTTACCACTTCGGTGAAACCCACGAGCACGGGTATGGTGCTGACAAACCTAGAAACATAATCGGGGCGAACCGGGATTCGAACCCACAATCATAGGTTTCTGGCGTGCCCAAGGGACGCAACTCTGCACAGCGAATCGCGGCGCCTTAGACGACTGGGCCACCCGTGCCCCCCCCCCGCGAAGGAACTAAATGCGTTGTGTCGTTACCCGGAACATTTATTTGTTACTGACAGCGACATACACATGTAGGTCAATGGCAAACAGGAGAATCTAATACTTATATACCTTTTTTACAGACAGTATATGGAAACATTTAAGTTAATGATTTTGCCATTAAAATTTGCTGATTGTTTGTGAGAATCACATATTGAGGATTTGAAAATCAACACTTTTTTTTTTTTATTGTTATTTTTATTCTTAGCGACTGATCAGTGAAGTGAGGTGAAATTGGGTTTAACGTCGCGTCCAAGATTATTGCGCTTATATGGCGACGCGCATGCACGTATGTGAGCGTGGCTCCTTGTACTGTCGGTACTGATGCCGATTTATAGTGCTAGCACACTGAGATACCATGCTGCAGTTTAACATGAATACCCTACTCAGACACAGTAAAACTATACTGACTCCGAGCCGACCAGTCCTTGTTTTAGCCCCTTACGTGGTAACAGCAAGTACCATCTTTTAACGTCTTTTGGTATGACGCGGCCGGGGATCGAATACATGACCTTCCGCTCTCCGGGCGGACGCTCTAACACTAGATCCCGGAGGCGGTCGATCAAGTGAAGTACATCATATATAGTGATGTGATAAACAGCACTCGCATGTCCCGATATTTCCTCACAAAATTTATATTATAGTACGATTACTTTCATTTCACACACACACACACACACACACACACACACACACACACACACACACACACACACACACTATATGCCATTCGACAATGCTTCTTGTTGATTAATAACACTTTCAAATACAACCAAGATATAGAAAAGCTTAAACAATAGGGAGTTCAATCATCAACATTGGCCATTCCTGTGCACGTACATATTCGGATACAGTCGCAATCGTATAATGGTCTCTGCTTTCAGAAGAGATGTCTTATGATTATTGAAATGTGTTTTGTCGTTTTATATGATGTATATAATATGTACAAATTGTATATAAACTTCAAAAGTTTGCCCACCATGTGTGTCTTGAGTGAAAGAGTTGTGATCATCGAATGACTCAATGTTTCATCGTCTTCTTTTCCAGGATGCTGTGCAGCTGCTCTGCCCGACAGGTGAGAGATTCAGTTGTTGCTTTATGAAGTGTTGTGTACTGACCACTCCTGGACAGTTTGTTTGTTTATTTGTTTGTTTGTTGTTTAACGCCGCACTCAGCAATATTCCAGCTATATGACGGCGGTCTGTAAATAATCGAGTCTGGACCAGACAATCCAGTGATTGACATCATGAGCATCAATCCACGCAATTAGGATACGATGACAAGCATCAACCAAGTCAGCGAGCCTGACCACCCGATCCCGTTAGTTGTCTCTTTCGACAAGCATAGTCGCCTTTTACGGCAAGCATGATTTGCTGAAGACCTATTCTAACCCGAATCTTCACGGGTCGCACTTTCCTAGACAGTGAGTGAATGGTTTGTATATCTGTATCAAGAAATGTACGTGACATAAAGCCTGGACCAGACAAACCAGGGGCTAATAGCATGAGCACCTATCGCCTCCGTCGTGATACAACGACGCACAAAGGAGACAGGAAGCAATTTTGTCTGCATGTCTAATTGGATAACGGAATGAATTTATTGGCTTTACTTTGAAATGTAGGAAACAAATGAAACAAAGATGGCTTACCGGTGTGTTTTTTTAAAAAGCATTTCAGAGTGACAATGTGATAAATATGAATGAGCGAACGAATGATAAGGAATGAATAAATGAATGAGTGGATGCATAAATAGATGGTTAGAAAATGTGAGTCCATTATATGTTCAAACTGAGCGATAGCCGCGAGGAATTCCAGCCTACCCAGGGGATTCCTACGCGTGAATAAATAACACTTTTTTGTGGATAACAGTACTCCACTGTGATTTAATCATATCAACAAACACAAATGGACATCAACACTTTGCGCTTCTACAGTATTCACCCGTACATGATGAGGTGAAATTGGGTTTAACGTCGCGTCCAAGATTATTGCACTTATATAGCGACGTGCATGCACGTGTATGTGTGTGTGGCTGCTTGTACAAGTCCGGACTGATGCCGATTTATAGTGCTAGCTCACTGAGATACCATGCCGCAGTTTAACATGAATACCCCACTCAGACACAGTATACTGACTCCGAGCCGACCAGTCCTTGTTTTATCCCCTTAATGCCGAGCGCCAGACAGGGTAACAACAAGTACAATCTTTTAACGTCTTTTTGTATGACGCGGCCCGGGATTGAACCCTGGACCTTCCGCTCTCCGGGCGGACGCTCTACCACTAGACCACGGAGGCGGTCCGTACATGATGAAGGGATAAGAAGTAGGTCTGAAACGTCGTTACAAAGAAGTTGTAAAAAAATGTCATGTTTTTATAATCTTCAAACTTCTATCAATGCCTATTCAAAGACGTGAGCAATTCTTGAGCAGCTTTAGTACCCATGGTACATTCCCCAGCTGTCATACCTGGAAGAAAATTGTGAAAGATGCCATTAAAGCGAATGATCTTGAAACCTGGAGAAAACGCATAAACTCTGATCCAGACCTAATGCATTTTAAACAAATTCATCCGGTTATCTCCCCTCACAAAGCATGGGAAATTGCTAGAAGAAACCCAGATCTGAAACAAGCTGCAACCTTCGTGATCCACTTGTGCGCAGTCTGGAGACCTGGGAAAGTCCAGGGAGTGTGTGACATGTGTATGTTTGCCCACCAGGACTTGCTCGTCCATGTTGTGTGTATATGTCCACAGACAGAGCAACTCAGAGACAGTTTGTGGTGTAGCATAGTCGACACTTGTCCAGTGGAAGTCAGCGTGGCTCTTCATAACAAGCAGGAAATTGAGTTAGTTTGCTGTCTCCTAGCATGTACGCCCCCGATCCCAGCAAGTCCAGAGATGGTAGAGAACTTTGCAAAAGCTGCAGTCATAGGTCTCTTCCAATTGAAGAAATATATAGACCTTGTGAAGAAACATTATATGTTCTGACATGTGAGCAGGGATAGACTTAACATAAAAATGCCTGTTTTCGTACACTTGTAAATACTGTATTTATATGTTTGTAACTCTCCTATGGAGGAATAAAGAATATATATATATAGGTGCTCATAATATTAACCCCTGGTTTGTCTGGTCCAGGCTTTATGCCACGTACATTTCTTGATACAGATATACAAACCATTCACTCAGTGTATAGGAATGAACCCGTAAAGATCCGGGTAGAATAGGTCTTCAGCAACCCAGACATGCCGTGAAAGGCGACTATGCTTGTCGTAAGAGGCGACTAACGGGATCGGGTGGCCAGGCTCGCTGACTTGGTTGATGCATGTCATCGTATTCCATTTGCGTGGATCGATGCTCATGATGTCAATCACTGGATTGTCTGGTCCAGACTTAATCATTTACAGACCGCTGTCATATAGCTGGAATATTGCTGAGTGCGGCGTTAAACAACAAACAAACAAACAAAGCTTTCACTGCTGCATATGTCTGTTTGTTTTGCAGGGTGGACGTTATATCGATCTGAGTGTTACAAGGTATATAACTACACGCGATCATGGACAGGTGCACTCAAAGTTTGTCAGACGTAAGTGCTGCAGTACATCATGTTTCTTTAATAAGTGGCATATAAGTAGTTCTCCGATGTCGGGACATACGTTGTGACATGTAGATACATGTCAATTGTAAGTGATCGTTTAACATTAATTTAATATCATAAATGAGGCATGACGTTAACATGTCAATAGATCACATTTTAAAAAAACATCTTTTGTGACTTTAATGGCATCAAACTTTCGCTGGATCACAAAAAACAGAGCTAAGTACATTAAGTGTTGATTATATTGGGCCACTGTTTCTTACACTGTCATTAATATGACGCAATTGTACTTCATCTAAAAATAGGAAATTACTGACTTTTACATACACGAGCTCCTAGTATTTATAAAAAATATACTTTGAAGGCTCGGTATGTTCATTAGGCTTCTCTTCAAGTGGAAACGACATTAAAGTAAAGAGGAGCGGTCGGGTAGCCTATAGTGGTTAAAGCGTTCGCTCGTCACGCCGAAGACCCGGCCGGGTTCGATTCCCGACATGGGTACAATGTGTGAAGCCCACTTCTGGTGTCCCCCGCCGTGATATTGCTGGAAAATCGCTAAAAGCGGCGTAAAACTTATATTGACTTTTCAGAACTGATGAATCTATGTACTTCAGTTATAAAACTCCTGTTTGTATAGTGTCTGAAACGGGACGAAAAGTGACTTATAGCATGCTTACTTTTCTTTATTTTGACGTAGGTATGGGTCAGATCTTGTGAAAATCCGTGATGTCTACAAAAACAATGACCTTGGTCAAGCTGCTCAAGACAAGGGGATTGCCAACTATTGGATAGGTGAGCTACACAGACTGATACTGTCTCTTGAAAACCAATGGCGCGCAAGTATTTGGTCGCATAGAGGGTACAACACCTGTTCACTCTCCTGCGCGATGAGGTAAGATGAAAATGGTTTCGTTTGCGAAATGTTTATATGATGTTCTATCGTGGATGGAGACAAGGTCAAAGTAGCCGCCCCTCAGATGAAGCGTGGATGATATTCTGGACCAGACAAACATGTGACTGGTGTTATCAGCAACGTCCGACGCCCTCGGGGTAACATGACACGCACTCAAGCAGTTAACCGAGTCTGACCTCTGATCTATATGCAACTGGGGCGGTCGGGTAGCCTAGTGGTTAAAGCGTTCGCTCGTCACGCCGAAGACCCGGGTTCGATTCCCGACATGGGTACAATGTGTGAAGCCCATTTCTGGTGTCCCCCGCCGTGATATTGCTGGAATATTGCTAAAAGCGGCGTAAAACCATACTCACTCACTCCATATGCAACTAGGGGCCTATTTTACCCCGAGTGTGCCATGATTACATACCAGTTGGCTAGCAGCCAGTTATCGCCATTATTTGTGTGTTATATCTGAAATGTTCTGTGTATAAAGTTGACTGTACCAGTAACTTTGATTCTTATGAAAAAATAAGCAAAATGAATACGCATATTTCTGTCCGTGAAAAAAAATTGAGTCGTTTTTTTTTATATAACCTGACGAGAGTAGGAATCAAAACCGTGGAAATAGAACCTTCCCGTTGTTTAAATGCAAGGGCGGAGCCAGCAGTTTTTAAATGGAGGGGTCCAAAATATAAAAATCCTTTTTCAATGTGTGCGCTCGCAACTACAACTTTACAACATACTACGTTTGGTTTTCAAAAGGGAGGGGATGGGGATGGGTGCGGAGCCAGAGTCAGAGCCACACCATTTGATTTAAAACTGCTTAGTCCCTCCATTTAAACTGAAAAGGAGCCCCAGTGAGATAGGAGATTCAGAACCTGAACCTGCGGAAAATCTAGACTTGCTTCATTTAGGTCTGGCATTACAGTTGGGACTGGCTTGAAGGAATAATAGTATGGTTGGTTGGTTTGTTGTTTAACGCCGCACTCAGCAGTATTCCAGCTATATGACATCAGTCTGTAAATAAACCAGTCTGGACCAGACAATCCAGTGATTAATATCATGAGCATCGATCCACGCAACTGGGATACGATGACATGCATCAACCAGGTCAGTGAGCCAGACCGCCCGATCCCGTTAGTCGCCTCTTACGACAAGCATGGGTTACTGAAGACCTGTTCTCTTCCCGGATCTTCAGGGGTCTACTTATTAAAAAATTCCCTGCTACATAAAAGTAAACATTTCTGTAGCAGTGTACTATTTTAAGAATTCACTGCTACAGAAATGTCTACTTTTATTTAGATCACCAGGGTTAAGATGGACAGTGGGAAGGCAGGAATTTCAATTTTTAACAGCTTGTAGCATTAAATGATTACTTGCAGGTCTACATAGGTAATTTGGGGCGGTTGGGTAGCCTAGTGGTTAAAGCGTTCGCTTGTCACGCCAAAAACCCAGGTTTGATTCCCGACATGGGAACAATGTTTGAAGCCCATTTCTGGTGTCCCCCAGGAATATTGCTAAAGGCGACGTAAAACCATACTCATTCACGCAGGTAATTTATATCTATACACATACATAGTCATAAATTTTAATTTTAATTGGTATATGACATTACTCTTGATATATCAATACTTAAATTTCCAATGACAGCAATAGTGACTCCGAATTGTGCTGCAGGTTTGACGAGACAGCCAGGAGCCAGCAACAGTGCACCAAGTGTGTGGAGTGATGGGGAAAGTGTCGCTGTTTTCGAGGGGTTTTGGATGAACTCCCAGCCCAAGTTGGACAGTGGGGAGTGTGTGTACACTGCAGGAGTTGACTCATTCTTCAAGTGGTCCTTCGGGACATGTGAGTGGAAGAGAGCCTTCATATGCGAGCTCCAGGCTTGTCCTCAAGGTAAGGGACTTATGTATAACACACAGTGACAGTCAACAGCTCTGGGTGGTTCAAAGTTTGTTTGGTTACGGCCAAATCAATATTTTTAAAGACTTTTCCGTCAGAATATGGTTGAAAATTTAAAAATTAAAACAAAATCAAACATAAGTAAGTATTCAAAGACATATCTTATTTAAATGATACTCTGGTGTATAGAATGATCCCGATATATGTCTAGATGTATAGGAAAACTTATATTGTGTGTGCTTGAAATGTAGTGTGATTGATAATGATTTATTGAGCATATTATCATTGTCAGCTGCTAATAATGTTTCTTTAAAAAGACCTCTTGATCCTAGTGTGACTTGTTTTGACAGCTTTGTGTGAGTATATAAACTGGGACAGCAGGTCAGTTGATCTGTAGTAGGAGGAATAATGGTGGGGTGATTGAACGAATGATTGGTTAATCAACTAATCATTCCTCATTCAAAATGATTATTGATTGCCGAAACGTCTCATCGATGAAACATTTCCATACGTGAAGTTTGCAGTTTTGCGTTAAGAGCCGCTCCACAATTTAAAAGATCAACTTTTGATCAGCCAGTTGTGAGGGTGCCTGTAGTCAAGCCAGCCTATGAAGCAACATATTACTTATCATCAATTATACATCAATTAGCATCTCATTACAATGTTATTCTTTTCTATTGTATGTAACCATACTTTTTTAACGTAATAAAAATTAGAAATAAAGAATTGTGAGTTTTATTGACGGTTGTCCATCATGTTCAGTCAGTTGCCCTCAATATCTGGCCCAGTTGATTGGTTAATCGAAACCTGATTTTCCTGTTTTCAAATATAAGCTTCTCTTACGATAAATTAATGTTATAAGTTATAAGTCTCATATAGAGATAGATAATAGTTATGATTTATTTTATTATTGTAATTTGTGATGACTCATTCAATATCATTTCCTGGGAAATTAATCGTAAATGAGTATTTGATTGCATCAGTCAACTGTCAACTAAAATATATTTTGAGTTTGTATTTGAGTGCTTGAACTGACATTTTTTTCTGCATATGTAGGATTGAAGATATGTGATCTGATGTAAAATAAGCTCATTAGCTTGGTATGGGATCTGCCCCACAGTTGCTGTGGCAGTGCGGAGACAAGCCACTAACATCTGCTCAACATCACTAACATCTGCTCAACATTGCAAACATCTGCTTAACATCACAAACATTTGCTCAACATCACTAACATCTCAACATTACAAACATCTGCTCAACATTGCAAACATCTGCTTAACATCACAAACATCTCAACATCAAAAACATATGCTCAACATCACTAACATCAGCTCAACATCACTAACATCTGCTCAACATTGCAAACATCAGCTCAACATCACGAACATCTGCTCAACATCACAAACATCTCAACATCACAAACATCTGCTCAACATCACAAACATCAGCTCAACATCACAAACATCTCAACATCAAAAACATCTGCTCAACATCACTAACATCTGCTCAACATCACTAACATCTGCTCAACATTGCAAACATCTGCTCAACATCACAAACATCTGCTCAACATCACAAACATCTCAACATCGCAAACATCTGCTCAACATCACAAACATCAGCTCAACATCACAAACATCTCAACATCAAAAACATCTGCTCAACATCACTAACATATGATCAACATCACTAACATCTGCTCAACATTGCAAACATCTGCTCAACATCACAAACATTTGATCAACATCACGAACATCTCAACATTACAAACATCTGCTCAACATCACTAACATATGCTCAACATCACAAACATCTCAACATTACAAACATCTGCTCAACATCACAAACATCTGCTCTACATCACAAACATCTGCTCAACATCACGAACATCTGCTCAACATCACAAACATCTCAACATCAAAAACATATGCTCAACATCACTAACATCAGCTCAACATCACTAACATCTGCTCAACATTGCAAACATCTGCTCAACATCACAAACATTTGCTCAACATCACAAACATCTCAACATTACAAACATCTGCTCAACATCACTAACATCTGCTCAACATTGCAAACATCTGCTCAACATCACAAACATCTGCTCAACATCACAAACATCTGCTCAACATCACAAACATCTGCTCAACATCACTAACATCTGATGTGTCCATCCAATCACATATAAGTATCCATCCACTAAGTTAGTAATGGGATAAGATTATTGTGTGGTTGACTTGGGATTTTGGCATAAATTTATATAATTAGAAACATCGTTGGTGGGTTAGTTTAAGGGAATTTGGGCAGCTGACATAATATCTACTTTTGTAGTAATTTATTGTAGGAGCTTATGCTCACGTGCAAGTAGTGACACTTCTTGCATGCTCAACTTGGCGGCAGCCATGATTAAGAGAGCTGAGATGTAAGGAGCTTGGTCATTAGTTCTGTGGTCTGTGTGTCGGCTATGTACAAGTAAGCCTACCCGTGGGTAGGGGATCGTCCAATAAGATGCACACACAGAGAAAGATGCACACACAGAGTAAGATGTACACACATAGAGTAAGATGAACACACAGAGTAAGATGTACACACAGAGTAAGATGCACACACAGAGTAAGATGAACACACAGAGTAAGATGTACACATAGAGTAGGAAGCACACACAGAGTAAGATGAACACACAGAGTAGGAAGCACACACAGAATAAGATGAACACACAGAGTAGGAAGCACACACAGAGTAAGATGAACACACAGAGTAAGATGCACACACAGAGTAAGATGAACACACAGTAAGATGCACACACAGAGTAGGAAGCACACACAGAGTAAGATGAACACACAGAGTAAGATGAACACACAGAGTAGGAAGCACACACAGAGTAAGATGAACACACAGAGTAAGATGCACACACAGAGTAGGAAGCACACACAGAGTAACATGCACACACAGAGTAAGAAGAACACACAGAGTAAGATGCACACACAGAGTAAGATGAACACACAGAGAAAGATGTACACACAGAGTATGATGAACACACAGAGAAAGATACACACACAGAGTAAGATGCACACACAGAGTAGAAAGCACACACAGAGTAACATGCACACAGAGTAAGATGAACACAGAGTAAGATGTACACATAGAGTAAGAAGCACACACAGAGTAGGAAGCACACACAGAGTAACATGCACACACAGAGTAACATGCACACAGAGTAAGATGAACACAGAGTAAGATGAACACATAGAGTAAGAAGCACACACAGAGTAGAAAGCACACACAGAGTAACATGCACACAGAGTAAGATGAACACAGAGTAAGATGAACACATAGAGTAAGAAGCACACACAGAGTAACATGCACACAGAGTATGATGAACACGCAGAGAAAGATGTACACACAGAATAAGATGAACACACAGAGTAAGATGAAAACACAGAGTAGGAAGCACACACAGAGTAAGATGCACACATAGAGTAAGAAGCACACACAGAGTAACATGCACACAGAGTATGATGAACACACAGAGAAAGATGTACACACAGAATAAGATGCATACACAGAGTATGATGAACACACAGAGTAAGATGAACACACAGAGTAAGATGCACACACAGAGTAAGAAGAACACACAGAGTAAGATGCACACACAAAGTAAGATGAACACACAGAGTAAGATGCACACACAGAGTAAGATGAACACACAGAGTAAGATGAACACACAGAGTAGGAAGCACACACAGAGTAAGATGAACACACAGAGTAAGATGCACACACAGAGTAAGATGCACACACAAAGTAAGATGAACACACAGAGTAAGATGCACACACAGAGTAAGATGAACACACAGAGTAAGATGAACACACAGAGTAGGAAGCACACACAGAGTAAGATGAACACACAGAGTAAGATGCACACACAGAGTAGGAAGCACACACAGAGTAACATGCACACACAGAGTAAGAAGAACACACAGAGTAAGATGCACACACAGAGTAAGATGAACACACAGAGAAAGATGTACACACAGAGTATGATGAACACACAGAGAAAGATACACACACAGAGTAAGATGCACACACAGAGTAGAAAGCACACACAGAGTAACATGCACACAGAGTAAGATGAACACAGAGTAAGATGTACACATAGAGTAAGAAGCACACACAGAGTAGGAAGCACACACAGAGTAACATGCACACACAGAGTAACATGCACACAGAGTAAGATGAACACAGAGTAAGATGAACACATAGAGTAAGAAGCACACACAGAGTAGAAAGCACACACAGAGTAACATGCACACAGAGTAAGATGAACACAGAGTAAGATGAACACATAGAGTAAGAAGCACACACAGAGTAACATGCACACAGAGTATGATGAACACGCAGAGAAAGATGTACACACAGAATAAGATGAACACACAGAGTAAGATGAAAACACAGAGTAGGAAGCACACACAGAGTAAGATGCACACATAGAGTAAGAAGCACACACAGAGTAACATGCACACAGAGTATGATGAACACACAGAGAAAGATGTACACACAGAATAAGATGCATACACAGAGTATGATGAACACACAGAGTAAGATGAACACACAGAGTAAGATGCACACACAGAGTAAGAAGAACACACAGAGTAAGATGCACACACAAAGTAAGATGAACACACAGAGTAAGATGCACACACAGAGTAAGATGAACACACAGAGTAAGATGCACACACAGAGTAAGAAGAACACATAGAGTAAGATGCACACACAGAGTAAGAAGAACACACAGAGTAACATGCACACAGAGTATGATGAACACACAGAGAAAGATGTACACACAGAATAAGATGCATACACAGAGTATGATGAACACACAGAGTAAGATGAACACACAGAGTAAGATGCACACACAGAGTAAGAAGAACACACAGAGTAAGATGCACACACAAAGTAAGATGAACACACAGAGTAAGAAGAACACACAGAGTAAGATGAACACACTGAGTAAGATGCACACACAGAGTAAGAAGAACACACAGAGTAAGATGCACACACAGAGTAAGAAGAACACACAGAGTAAGATGCACACACAGAGTAAGATGAACACAGAGTAAGATGCACACACAGAGTATGATGAACACACAGAGAAAGATGTACACACAGAATAAGATGAACACACAGAGTAAGACTAACACACAGGGTAGGAAGCACACACAGAGTAAGATGCACACACAGAGTAAGATGAACACAAAGAGTAAGAAGAACACACAGAGTAAGATGCACACACAGAGTAAGATGCACACACAGAGTAAGATAAACACAGAGTAAGATAAACACACAGAAAGATGCACACACAGAGTATGATGAACACACAGAGAAAGATGCACACACAGAGTAAGATGAACACAGAGTAAGATGAACACACAGAGTAAGATGAACACACAGAGTAAGATGAACACACAGTATGATGAACACACAGAGTAAGATGCACACACAGAGTAAGATGAACACACAGAGTAAGATGCACACACAGAGTAAGATGTACACATAGAGTAAGATGCACACACAGAGTAAGATGTACACATAGAGTAAGAAGCACACACAGAATAAGAATCACACACAGAGTAAGATGAACACACAGAGTAAGATGCACACACAGAGTAAGATGCACACACAGAGTAAGATGAACACACAGAGTAAGATGCACACACAGAGTAAGATGAACACACAGAGTAAGATGAACACACAGAGTAAGATGCACACACAGAGTAAGATGAACACACAGAGTAAGATGAACACACAGAGTAAGATGAACACACGAACACACAGAGTAAGATGAACACACAGAGTGAGATGAACACACAGAGTGAGATGAACACACAGAGTGAGATGAACACACAGAGTAAGATGAACACACAGAGTAAGATGCTCACACAGAGTAAGATGTACACACAGAATAAGATGCACACACAGAGTAAGATGAACACACAGAGTAAGATGCACACACAGAGTAAGATGCACACACAGAGTAAGATGCACACACAGAGTAAGATGCACACACAGAGTAAGATGAACACACAGAGTAAGAGGTACATTTCGCTACATGTTGTTCATCAGCCGTTGTGTGTGTGATGCTGCAGGTTCGTTCCGCTGCTCCAGTGGCCAGTGTATCAACAGTGTGTATAAGTGTGACGGATACGATGACTGTGAAGATGGATCAGATGAACTAGACTGTCGTAAGTTTTATTGTTTCATATGAAGTTACCATCAGTTTATTATCACTTTATCTTATTTAATGTTTGGATGGATGTCCAGAATGGCAATGATGAAGGTTTTTGGAAACATTAAATTGCTCATTAAGAGTTTATCATTAAAGAGAAACAAACTGTGTATGTGGTATTGCAATAACAGAGTGGTTCCACTTGGATCGTCAACTGTCAGGAATACACACTGTAACCTGTAAACTGGCTGACTTTGCCTACTGGTGTTACCCTGTCAACCCATGGTTGGTCTACCTCATTCATTCTTCTTTAGCCTTTTTTTTTGTTGTTGTTGATTAATGGTGCACTCAGCAATATTCCAGCTATGTGACGGGGGTCTAAATAATCAAGTCGGGACCAGACAATCCAGTGATTGATATCATGAGCATCGATCCATGCAATTGGGAAACGATGACATGCCTCACAACCAAGTCAGCGAGCCTGACCACCCGATCCCGTTAGAGGCCTCTTACGACAAGCATAGTAACCTGTTATGGCAAGCACGGGTTGCTGAAGACCTATTCTACCCCAGATCTTAATGGGTCTCTTCTTTAGCAGAGATAGTGCTGCATGGCATGAACCACACTAACACTCTGTCATGATGAATGATTGATGCATGTGTCCATACTGGCCCATTTCCATATAGGGATGGCCACAACAATCATAAACTCTGACTTGCTCCTCTGGTATTTGAATCTATATGATCTACTTTCAACACATAAAGATTGTCATTCTCAGTGATATGATGTTTTTGTTGAAGTGGGTCAAAGCAAAAGACAATAAAAGATGGTACTTGATCTTACCCTGCCTGTCTGAGTGGAGTATTCATGTTAAACTGTGGCATGGTATCTCAGTGGGTTAGCACTATCAAATTGGCCTTAGTCCAGACTCGAACAAGCAGCCACACACACACATACATGTGCAGGCATATTGCTATATGAGTGTAATAATCTTGAACGCAATATTAAACCCTATTTCACCTCACCTCACCTACACACATGCTCACATCATGCTTGCACACACAGACACACACACCCTCAAACACCTACACACATGCTCACACACATGCTCACACACACAGACACACACACACGCACAGATGCACACAAAGTGAACTAATTTAGCCTGGTGTTATTTCCAGCTGGGAGATGCCACTATCACCTGAAGGCCCCGACAGGGAGCTTCCAGTCCCCTAACTACCCTGCACCTTACAATGGACTCCAGCAGTGTTCCTGGCTCATTGAAACCTCTGTGGGATCCTATGTGCAAATACAGGTACACACACAGAGCAGCTGTTAATGATCATCAACTCAAGGACTGGTTTAAGGCCTAAGGTTTCAGTATGAAAGTTAAGCTTGAAACATGTCAAGGTGTGCAGGGGAACACAGTTATGTAGATGTTGATGGAACTAAACTAATTTTTTACCAGTTAGGTTGCCTTTGCAGAAAGGTTCGTTGGTTTGTTTCTTTGCTTGTTGTTTAACGCTGCACTCAGCAATATTCCAGCTATATGACGGCGGTCTGTAAAATAATCGAGTCTGGACCAGACAATCCAGTGATTGATATCATGAGCACTGATCCACACAATTTGGATACGATGACATCCAAGTCAGTGAGCCTGAACACCAGATCCTGTTAGTCGCCTCTTACGACAAGCATGGGTTGCTGAAGACCAATTCTAACCCAGATCTCCATGAGCCCATTCCCATACAGTGAGTGATTGGTTTGTATATCTGTATGAAGAAATTTATGTGACATAAAGCCTGGACCAGACAAACTAAGGGTTAATAGCATGAGCATCTATTGTCTCCGTCATGATCTAGCAGGAAGTGTATAATATATGTTGTCTGATGTGTGTCCTAAATAAAGTTCCATAATGATGTAAATCATCTCCTTTTAAGTTTCAAGCTTTTTCAACTGAAACTGACAAAGATGAAGTGCTGGTCCTTGGAGGCGGATCCACCCTGGCCACTTCATCCCTGCTAGCTCGCTTGTCGGGGAGTCCTAGTGTCACACAGTTCCTCAGCCACAACAACTTCCTGCTCTTCATCTTCTCCAGTAGTGCAGATGTACACCAAGCTGGCTTCTCCGCATCCTGGAACACAGGTATGCCAGATGCTGCACTCAGGCATGCACTGAAACCTTGTAAATTGGTTGGTTGGTTGGTTTGTTGTTTAACACCGCACTCAGCAATATTCAAGCTATATGACGGCGGTCTGTAAATAATCGAGTCTGGACCAGACAATCCAGTGATTAATATCATGAGCATCGATCCACGCAATTTGGATCGATGACATGCGTCAACCAAGTCAGCAAGCCTCACCACCCGATCCTGTTAGTTGCCTGTTACGGCAAGTATGGGTTGCTGAAGACCTTCCAAAAAGTTGCATGAATACCAACATATTTTTTCGTCTAATGAATGATAGGTTTAATATAATCACAAATATGTTTTTTATGTAAATGTGTGTGTGTTTACATGCATGATTTTTGTGTGCATATGTGTAGACATTCCCAAAGTATTGTGGGGTTTCAAGGGTAACAGTGTCCCGATTGCATGATTTCCAGGGAAACAGGATCCCGATTGTTGGGTTTCCAGGGAAACAGGGTCCAGATTGTGGGGTTTCCATCGAAACAGGGTCCATATTGTGGGATTTCCAGGGGAATAGGGAACAGGGAACAGGTTTCACTACCAAGCCCTTGATAGCATTTTCATTGTTACTGTCTTTAATGTCTTGGCAAAGAATGGTTTATTAGCATTGGATTGCAGGATAAATCATCTTTGTCAGCACATGCATTTTGTATCCCTGATTTCATCACAATGATTTTAGACAACAGTTAAGCACTTTTATACTTTGGTGTGAAGACTGATTCTTTCTTTAATGGTTATACCTGGTTTCAAATGTGAGGTGTGTTCAGCACTGCCTCATGCTATAGGTTTAACAATACCAGTATGCTGCAAGTTCAGGGTTGATAAGCACCGATTTGTGAATTATGTCAGCAATTGTAAAATATGGACAGCAAAGAATATATTTTTAGAAAAAAACTATGCAATTAGCACACTGTTCAGTTGAAGAACCATGCATGTGATAGTGCTGTGATGAATGTTGCAGTGACTATCAACATCCCAAATGAAAACCTGGATGCATCAGTCATACGACAAGACCTCATGTCCTTTGAATATCCATCTCTGTACCTGCCCAACCAGGAGACCTTGTGGATACTCACAGCTCCCACACCCAGACAGATCATCATGTTGCAGGTCAGTGTCTGGCAATACAACACCTGGTGTCCTCCTGTCCTATACAACACTCTGGTGTCATCCTGTCCTATACAACCCCCTGGTGACATCCTGTCCTATACAACACCCTGGTGTCATCCTGTCCTATACAACACTCTGGTGTCATCCTGTCCCATACAACGCCCTTGTGTCATCATGTCCTATACAACACCCTGGTGTCATCCTGTCCTATACAACACCCTGGTGTCATCCTGTCCTATACAACACCCTGGTTTCATCCTGTCCCATACAACCTCCTGATATCATCCTGTCCTATACAACCCCCTGTTGTCATCCTGTCCTATACAACCCCCTAGTGTCATCCTGTCCTATACAACCTCCTGATACCATCCTGTCCTATACAACCCCCTGTTGTCATCCTGTCCTATACAACCCCCTAGTGTCATCCTGTCCTATACAACCCCCTAGTGTCATCCTGTCCTATACAACCTCCTGATATCATCCTGTCCTATACAACCCCCTGTTGTCATCCTGTCCTATACAACCCCCTAGTGTCATCCTGTCCTATACAACCCCCTAGTGTCATCCTGTCCTATACAACCTCCTGATATCATCCTGTCCTATACAACCCCCTGTTGTCATCCTGTCCTATACAAACCCCTAGTGTCATCCTGTCCTATACAACCTCCTGATATCATCCTGTCCTATTCAACCCCCTGTTGTCATCCTGTCCTATACAACCCCCTGGTATTAATGCAAACAAAGTGTAAATTCATCTCACTGCTGCACTTTTGTATATGCTTGAAGTTTAAAACTGTTGTAAATTAAAGAAAGCTTGCTTGTTTCAGACGAAGGACCTTGATCTTGCACCAGGAGATTCTTTGTTAATTCGTGGTGGAAGTACAGCTGACGACCCTCTCCTGAAACGCTTGTCCTTGACCAGTGCTGTTGGGGAGTACATCGTGTCCACTACCAGCTCCCTGTACATCCTATTCCTCACAGGGACTGCAGGCACCAGCTTCACCAGGGGCTTCTCCATCACTTACAGGATGGGTTAGTGCATTTACAGCATACTGCTAGTTGTTGTTGAAACCAATGTTCAGTATCCTGTCAGTGACATCTTGTCATATCCATCCAACAGTGACACCATGTCATATCCATCCCAACAGTGACACCATGTCATATCCATCCCAACAATGACACCATGTCATGTCCATCCCAACAATGACATCTTGTCATATCCATCCCAACAATGACACCATGTCATATCCATCCCAACAGTGACACCATGTCATGTCCATCCCAACAATGACACCATGTCATGTCCATCCCAACAATGACATCTGATCAACTGATGGACGTAACAGTGACATCTGGTCATGAACAACCCCACAATTCCATCAGGATGTCTGCACATGCCCTTCCCCTGTTATGTTTCACCACACAGTCAATACGATGTTGCTTACCAGACAATTTACCATGAGTAACACTGTGGCAACTTGTTCCGTTTTACAGGCTGTGACCTGGTGTATGATGATGCCAGCCAGGGATACATATCCTCACCAGGGTACGGCGTCGTCAGCTACCCCAACTTCATAACATGCAAATGGAGCATATCTCATACCCGAACAGCACCAATTACTTTGGTCTTTGAGCCAGACTTTGATGTTGAGGATCTCGTTGATTATGTACAGGTAGGTGTTGCATATTTACCTTCAGCATGATGTTATCATACTTGATGTTCTACAGTTCATCATCATCAATCATCAATCATCATCATCACCATCATCATCATCATCATCATCATCATCATCACCACCACCATCATCATCATCATCATCATCATCATCATCAGGGGTATGGGTGCCCCAGTCTATGGAGCTGCATTTCACTGTGCACTGTTGCATCCCTTAGGCACGCCTGTACCCTACGATTGTGGGTTCAAATCCCAGTTTACCCCTATTAGGTTTCCAGATTTGTCAGCACTATACCCATGCTTGTGGTAAATGTCTAAGACCTGCATCACTAAGGGCTTTTCTCCCACATCAAGCTGACACCGTGATATAACTGGAATACTGTTCATCGTGGCGTTAAACCCAACTCACTCATCATCTTCATCATTCCACTGAATACTAAGTATGCTGTGTCTTCCCTTTCCTTCTGCTGGGTTAGATCTATGAAGGCAGCAATGCACTAGGCACTCCCCTGCATACTGGTATTGGATTCAGTGGTACCACAGTCCCAACGCCGAAGTCAGCTCCTGGAGGAAATCTCTTTCTTCAATTCAAAACCAGTTCCATCACAAACAGAAGAGGTTTTGCAGCACGGTATTCAGTGGGTATGTACTTCTGAAACACCTTGACCCAATTCTAGCAAGCAATAAGCAATGTATGTTTGGGAGTCATGATATTTTCTTTAAAGTCTCACAAAATAATTTAGTTCTATACCGTTGTAATACATGTACAAGTTTGTTGGCTTAGTAGAACCAAGAGAAACCTGTTGGTTAAGTGTATACAAGTTTGTTTTGTTGAACCAAGAGAAACCTGTTGGTTAAGTGTATACAAGTTTGTTTTGTGGAACCAAGAGAAACCTGTTGGTTAAGTGTATACAAGTTTGTTTTGTTGAACCAAGAGAAACGTATTGGTTAAGTGTATACAAGTTTGTTTTGTTGAACCAAGAGAAACCTGTTGGTTAAGTGTATACAAGTTTGTTTTGTTGAACCAAGAGAAACCTGTTGGTTAAGTGTATACAAGTTTGTTTTGTGGAACCAAGAGAAACGTATTGGTTAAGTGTATACAAGTTTGTTTTGTGGAACCAAGAGAAACCTGTTGGTTAAGTGTATACAAGTTTGTTTTGTGGAACCAAGAGAAACGTATTGGTTAAGTGTATACAAGTTTGTTTTGTGGAACCATAAAAAAACTTGTTGGGTGTTTGTTTTGTAGAACTGAGAGATACTGGTTGGTTACGTGCATACAAGTTTGTTTTGTAGAACTATGAACAGGTGTTGATGTCGCATAACATACACATCACTTTAATGACTGTCACTTCAAGGTGCTTGTCAACTATTGGGAATACAAACTTATGCCTTAATTGACTGATATGGAAATTTCAGATCCACTATTGTTTCTCTTTGACAGGTTGTAAGAAACCTGCGTTTAATAGTAACACTCAGGAATTAGACAGTGTGTCTGGATACTACTTCGGTGAGTCTTTCCGAGTGGCGTGCGACGCAGGCTACTCTTTCAACTCGGACGACTTCTACGAGACACTGCCGGACGGGACACGTGCTAGTATGGAGTTTGTCCAGCTGGAATGTCTGTATGGTGGAAAGTGGAATGTGCCAAGAATTCCCCAGTGTATAAGTGAGTTTCAGTTGTGAAGCATTTGTGTTTGCCTGTGTTTATCTTACTATGTACAGACTGCTATATATCATGACCCTCCACCTGAACGTGTATTGATGTTAGATGTCTCACTCCAGCACATTCCTCTGATATGACTTACTATTGTTATGGACAATGGTTACCATATTCCCTACCATTGTAACTTGTGATAACTGTATATTCCCTACTGTTATGGACAGGGATTACCATAATCCCTACCATTGTAGCCAGTGATTACCATATTCCCTACCGTTGAAGCAAGTGTGAAGCAACTTGTGATTACCATGTATTCCCTACCATTTTAGCCAGTGATTACCATATCTTCCCTACCATTGTAGCCCGTGATTACCATATTCCATACCATTGTAGCCCGTGATAACCATATTCCCTACCATTATAGCCAGTGATTACCATATTCCCTACCGTTGAAGCAAGTGATTACCAAATATTCCCTCCTGTTATGGACAGTAATTACCATATTCCCTACCATTGTAGCCCGTGATTACCATAAATTCCCTATTGTTATGGACAGTGATTACCTTATTCCCTACCATTGTAGCAAGTGATTACCATATTCCATACCATTGTAACTTGTGATTACCATATATTCCCTACTGTTATGGGCAGTGATTACCTCATTCCCTACCATTTTAGCCAGTGATTACCATATTCCCTACCATTATAGACAGTGATTACTATATTCCTTACCATTATAGCCAGTGATTACAATATTCGATACCATTGTAGCCAGTGATTACCATATATTACCTACTGTTATGGACAGAAATTACCATATTCCCTACCATTTTAGCCAGTGATTACAATATTCCCTGCCATTGTAATGTGTGATTACCGTATATTCCCTACCATTATGGACAATGATTACCATATTCCCTACCATTATAGCCAGTGATTACCATATATTCCCTACCATTATAGCCAGTGAGTACCATATATTCCCTACCATTATGGACAATGATTATCGTATTCCCTACCATTATAGCCAGTGACATTCTGCTGACGAAAGGTAAGATATCGACCAGGCAAGGTGGATGTAGAGCTGTGGCAGTACAGGTGGATGTTAGACAGGCTGGTGGAAGAACTACATGCTAAAACTATATACAACTGTTGTGGTGATTATAAGAGACACTGTGTGCCAGCCACAGCTTATGGTGTTAGGTGCTGCAGTTGTGTATTTACATGATAGAGATATCAGCGTCCTAGCACTGGCTTGCTATGGGTGTCATACATACGATCCCCCCAAAAACCAAAGTTATGTTATTCCATGCAGTTCACAGTACCCTGGACATAAGCAACGTCGTGATTTCCATAGACGTATTAAGAAGACTGGCAAACATACTACAGGTTTCAAATCCAAATTGAATGTTGCAGATCTGTGACACAGATTGGCTGTACACCATCCCCACTTCAGATGGTGGTGTAGTGGAACTTGATTAAATATATCTTAACACTATGGCTAATAATGTCCAAGGGTATTGTTAGGCAAGGAATGCCATGGCTCTGGTTTACAATGCATATTAGTACTAGTAGGTTGGTGAGCTTTATAGTTGGGGCAAACAATGCAGTAGACATAATGGTGTCAGCTTGGACTGTGGTGGTAGTGAACATAATAAATGCACTGAAATGATTGTACATATCACTATGCAGTCTCCTCTCCATTTTTCTCTCTCTGTGCAGCAAACCTGTGAAGATCTGGAGTAGAATAGGTCTTCAGCAATCCATGCTTGCCGTAAAAGCCGACTATTCTTGTCATAAGAGGTGACTTATGGGATCGGGTGGTCAGGCTCGCTGACTTGGTTGATGCATGTCAATTGCATGGATCAATGCTCATGATATCAATCACTGGATTGTCTGGTCCAGACTCGATTATTTACAGACGGCGTCATATAGCTGTAATATTGCTGAGTGGGGCGTTAAACAACAAACAAACAAACAAACATCGGGTTTGTATCGGGTGATCAGACCCTGTGACTTTCTGGATCTGTGTCATCGTTCCCAGCAACGTGGATTGCTGGTTTGTCTGGTTCTGAATCTATTTTACGTGGCTTGGTCATGTGTTTCTGGTGCGCATGCACAGTCCAGGGTTGTGTTCGGGTCAGATGTTTTCTCTGTTCCTCGGAAACACAGTTCTGGAAGTTTCCACTACCTTTCAGAAATGACTAGAGATAAGCTATGAGTATGAGTCAGGATAAGTATCAATAATATTTTTACCCTAAAAAATAGAATTTTTTTCTGTTACCATGGCAACAAGTTAGACTTTGACTCTGTCCATAGTAGTGTGTTTGTTTGGTCCATATCTCTAAAATTAGAAGGTAATCTTTCATGAAACTGTGAACACCCAAAGACCAGGTTGCCAAATGGAGCCTTTTGCTGTTTAGGGATTTTTAGAATTTATATTTTCCTTGGCAACTAGTCTGATTTTGACTCTGTTCAAAGTGGTATGTACCTGACAGAAATGCAAAGTTCTGAATACCAATTCAATGGGATGACTACCATAGCAATAACTACTCTTATATACGGATGGACAGATTAGATAGAAGTTGGACTTAAAGTAATAGTCAGATGATTTGTTCTTTTAAATTTGTGGGGGCCTGGGGGGATTTATCATCTTCAGATGACTCTTGTTTTACAAATGTGCCATCCTAATTTCTGCAAAAGTAAAAACTTGATTATTCACAGACCTCTGTCATATAGCCGAAATATTGCTGAGTGCGGCGTTAAGCAACAAACACAACAACAAAATAATTTCTGTTTGAGACTCAAGTATGATGAAGAATGACTACACGTACAGTCAAACACTGTTGTGTCAAACTTTAAATATGTCAAACTAGGGTTGTCTCGAAGTAAAATTATGGTCCCTGCATATTCCATTCTAATTCATCATTTTCGGTTGAGTCGAACCTCGGATAACTCGAGATAGTTACGTGGTTCCCTTCAACTTCGACACAACGGTGTTTGACTGGATATGTTATTTCAAATTAAATTTTTAAATGTGACAGAATCTGTTTGAATGCTGAAAACATGACCTGATGTTGACAGTCAAGGTGTGTGGATCACCTCCCCAGATACAGAGTGGCTATGTGTCCACCTTGACCGGCGTGAAGTATGGCGACACGGCCCAGTATGCCTGTATGAGGAACTACAGGTTTGACGGAGACCCTGTCATCACCTGCAGCTCCAACGGAACATGGGGACCAGCTCCATCTTGTCAAGGTACCAGTATGCACTGATGACGTGGCCAGTGTCATGACCCAAATAAATATTCATGTTTGGCATGGTCTTGGGACTGTATCATATTTTGCTGACACCCCTCTCCCCTCTATTTTATGTAAAATTGTTTTATTTGTGCTTATCTTGAATTCAAGAGATACAGAAGATCTGGGATGGAATATGTCTTCAGCAACCAATGCTTGCCCTAAAAGGCGACTATGCTTGTCGTAAGAGGCGACTAATGGGATCGGGTGGTCAGGCTCGCTGACTATGGTGATGCATGTCATTGTATCCCATTTGCGTGGATTGATGCTCATGATATCAATCACTGGATTGTCTGGTCAAGTGGACAGACTAAATAGTGATTGCTGCAATGCCTAATAAGGAAAATGAACACTGCACATAATTTGTCACAATTGTTATTAACCATTGCTGGTGAAATACATTTCACTATGTCATAGCATACACATGTTGTGGTTTTAATTTCTTGTGTATGTTAATGTATTTCTATGTAGTTATAATACTGTTACTTGATCTATGTGGATGTTCATGCCGCGTTATCTGGAATATCTGGTTATCTCGAAGTTAAAGCCTGGTCCTGCTAGGTTTGAGATAACATGGTTTGACTGTATATTATTCAGTATAAATATATACATACAAGACTTTCTTACATTGATAATTTGGGGCCACGGGTGGCCCAGTCATCTAAGGCGCTGCGATTCACTGTGCAGAGTTGCGTCCCTTGGGCATGCCAGAAACCTATGCTTGTGGGTTCGAATCCCGGTTCGCCGTGATTATGTTTCTAGGTTTGTCAGCACTGTACCCATGCTTGTGGGTTTCACCGAAGTGGTAAAAACGTCTGAGACCTGCATCACTTCAGGCATTCCTCCCACATTAAGCTGACACGCTGTGATATAACTGGAATAATGTTGAAAGCGGCGTTAAACCCAACTCTCTCACTCACTACATTTATAATTTCTGTTTGAATTTATCAAATATGTAATATTTATCTAATGTGCTTCAAGTAATAATGTTTACTGTGGTTTTGAACCCTCCATAATGACAGTGTATATTATGCAGTGTTGTTTTATACTGGACAATGTCCACATAATTGTGTCAAAAGATACGAGGGTCACCAGTAAAGCATTTATAACTGTCTGTGCGGAGTTGTCTCCCCTAGGTGTGGCAGAAACCAGTCATGGATAATAATTCAAGATTCGCCCTGATTATGGCCTTGGGCATCTGCATCGTACCATGTTCATGGATTCCACAGACTCTGTAAATGTTGATTGGGGGACTACCATTTCCAATCTAGGTCTAGACATTGCAATCAGCTTTAGAAACATATAGCACAAAATCTTCCAACTTCTATACCACAAAACTCTCTCACAGCATTCCAGTGTGAAACGATCACAAGCCCTCTCAATGGTAACTTCACGACGACGGAGGGTACCTACCCTGAAGCAGGTACCGTGATACGCTTCCAGTGTGACGAGGGCTACGAAGTGCGTGGACAGCCGATCCTGTTGTGTAATGAGACAGGCCAGTGGAATGGTTTGGTGCCAGAATGTCAGAGTAAGACAGCTTCCTTCTCCCAGTCAATGTTACCTGAGGGTGCCAACCCCCTCCTCCACTGAATCACGAATACCATCGAATTTTTCACTCTGAATCTCATTGCTCATCCCTGAATCCAGAATACTACGTAACAGAAATCTCAAAAGCATTTAGAAAAGGCTGTGATTTGAAGTTCAATTACTGAAAAAAAACTATTAAAAAAATATGATATATAAAGGAAATATTTACTAACATCATTATGTTTTTATTAAAATGTTGAATTAACGTACCAAATACGATTTTAATTGTGTCTCTTGTAGAAAACTGCTGAGTTTTGAATAGCCTATAAATAGACCCCCACATCCTGAATACCAAAAGGCTGATGGCAGCCTCTTAGCTACTACTGGTGTATCAATGTTGGGATAGATTTTTCTCTCTTGTTACTTGTACCATGGTATATACAGTTTCTGGTTTATGTTATTGCCCCAAGTTGATAAAACATTTTATCATATCCCCATCATTGATATGAGGTATTTTGCATATGGGATCCAGCCAACATGGAGATGGTCAAATCACAGGGGTGTAATAACCACACCCGGATTACACCCCCTGCCAGTCAGTGCATTTTGAATTGGCAATCAATATCAGCCTGGGTGGTAAGAAATTAGAGTTACGTCCCTTGGTGAGTTGTCTGCTTGGTGGTAAGAAATTAGAGTTACGTCCCTTGGTGAGTCGTCTGCTCACCTAGCATTGCTATAGCAATGTCTTCCAATGAAGGTGAACATGTTTTTACGGACATACACAGAATTTAGAGATGTTTTATGAATGGATACATTTACGAATTGATGTTTATAGTATATGATAAAAAGGTTATTATGAGGCAGTTTTCATATTATACCCCATATCAACCCCCGGGCTGATAAAGGGGTCTTGGGTTGATTTCTCAGGAACTAATTATTGGTCAGTAAATAAAAATATATATCCCATATATGTAAGAAATGTGTTATCTACCAATCTATGACCAGAAATGTACTTGTCAATAAGCGTATCATAAAGAAATCGACCTGATAACGAATGTAAACAAATCGGCAAGATGGCGAGTGACGCTCCTTTTCTCGACTTACATATAGGGGGTATATAGTATATATTTTTATTTACTGACCAATAACGGGTTCCTGTGGTTGCTATGGGGTATGATATGAAAACTTGTAAACATTGTATTCATTTCCTGCAATTTAGCAAATGCAATATATACCTTCCATGCTGTTTCAGATCTGAGTTGTTATGTCCCGGCCATAGAGAACAGCCTAGATGCCAACACCAGCCAGTTCTTGTCAGTTGGTGAATTGTTGGTAGTCTCATGCAGCCCTGGTTTTAAGGTGGTTGGGACCCCTGGCGTGGCGTGTCCCCCCAGTAGGGTGATGGGGCCTCTCCCTAACTGTACAGGTAAGCTAACTCTGACTGACTGAAGTTGGGGATTTTACGTGCGCTTTCCGACTGTCAGCGTATGTCGCATACAGAAGCTAACTCAGTCATGGTTAGCAGATCAATCAACTACTTAAATTGTCTCTTTACATGTAGTGTGTTGTTGATTGAAAACCTCTAAATATGCAAAAAGCAGTTGAGGTAGAAATGATGCTAGTAATTACTTCCTTGATACAGTTTTTGAATCAGAGGTATGTTATTGTGATTTATGGTTGTTTAAAGGACAGGACTTGCATGATTAAAAAATTGTCAAAACTCGCAGAAATTGCAATGGAAGTTGTGTTGATTTGAAAGAGAGCTCTAGATGTAGTTCTCTTCATCAATTGCCCACACATACTTAACTTTCAACAATGCTGAATGTACATGTGAGGCTAAAATATGACATTTTTCACTCCAGATATTTTATGAGCCATTTTTTATCTTTGAACATGAGCAGATCGTTGCTACAAGTAATTTTGTTATGAGATGTAGATAAAGACAGTACAAACATGTTTTATTAGTACAAGATTAATTATGGGTCATAGACTTAATGAAAGTTTAATTTACTGTCACCATTGATGACTATGGTAAATGTGTATTTAAGCTTCCAGTTCACCTGAACTGAATGTTGAAATCTTTGTGAGAAATATGTTGTACTTCATCTTTCAGATGTGGATGAGTGTACAGAGGGTGTGAGTCCATGCAGCCCACAACAGGAGTGTGTGAACAATGAGGGATCCTACACCTGTCAGTGTCCTCCTGGGTTTGACGGAGCTACCTGTGCAGATGGTGGGTGTGACTCATTCTCCTTAGATGCCATTTTTACGAAACAAGTGGACTTTCTGTGGTATCTGACCGAGCGATAGGGACCCTCGATATGGATACAGCTCTTATATATCATATTTGTAGCAGCTATATGCATAACTAATATAGAATGTAAAGGGAATTTGATGAGTGTGACGATCTTGTTTGGTTTAAATGTGTGTCAATGTCTCTCGCTTTATTGAGATTCCTTCAGTTCTGTCTTGCAGTTGTAAAAGTGAATGACTTCTCATGATTTCTTTATGAATAAAAAAAATAGTTCCGGTGTTGAAGAGGTCACGTTTATCCAATCAAAACGAATAAAACGAGGTCAACATTGACACACATGTGACATAAGGATTTATATCTTACCATCTGTATCTTCACCATGTGGGTGTATACAGCAGGGTATAACTGTACAGGTGGGTGTATACAGCAGGGTATAACTGTACAGGTAGGTGTATACAGCAGGGTATAACTGTACAGGTAGGTGTATACAGCAGGGTATAACTGTACAGGTGGGTGTATACAGCAGGGTATAACTGTACAGGTAGGTGTATACAGCAGGGTATAACTGTAGAAGTGGGTGTATACAGCAGGGTAATACTGTACAGGTAGGTGTATACAGCAGGGTATAACTGTACAGGTGGGTGTATACAGCAGGGTATAACTTACAGGTAGGTGTATACAGTAGGGTATAACTGTACAGGTGGGTGTATACAGCAGGGTATAACTGTACAGGTAGCTGTATACAGCAGGGTAATACTGTAGATGTGGGTGTATACAGCAGGGTAATACTGTACAGGTGGGTGTATACAGCAGGGTATAACTGTACAGGTAGGTGTATACAGTAGGGTATAACTGTACAGGTGGGTGTATACAGCAGGGTATAACTGTACAGGTGGGTGTATACAGCAGTGTATAACTGTACAGGTGGGTGTATACAGCAGGGTATAACTGTACAGGTAGGTGTATACAGTAGGGTATAACTGTACAGGTAGGTGTATACAGTAGGGTATAACTGTACAGGTGGGTGTATACAGCAGTGTATAACTGTACAGGTGGGTGTATACAGCAGGGTAATACTGTACAGGTGGGTGTATACAACAGGGTATAACTGTACAGGTGGGTGTATACAGCAGGGTAATACTGTACAGGTGGGTGTATACAGCAGGGATATACTGTACAGTAGGGTGTATACAGCAGGGTAATACTGTAGATGTGGGTGTATACAGCAGGGTAATACTGTAGATGTGGGTGTATACAGCAGGGTAATACTGTACAGGTGGGTGTATACAGCAGGGTATAACTGTACAGGTAGGTGTATACAGCAGGATATAACTGTACGGGTGGGTGTATACAGCAGGATATAACTGTAGAGATGGGTGTATACAGCAGGGTATAACTGTACAGGTGGGTGTATACAGCAGGGTATAACTGTAGATGTGGGTGTATACAGCAGGGTAATACTGTACAGGTGGGTGTATACAGCAGGGTAATACTGTACAGGTGGGTGTATACAGCAGGGTATAACTGTACAGGTGGGTGTATACAGCAGGGTAATACTGTACAGGTGGGTGTATACAGCAGAGTATAACTGTACAGGTGGGTGTATACAGCAGGGTATAACTGTACAGGTGGGTGAATACAGCAGGGTAATACTGTAGATGTGGGTGTATACAGCAGGGTAATACTGTAGATGTGGGTGTATACAGCAGGGTAATACTGTAGATGTGGGTGTATACAGCAGGGTAATACTGTACAGGTGGGTGTATACAGCAGGGTATAACTGTACAGGTGGGTGTATACAGCAGGTTAATACTGTACAGGTGGGTGTATACAGCAGGGTATAACTGTACAGGTGGGTGTATACAGCAGGGTATAACTGTACAGGTGGGTGTATACAGCAGGGTAATACTGTAGATGTGGGTGTATACAGCAGGGTAATACTGTACAGGTGGGTGTATACAGCAGGGTATAACTGTACAGGTGGGTGTATACAGCAGGGTAATACTGTACAGGTGGGTGTATACAGCAGGGTATAACTGTACAGGTGGGTGTATACAGCAGGGTATAACTGTACAGGTGGTGTATACAGCAGGGTATAACTGCACAGGTGGTGTATACAGCAGGGCATAACTGTACAGGTGGTGTATACAGCAGGGTATAACTGCACAGGTGGTGTATACAGCAGGGTATAACTGCACAGGTGGTGTATACAGAAGGGTATAACTGTACAGGTGGGTGTATACAGCAGGGTATAACTGTACAGGTGGTGTATACAGCAGGATATATAGCTGTACAGTAGGGTGTATACAGCAGGGTATAACTGTACAGATGAGTGTATACAGCAGGGTATAACTGTACAGATGAGTGTATACAGCAGGGTATAACTGTACAGGTGGTGTATACAGTAGAGAATTAGGTGCATGATCCCTGATTGTTTTCAAAATTTTAATTTAGATGTTTTGTTACCTGTGGAAACATCCTTCTCAATAAATGACGGAATACATTTATCTCTGTTGACCATTAACATTGTGCAGACAAAATACATGACATGACATGTCACATCAGATGAAATCCTACATCTGGACTTTAAGTAGCAGAGCATGAAACGGCAGATGGCATAAGGACTTCCACACTGCCAAACTGCCCATCAGAGGAATCATTTTGATCGTTTTTTTTATTTCTTGCTAATAGGGAAAGAAAGTCACTTCCCAAATGAATATTTGGTGTTGAATGGGTCCAGGATATATATATATCGAAAGAACATAGTGTTTACAGGCATCCATGTATTCTATCATGTTGTTTATTAACAGCTGGAAAGATCCAGTATTTACAATTTAGACTCAGTGACGGAAAATTCCTCTGCCAGAATCATCAAATTTGAGTGATTTCTCCGACTTAATCATGTTATGGTTGATATATAACTCCTCTATTATTTTGCAAAATGACCATAGTTTTACTTGAAGGAATGACCAGTGAATTCCTGGCTCAACAACTGCAACAGCAACAGCATGACACATCTTAATGGTTGGATGTGTATAAACTAGTTAAACAATATGTGATACCACTCTGGCTTTGTCAGCTGTGACAAGTGGTATTTCTACTGCAGATATCAATGAGTGTACAAATGGCCAGTGCAGTAACCCTACTCAATGTCTGGACAAGCCAGGATCCTACATCTGCTGTGGGAGTGGATACCGCCTAGACGGAGAGTCATGTGTAGGTAGGTATAGGGAGGATAGCCATGCTAGACTATACCATCTTATGTAAGGATTTTAAGGTAAGTTCAGATTTAAACAGCCAGTCAAATATGAAAATATTTTGTTATACTACTTACTTCTAATCATTTCAATTGAAAGGTTTTTTTTATGAAATGTTTTAATATTCTAAAACCATTAATATTGATAAAAATGGAATAATCTCCCCCGCTACAACTAAACTCAGACATGTTTTGTCAAGAGGAAAGTCCTGAAATTAAATATTAATATAAGTAACTTTGTATACATCAATTCTTTGAAAGGCATCTAGAAGTGATACTCATAAGGAAGAGAATTTATGGATGTCAACTTCTTTATTATGAGGAACACAACGTTTCGGAGTATATGCTTACTCCTTCATCACAGAGATGAACCTGATGAAGGAGTAAGCATATACTCCGAAACGTTGTGTTCCTCATAATAAAGAAGTGGACATCCATAAATTCTCTTCCTTTTGTATACATCGTAACTTTTGTCAACCTCGTGTTCAGGGGGCACGGGTGGCCCAGTCGTCTAAGGCGCCACGATTCGCTGTGCAGAGTTGGGTCCCCTTGACAGCCAGAAACCTATGATTGTGGGTTCGAATCCTGGTTCGCCCCAATTATGTTTCTAGGTTTGTCAGCACCATACCCGTGATCGTGGGTTTCACCGAAGTGGTAAACGTCTGAGACCTGCATCACTTCGGGCTTTCCTCCCACATTAAGCTGACACGCCGTGATATAACTGGAATACTGTTAAAAGCGGCGTTAAACCCAACACACACACACACACACACACACACACGCACAACACACAACACACAACACACACACACACACACACACACACACACACACACACACACACACACACACACACACAACACACACACACACACAACACACACACACACACACAACCTCGTGTTCTACGGGTTCGCTGTTTTGTTCCAGTACACAAATATTCATGTGAAGCAAAGTGTTTGACTGATTGGTTTGAAGCATTGCTTACTGTGCATCATTGCGGCTGTGGTGAACCGTTACTGAACACATCAGCAAACAAATGAAATGTGACATTTCTGATTGTGTGCTTGCAGTGTTTGTCCAGTGTGGGGAGAGTGGAGAGTTCTGTGACACTGTCAACGGCGGCTGTGACAACACATCAGTGGGGTACTCCTGCAGATGTAACCCGGGGTATACACTGTATGCGGAGAATGGCACCATGGGGTACTACATTCCTGCTGCTGAAACTGGGCTGCAGGTTAATGACACACTTCATCTTAACCACACCTGTGTCCGTGAGTAGAAGCATACATTACCATTATGATCGTTTTTAAATTGGGAATTTTTCAGAGCTCAGTGTTTGGATTTCTCATATGTCCCTGATTCATTTGGTTCAGCTGAACTCTTTGTCCAACATCTCCCGTAGGAACCTACACCTGATGGAAAACAAGAAAACAAATAAATCATTATTTTACAGATAATGTTTTTGCCAGAATCGTCTCTGTGGAAACTGGTGTAGAAATTCACCAACTTCATAGACTTAAAAATGTTGTGGTGCAGGTGTATGGTGCCTTTGTCAAGACTTCTGACCCATGAAGATCCGAGGTAGAATAGGTCTTCAGCAACCCATGCTTGCCATAAATGCGACAATGCCTGTCATAAGAGGCGACTAACGGGATCGGGTGGTCAGGCTCTCTAACTTCGTTGATGTATGTCATCGTATCCCAATTGTGTGGATTGATGCTTATGATGTCAATCACTGGATTGTCTGGTCCAGACATGATTATTTACAGACTGCGGTCATATGGCTGGAATATTGCTGAGTGCGGCATTAAACAACAAACAAACAAACAAACAAAATCAAGACTTCAATATATCAGGAACGGAACCTAAAAGTCTCCAGTTTAGCAGTAGTTGTCATCATGCATTCTATCCTTCTTTTTATCTTTTACAATTTTTGGTATTTGCAGGTGTTAATTAATATGCCATGCTGCCAAATGTTGGTGTCTATTTTTCTTTTTTGTTGTTGTTCAAACTAGTATGTAACCAAATAAACAGTTGTGTACAATCAACCTGGGAAAGGGCCTCCCTGCATAAATGTATTCCTTGATGGGTACAAAACTGGAATACAGTATTTGACAACTGTTGGACTTGGAATATTTAAGGATTTTTAATTTTAAAAAAAAATGGAAATAAAAATGAAACGTGCGGCGAACTTTATGATTATGTGGGCGGTGCCTGAGAACCAAGACAAGTAATATTTTAACCTTAGCATTTGAAAGATATGAAAGTCCCTGAACATTGAGTACCTATATACATACCAAAACCTGAATGCTTAAATTATATCCTTATATGTACTTTCAGATTTGCAGGTGCCAGTTGGTATTTAATGCCCCCAAATGTTAACGTTTGAAACACATGAAAGTCCCAGGGCATTGAATGCTCATTAACACACTCAAATCTGAAAACACCATATGCTCACCACCTTGTGTGTCCTGCCCCATACAGGAAACAAGTGCCCCTCCCCTCCTACAGAAGGGTTCAGGGTGATACAGAACCCCCAGGATGTGTATTACGAGGGGGAGAGCGTGACATATGACTGCTACCCTGGGTACAGCCTCCAGGGCGTGGCAGCTGTGATGTGCACTGGGGGCGACTGGACCACTGCCTTCCCTACATGCAACAGTGAGTACACACAGGGGCATCAGTCTCCTGTCATTACCTGACTTTAGGCCCGTGAAGATTCCGGGGTAGAGTAGGTCTTCAGCAACCCATACTTGCCGTAAAAGGTGACTATGCTTGTCGTAAAAGGCGACTAACGGGATCGGGTGGTCAGGCTCGCTGACTTGGTTGATGCATGTCATCAGTCCCAATTGCGTGGATCGATGCTCATGATATAAATCACTGGATTGTCTGGTCGGTCCAGACTCGATTATTTACAGACCGCTGTCATATAGCTGGAATATTGTTGGGTGCGGCGTAAAACAACAAACCAACCAACCAAACCAACCTGACATTAAGTATGAACTGAGTTGTATTTGTTGTGGTATTAAGACTTTAAGAGATAGTATTAAGGAGATAAAACAGTATACTGTGTCCGAGTTGGATATCCATGTTAAACATGATATCTCAGTGTGTTAGCACTATAAAACCGACTCCATCCTATCTTGTACACGACATTAAACCCCCTTTCACCTTCAGCAGACATTAAGATGCAAGGTATGTGGATGATTTCAAATGTGATTTTCACCCGTTATGATCTAGGGTAGAATAGGTCTTTAGCAACCCATGCTTGCTGTAAAAGGCAACTATGCTTGTCACAAGAGGCGACTATGCTTGTCGCAAGAGGCGACTAACGGGATCGGGTGGTCAGACTCACTGACTTGGTTGATGCATATCATCATACCCCAAATGCGTGGATCGATGCTCATGATGTCAGTCACTGGATAGTCTGGTCCAGACTTGATGATTTACAGACCATGATTTCTATTTTTATACCTTCAGGAATAACTTGCCCCTTTGATGATGTTGCTGGGTTTGCCAACCCAGTTCAGTTTGACAACACCTCACCGATAGCCTCTGGGGAAACTCTGAACATGACCTGTGTGGTGTACAGCACTGTAACCCAGCGGCAGCGTGTGTGTGTGTATGATCATGACACGGGCAACTACAGTCTACAAGGAGACAGCTACGGCTGTGATGGTAAGGGAGATAATCCAGCAGGCATTTAAAGATCAATGTTAATTCCATATATGGTCAAATGTGGGAAATCTTTGATTTGATTTAAAAATATTTCAGACTTTGATTTAAGCAAGTAACAAACATTTACAATAGTTGGCTTTTATATAGAGGGAATAACAATCTCTGTCATAAAATCATTCATATTAATCTAGCAAATATACGTGTTTTATTTTGGCCCCTTTGAAGATCTGCATGGTGAGAATTGACTTTAGCAAAGTGTGCTTGTCATAAGAAGCTTCTGATGGGATCTGGTGGTTTGAGATACTGACTTGGTTGATGTATGTCATTGTGTCCCGTAGATTGATGCTCATTATGTCAATCACTGGATTGTCTGGTCTGGTTATTAACAGACCACCATCATATAGCTGGAATATTGCTCAGTGTAGCATTAACAAATAAACAAACCTTTTTGGCCTTGGTGATACTCAATAAGTACTGAGAGAGTGACATTGAACATTTCAGTGATAACATGCCCTGCACCCCAACTAGCTCCATCAGGGGTCCTCCAGGATGTGGGGACTTTCTTCAATGTGACCTGTCAGCCTTACTACATATACCACTGGGCGGGGATGTCTGCCAGCAACGACACCACCGTGACCTGCGGGGAGGACGGCATGTGGGGCTACGGAGACCTGCACTGTGTGGGTGAGGAGACACAACACCACTGGCATGTTTGTGGTTGGTGGTAACAACAGTGATATATGTTACCAGGAAGGCCTACCCAGTAGTGATAGATATATGTTACCAGGAAGGCCTACCCAGTAGTGATAACAGTGATATATGTTACGAGGAAGGCCTACCCAGTAGTGATAAGAACAGTGATATACGTTACCAGGAAGGCCTACCCAGTAGTGATAACAACAGTGATATATGTTACCAGGAAGGCCTACCCAGTAGTGATAATAACAGTGATATATGTTACCAGGAAGGCCTACCCAGTAGTGATAGATATATGTTACCAGGAAGGCCTACCCAGTAGTGATAGATATATGTTACCAGGAAGGCCTACCCAGTAGTGATAACAACAGTGATATATGTTACCAGGAAGGCCAACCCAGTAGTGATAGATATATGTTACGAGGAAGGCCTACCCAGTAGTGATAACAGTGATATATGTTACGAGGAAGGCCTACCCAGTAGTGATAAGAACATTGATATATGTTACCAGGAAGGCCTACCCAGTAGTGATAATAACAGTGATATATGTTACCAGGAAGGCCTATCCAGTAGTGATAACAACAGTGATATATGTTACCAGGAAGGCCTACCCAGTAATGACAGCAACAGTGATATATGTTACAGGAAGTCCTACCCAGTAGTGATTACAGTGATATATGTTACCAGGAAGGTCTACCCAGTAGTGACAGCAACAGTGATATATGTTACAGGAAGTCCTACCCAGTAGTGATAACAACAGTGATATATGTCACCAGGAAGGCCTACCCAGTAGTGACAGCAGTGATATATGTTACCAGGAAGGCCTACCTAGTAGTGATAACAACAGTGATATATGTTACCAGGAAGGCATACCCAGTAGTGATAACAACAGTGATATATGTTACCAGGAAGGCCTACCCAGTAGTGATAACAACAGTGATATATGTTACCAGGAAGGCCTACCAAGTAGTGATAACAACAGTGATATGTGTTACCAGGAAGGCCTACCCAGTAGTGATAAGAACAGTGATATATGTTACCAGGAAGGCCTACCAAGTAGTGATAACAACAGTGATATATGTTACCAGGAAGGCCTACCCAGTAGTGATAACAACAGTGATATATGTTACCAGGAAGGCCTACCAAGTAGTGATAACAACAGTGATATGTGTTACCAGGAAGGCCTACCCAGTAGTGATAAGAACAGTGATATATGTTACCAGGAAGGCCTACCAAGTAGTGATAACAACAGTGATATATGTTACCAGGAAGGCCTACCTAGTAGTGATAACAACAGTGATATATGTTACCAGGAAGGCCTACCCAGTAGTGATAACAACAGTGATATATGTTACCAGGAAGTCCTACGCAGTAGTGATAAGAACAGTGATATATGTTACCAGGAAGGCCTACCCAGTAGTGATAAGAACAGTGATATATGTTACCAGGAAGGCCTACCCAGTAGTGATAAGAACAGTGATATATGTTACCAGGAAGGCCTACCCAGTAGGCGCCTGAGAACCAAGACTATTATTTTTTTCAGCCTAAGTAAGATTAATGTTGGACTTATTTTCAATGGCTAATGATCAACACAGTAGGGCCGGGCTGGGTAACTCGGGTACTCGGGTCAGGTGGGTCCTGAGTAGGACCTGTTTACCCACAGGACTAACCGACTCGTGGTTAGTCACATGATATATTGTTTAATGACAAAAACTCTCTATAGCTCAGTGGTTACACTACAAGTCGCTATTGTTCGCAATTCTTTCTGATGATGCACACATTCCTTTTGACTTATATAAGTTTGAGTAAAGATGAAGCTTCATTTAACTTCAGTGTATGTATGATCTGATTGTTTGGTACATGTATCTGAATAGTTTTGGCCAGGGTTGCAGTTAAACAATTCCCAATCTAAGTAAGGATAAGAAATTTATGGATGAACAACTTCTTTATTACAATTAAGAGCGACGTTTCGGTGTAGGTTCTAACACCGTTATCAAGCAAGTGAACCTACACCGAAACGTCGCTCTTAATTGTAATAAAGAAGTTGTTCATCCATAAATTTCTTATCCTTACTTAGTACTCCAACTTCTAAATGCCTATCAAAGAAATCCCCAATCTGACATTTATTCCCAACTCTTGAGACCAGCAGTGGGAACCCGGGAAGGGTCGGGCAACAGGAGGCCGGGTACCTGGGTAGTAAATATGGACTTGTCCTAGTCCTACAACACAGGGTTATATAATTGGATTTATCTACCAGTTCACCTATTTATTGGGATCAAGAGAAAATATCATGACCATAATCACGTCAGTAAGAATAATTGAAAAATTGTTCCTCCAGTTTTGACAATAAGAATCTTGAAACAAATTCTCTGCTGTGTACAGCAATGACCTGCAACCATCCCACCCTGCCTGTGGGGGTCAGCATCGACAGCATCGGCAACTACACCTATGACTCCGATGTCAGCTTCAGATGTGACTGGCCTGGCTACCAGATCAATGGTTCATCCTTTGCCAAATGTGTGCAGTCGGAGTTTGGAGGATCTCTCAACTGGAACGAGTCTGTGCCAACTTGCATAGGTATATCGATATATGTATTCTTGATTGATAATCAATATTGATATTAACTAATTTCAACATATTCCTTGTGTTTTCTTTTTTCCTTAATTCAGGATGAATATCAATTAAATTTTATTGCCAAAGTGTAGATGTTAGAAGTATGTATAAAAATGTTGTCATTCTGCTGGCACAAAAAGCAGATAGCAATTATTTCAAAGTGAAAGATAGCAGATCCTAGCAGGTCAAAGGGATGTAACTGTGCATTGCAACAACTATTATACATTTGGCATCCAACATTTGTGGCTACCTTTTATAATATCATCCCTTCTAGACTTGAATCTTGCTTCTGCCCTGTAAAATATACTTTGATATTTAACTAATCACATTACTTCACTCCTTTGAGTAAGACATGAATCAGAAATTTCCCTAATTTAATTTGTTTTGTCTGTGGTTCCTTGTGAAATAATGAAACAATCTTTGGCTGACAAGGTCCACTAGCACAAAGCAATCTTAACATATAGATGATCGTAATTCCTTCGTCTCTATTCCGTGTCCCCCCAGATGAGGAGGCCCCCTCCTTCCCCTCCTGCCCTGTGGGAGGTGTGGTGAACGTGACTCTGTACCAGACAGACATATTCCCTGTCCCGGAGGCAGTGGACAACTCGGGTGCTGTGGCATCTGTGACAGTGTCGCCCCCCTACTTCCATCCCTCCTGGGCTGTCACCAGCGACGTGACTGTCACCTACACCGCCACTGACCACAGCGGCAACAGCGCCGTCTGTGAGATCTCTGTCAGGATCAAAGGTAGGACGAAGCCTAGTGATTCTAGTTACTCAAGAGTCACGAGTCAAGGTTTTATTCATTATTACAGGTCTCTGGCCCTATGGTGACCAGCTCGTCCTTGTTGTAGGTTACGGAATCATGTGAGTGGTGACGAATGACCTCTGGACTTAAGTAGCCTACATTTGAATATAATATTAATGTATTGCCACCAAGACATAAATATGATGTAAGTGTTCCTGTTGCAGAAAATTTACAAATACAAGTATCCATGAACAAAACAATGTGCATACATACCAGGCATACAAATGGTATAGAAAGATCCTGGGTAGAATAGGTCTTCAGCAACCCAGGCTTGCTGTAAAAGGCGACTATGCTTGTCGTAAGAGGCAACTAACAGGATCGGGTGGTGAGGCTCGCTGACTTGGTTGATGCACCAATTGCGTGGATCGTTGTTCATGATGTCAATCACCGGATTGTTTGGTCCAGACTTGATTATTTACAGACCACCGTGACATAGCTGGAATATTTCTGAGTGCGGCATTAAACAACAAACAAACACAAATGGTACAAGATGGTTGATTTATGAGAGCTTCAAATTTTTCAGGCATAGAGTTATCTCCCTTCAATTCAATTTTAACACATACTCATTCAGTATAGTATAGTATACAGCTTCAACACAATAGTTTTTAAAATATCATGATTTACAAAAAATATCAAATATATTAAGTTACAAAGTATTTAGCATCTCCTGCTTAATGATCTTATAAATAATAGAACCAAAAATTCAAGTTTATTTCAAGGTTTGAGATCATTTCATTTGTTAGGACTTTGTCATCCAAAATGTTGTGAAGAATTTTTCCCAAATTGGTTATTATATAGAAGACTGTCTTATAAAAAATTGACAAAATCAGGAAAATGTACTAAAAGGTAGGTTCGACTGTGAGTGAGTCATGCTTCAGCGATGATGCAAGTCATTTGATCACTTATACTTCTCTCACTTATTCCCTCAATCTGTCCCTCCCTCCCTCACTCACTCTATGATCCAGATGAAGAGCCTCCATCTATCAGGTGTCTCGGGTCCAGATATGAGGCAGTGGATGTCAACAGAACTGTCACCTTTGGTGACTCGGATGCCAACGCGACTGACAACAGCGGCAACTTTCAAGTCACCTTTGACCCACAGGCAATCCACATCTCCCTTAACAACGTGGGTGAAAGTGTAGTTGTCAAGGCAACAGCCACAGACGAGGAGGGCAACGCACAGAGCTGTTCTTTTCAAGTTGTTATTGTTGGTACGTATTAACATTCCTAAAGAAGAAGTTGTGCTAGTAATATCACTGTACACATTTCTATGTAACGTAGATCTTATCTTTTGATGTCCATTGATAATGTTAATCTGGTAAGATATGTGGCAAAGAAAAAACATATTGTCATAACACCATGCATGCATGACTAGCATGTGCTGCTGCTGCTGCTGCTGCTGATGATGATGATGATGCTGCTGTACAAACCCCTATCACAGCAGACTGTCTGTTCCCTATCTCCAATCTCAGAAACTCTCTATAAGCACTGATAACCTAAACAAATGTAGCTTGAAAAGCGTATATGTTTATGTTTCAAATTTATAAAAATAAAAAACAGGTTCTTTTGAGCTACACGCCTCATGTTATAGTGTTGGTACTACGACTCTAAAATTGCATTTGTATTTATAATTCAGCCAAGACCTGTCACCCGGAATACCTGTCCACACCTGTGAATGGCCACAAGGAATGTATAGACACAGGGGGAGGCTACCAGTGCAACTTTACCTGTGACCCAGGCTTCTACTTCTATGAGGATTATCCTGACAGTACATACGTGACAGAGTGCCTCACTAATGGGGACTGGAACACAACATACGTTCCTGCTTGTGGAGGTGAGTTAGTCACAGGACACAAAACAAATGTTCCTGATTGTGGAGGTGAGTTAGTTATAGAACTCACGACAAATGTTCCTGATTGTGGAGGTGAGTTAGTCACAGGACACAAAACAAATGTTCCTGTTTGTGGGGGTGAGTTAGTTATAGAACACAAGATGAGTTATCCTGTTTGTGGGGCCGAGTTAGTTATAGAAAACCAGACAAATGTTCCTGATTGTGGAGGTGAGTTAGTTATAGAGTGCCAGACAAATGTTCCTGATTGTGGAGGTGAGTTAGTTATAGAACTCAAGACAAATGTTCCTGATTGTGGAGGTGAGTTAGTTATAGAGTGACGGACAAATGTTCCTGATTGTGGAGGTGAGTTAGTTATAGAGTGCCAGACAAATGTTCCTGATTGTGGAGGTGAGTTAGTTATAGAACTCAAGACAAATGTTCCTGATTGTGGAGGTGAGTTAGTCATAGAACACCAAACAAATGTTCCTATTTGTGGGGGTGAGTTTGTTATGGAACACAAGACCAATGTTCCTGTTAGGTGAGTTAATTATAGAATGCCAGACAATTGTTCCTGTTTATGGAGGTGAGTGCCTGACCAGTTGAGACTTGAACATGTGATGTATTGATGACATACAGTTCCCGTTAAGGGGCATTTAATTTCCTTTCTCCTCAAATTCTTTGTTGCAAAGAGATGCAGATAATGTTAGTAATACAATGAACGACACACTCTATGTCTCTCCAACTTTTGAATATCATCACTGAACATGGTGTACAAACAGAATGTTCTTTGCCTCTGTGTAATAAGGGTAGATATTTTTTAGTTCATAATAACCGTAGTTCATTATAAGCATATATACAGCATATATACAACAAATGGCTGGGACTAAAAAGTAAAATGGTTATATCGGTCACTTCGTTATAAGCGTGTTCATTATAGACGTAGTTTACTGTACATCACACGATTTGCAATAGCTGATCATCAAACTGCATGTATGTGTTTGGCTGTTTGTACTGCTATGGACTTGAACCGTTTTTTCACTGCTGGCCCACTGACATACAATACTGCATTTTAACATGGATACCCCACTCAGACACATTATACTGACTCCTGCCTGACCAGTGCTTGTTTTGTCCTCTTAATGCCGAGCCACAGGCAGGGAAACAACAAGTACCATCTGTGACCATGTTTAAGTATGATGTGGCCAGGGGATCGAACCACTGACTTTCCACTCTCCTGGCAGGCTACTACTACTCAATCCACTGCACCATGGAGGCAGTTGGAAGAAGAATAGAATAGGCCTCTTTCACCAGCCAATAACAACTTCATTGCTACACTATGTAGCTGTGTTCATGAAGTGAATTCTGGCCACTATGTGATTGTTATCCTTGTCAAAAGTGAAGGTTTTGTGAAAATGATAGTTTTTCGTTGAATGCAATGCTTTTCACCTGTGTGTTTCAGCTCCGGGGCTGATAGACTGGGAGCTGCAACTGGCGATCACCTTCAAGGCTGACCCCCCGGCACCCATTTCTATTGAATGTCAAACAACCTATGTTCAGGATTCCATCACCAAGCTGCAGGAACTATTTCTAGTGTTAACACATCAATGCAATATGTCAGAGTTGAGTCCGGAGTATATCAACCATACATACGCTGGACATGACTACATGGTCGACACTCAACAGGTAGGGCACACTTTCCAGAATTCCGTTTTTGAAACATAAAAACATGAAAAAGTGCTTGGTTGGGCAATCAAAAGCAATGGAATCACATTTAATAATTAATTAAGTAACCTGAGCAATCTAATTGCAAATTTACATTATATTTAACTCTCTGGGTTGGATTGTTATTTAACGCCGCACTCAGCAATATTCCAGCTATATGACGACAGTCTGTAAATAATCAAGTCTGGGCCAGACAGTCTAGTGATTAATATCATGAGCATCGATCCACGCACTTGGGATCGATAACATGCATCAACCAAGTCAGCAAATCTGACCACCCAATCCCGTTAGTCGCCTTTTACGACAAGCATAGGCACCTTTTACGGCAAGCATGGGTTGCTGAAGACTTATTCTGCGCCGGATCTTCATGGGTCACATTTTATTTAACAAAATCGTGAATCAAGTCTTTGAAAGGCATTTAGAAGTGATACACACAAGGGAGAGAATGTGTGGATGTCAACTTCTTTATTATGAGGAACACAATGTTTCGGAGTATATGCTTACTCCTTCATCAGGTGAATGAATGCTATGAGGCAGAGAGCATATATGTACATGTACGAACAACGAAAGTAATATGATAACAAAGGGTGTAAACTTAAGGGAAGCCAACAGATAACTGGCACTGATAGGTGATTAACAATAGACGATGGAAGCCAACACTTTACTGTAATTAGTGATGATAGTTATGGACAACTGGAAGCCAGAATAGAATAGAACCAGTGTATGACTGATGGTAAAGGTGAGTGTGAGCCTTGAAGTCTTGCGTTTTCCAGTGTTTACTGCTGTAGCAAAACACATTGTCTCCATTCAGTACATATCCTGTTAGTGTATATTAGATTGCATGATAGCTTGGGATGTCACTATTCACCATTACATCAGTGCATCGATAATATTCAGACGATACGATATTTGATACACGCTTACCTGTATCGATTCGTTTTTCACCCTATATCAATTCATATTTTAATCCCATATTGTTTCACACATGCAACATTTAAAACAGCAGTGGAATGACTTTGTTGACAAAATGGGTCCATCCTTCAATTGATAAGTTATTATTATTAATGTATGCTTTTTCTACAATACACAATGTATGTGGGTTTAAGACTTAAATGCTGTTCTAGTCTTTTTCTAACTGGTGTTGTCACTCCAGTTTTATCTAAAATTTGAATAAATTTGATTTTAATGTCATATTTAGCTTCAAATATGAGACCAGAAATTTAATAGTGAATAAGACCTATGAAATGAAATAATAAATTGCCGCGAATTAAGTATTACGACACATTGTATCGTGAACGCCCTTCCCTTCAGCCTCAAAAGTCTGCCTAGTATCACTGTGTAAAGTCTGGACTCAAAACGTAGCTTTTTGAACACTAAAACGGAATGTGTATATTTTTATTATCTTACTGTCCCCTTTCTATCGAATATATGCACACATGCTGTGTTTGCACATTGACCATGTACCTCGTTGTTGTTGTGCTATAGAAATAGCCTTGTTATTATTATTAGAATATCGGGATACGTATCATATCTGGAGATAGTCGTATCGTGAACACAGTATCAGGAAAGTCTATTATTGTATCATATTCTTGCAGCTGACGTTTGATATTACCTTGAAACTTCTCCCAAATCGGGCCCTCAAGTCTGACTACAACACATGTGCTGAAGTTATCATCGACCAGTTTCCTGTGTTGGCGCCACAACGTTTTATAGTGCCAGCAAGTGCGTCATCTCCCTGTGCTCTGATAGTACCAAGCACTGAGCCCAGCATCAGTGTTATAACCTGTGAAGGGAAGGGGGAGATGAGAGAGACCAATGGGGAAACAATCTGCAGTAAGTATCCATTAATGGCTGCCTTGTGGGTATCAGTTTACTGTACTACAGTAAATTACCGTCATTACGAACACAAAGAGACCAATAATTTTAGTTTGTTATAACCGTAGTTCGTTATAAGCATTTCGACTAAAGTATACAGCAAATGTTCGGGGAAAAACACCCAGTTCGTTTTATCCGTCAGTTCGTTATTAGCGTGTTCATTATAAACGTAGTTTACTGTACTATTTTAAGTTTGTTTTTTCATTTGTTTCTTGTTTAACACTGTTATCAGCAATGTTCAAGCTAGATGACAGGGCCTTAAAGAATCAATTGGACCAGACAATCCAGTGATTGATATTGTGAGCATCGATCCATGCCATTTGGGTATGATGACACTCTATCAATCAAGTCACCAAGTCTGACTCAACTCTCTTACATGGAGATCTGGGGTAAAATAGGTCTTCAGCAACCCATGCTTGCCGTAAAAGGCAACTATGCTTGTCGTAAAAGGTGATTAACAGGATCGGGTAGTCAGGCTCGCTGACTTAGTTGATGCATGTCATCTTATCCCAATTGCGTTGATCGATGTTCATGATGTCAATCACTGGATTGTCTGGTCCAGACTTGATTATTTACAGACCGCCGTCATATAGCTGGAATATTGCTGAGTGCGGCGTTAAACAACAAACAAACAAAAATCTTGCATGGGTTGCCAGGGACCGACTCTAATCTGGACTCCCCACTGGTCATCAGTCTTCTCTCACCATCATGCAGTAATATACTACCACCATGAATCACTGGTTGGCTGATGTGTGACCTTGTATGTTACTACCAATGTTGGTACCCACAATGCTCTGATTATCAATGTTGCTGCCACTGCAGAACTATAGGAAAAACATTTCTGCGGAAATCTGAATATAGTTTTTGGCAGTAGTTAATTGAGGATGTTTAGATGTTTAGACATTATTTCAAGGATGTTAATCTTGTGTGTGGGTGTGTCTTTTAATGTTTATCATCTGTCAATATAATGATATATACCAATCAATGGAGGATCGTAGGTCAGGGCTCCAGTCCACAAAAGGATCTTCGTGTTGATATGATTGTAACTCCACACTTAGACTCACTCCAGTTGTGGCACAAAGATCACTGTGTGGAATGAGGCCTGGGAGAATGTGATGAAATATGCATCTGCAATACATCCCATTTGGTATAATCTCCTTCATAGTCCTGGGGAATGTTTGGACATACTTGTTGCTTATGTATCTGATATATCTTATATATTTTATAACACACAGCTGCTATTGATACCCTACACACAGTTATGCTACAATTGCACACATGTGACATTGCACCATGAAGCATTGTTATGTATGTACTGATGGATGAAACATGGATTTGAATAAACCATGAAGCATTGTTATGTATGTACTGATGGATGAAACATGGATTTGAATAAACCATGAAGCATTGTTATGTATGTACTGATGGATTAAACATGGATTTGATGAAACCATGAAGCATTGTTATGTATGTACTGATGGATGAAACATGGATTTGAATAAACCATGAATCATTGTTATGTATGTACTGATGGATTAAACATGGATTTGAATAAACCATGAAGCATTGTTATGTATGTACTGATGGATGAAACATGGATTTGAATAAACCATGAAGCATTGTTATGTATGTACTGATGGATTAAACATGGATTTGATGAAACCATGAAGCATTGTTATGTATGTACTGATGGATGAAACATGGATTTGAATAAACCATGAAGCATTGTTATGTATGTACTGATGGATTAAACATGGATTTGATGAAACCATGAAGCATTGTTATGTATGTACTGATGGATGAAACATGGATTTGAATAAACCATGAATCATTGTTATGTATGTACTGATGGATTAAACATGGATTTGAATAAACCATGAAGCATTGTTATGTATGTACTGATGGATTAAACATGGATTTGAATAAACCATGAAGCATTGTTATGTATGTACTGATGGATTAAACATGGATTTGATGAAACCATGAAGCATTGTTATGTATGTACTGATGGATGAAACATGGATTTGAATAAACCATGAAGCATTGTTATGTATGTACTGATGGATTAAACATGGATTTGATGAAACCATGAAGCATTGTTATGTATGTACTGATGGATGAAACATGGATTTGAATAAACCATGAAGCATTGTTATGTATGTACTGATGGATTAAACATGGATTTGAATAAACCATGAAGCATTGTTATGTATGTACTGATGGATGAAACATGGATTTGAATAAACCATGAAGCATTGTTATGTATGTACTGATGGATTAAACATGGATTTGAATAAACCATGAAGCATTGTTATGTATGTACTGATGGATGAAACATGGATTTGAATAAACCATGAAGCATTGTTATGTATGTACTGATGGATTAAACATGGATTTGATGAAACCATGAAGCATTGTTATGTATGTACTGATGGATGAAACATGGATTTGAATAAACCATGAATCATTGTTATGTATGTACTGATGGATTAAACATGGATTTGAATAAACCATGAAGCATTGTTATGTATGTACTGATGGATGAAACATGGATTTGAATAAACCATGAAGCATTGTTATGTATGTACTGATGGATTAAACATGGATTTGATGAAACCATGAAGCATTGTTATGTATGTACTGATGGATGAAACAGGGATTTGAATAAACCATGAAGCATTGTTATGTATGTACTGATGGATGAAACATGGATTTGAATAAACCATGAAGCATTGTTATGTATGAACTGATGGATTAAACATGGATTTGATGAAACCATGAAGCATTGTTATGTATGTACTGATGGATGAAACATGGATTTGAATAAACCATGAAGCATTGTTATGTATGTACTGATGGATTAAACATGGATTTGATGAAACCATGAAGCATTGTTATGTATGTACTGATGGATGAAACATGGATTTGAATAAACCATGAAGCATTGTTATGTATGTACTGATGGATTAAACATGGATTTGATGAAACCATGAAGCATTGTTATGTAGGTACTGATGGATGAAACATGGATTTGATGAAACTATGAAGCATTGTTATACATGTACTGAGGGATGCAACATGGATTTGATGAAGCCATGAAGCATTGTTATGTATGTACTGATGGATTAAACATGGATTTGATGAAACCATGAAGCACTGTTACACATGTACTGATGGATGCTACAGGGATTTTATGATGAAGCATTGTTACACATGTACTGATGGATGTTACAGGGATTTTATGATGAAGCATTGTTATACATGTACTGATGGATGAAACATGGTTTTGATGATGAAGCATTGTTTTATTTGTACTGATGGATGAAACATGGATTTGATGATGAAGCATTGTTATCCATGTACTGATGGATGCTACAGATGTGTGTCCCCCCGGAACCTCGTACAACTCCACGGGTCATTGCCAGCTGTGTCAGCCAGGGTCCTACCAGAATGTGTCTGGACAAAGCACATGTACGCCTTGCCCGCTAGAAACCTGGACGGATGGCACTGGGAAAACATCGGAATCGGACTGTATCAGTAAGTTTGTACAACTCCCATTTTTTATCTTTTGCAGCCAGAATGTTTCCATTGAACAGCTGACCTTCTGGGCTGAGGTCGGATGTCATGTCAATGTGACACCTATTAACACTAACAGGGCAAGGTTGTCATCCTTGGAATGACACCCCAGCTGCACTTCATGATTGTAGAATGTTTGTACTGCCAATTGCCGTTTACCAATTTACCAATAAGGTTACACTTGACTCTGGCAGTACCACGCTTCCTCCAAAACCGTTGAGTTAGCTACTTCCAAACTAACACACATGTCGACCCCCTCTGCTACTAAGCCACAGTCTTGGTGTGTTGTCGATTAGGTGCCTTACTCTGGGTGTGTGGGTTTGAATCCCGTTGGGATTTCACCCCAAAAAGTACAAAAAAATGTACATCACTTAGAAAGGGTTATCCCAAACATAACATGTGTTATATTTGACCACTTTCTGAAAGGCATGTAGGGTGTTATCATACACTTTATTAAAGAATTAATATAAATTCCTCTTATTGATGACTGAAGTGTACATTTCTTACCTTATCCATTGTTTCACTTGAATCCATCATTTTACAGGAGTATGCCCTGGTGAGCTTGTATCGGACACCGGACTCCCACCTTGCCGTGAGTGTCCGCCAAACACCTACAAGAACAGCAGCACTCACTGTACCTCATGTGCTGATGACACCATCTTTGTTGGGCTGGATAATCCATTGCTGGGTGACTGTAAAGGTGAGTCAGATTTCTGTATCTTGAAAACTGAAGATGAACAGGCAGTTCCAAATGGAATTTAAAAAAAGGCTGCTTTATTATATTGTTGTGGAATTGTTATAATGTTTGCAAGATCTTCACGCAAGGAGTTATTGAATCAGATCTGACAGATTGTAGAATATAGTAGGGGTGAAACGAAACAGCAAGGTCATGATACATGGGACATGATACTATACATATCGCAATGTTACGTCAAAGCGCATGGAGACTTCTTGACAATAAATATTTCAGAAAGGAAAAGGTAGCTACAGACACATGTTCGTAGCATTTATTTTTAGTAGTGAACTTGTAACGCTAATTACAGCACATATTGCGATATCTTCCTGACAAAAATGTCAGGGATCATAAAATGAGTATTAAATAATTTATTTCAGCAAGTGTATTGTCATGTATCAATACAGAAGAAAATGTATCGTGTATCGGATCATCACATGACAAATCACGATGCACCAGTGCACCGATGTATCGATTCACCCCTAGAATATTGTGACTGTGGAATGGTGGGCTCAAATACAGGAACAGCATAACTAACGGGAGAGCCTTAGGGTTAAAGAAGAAAAGGGAATTTTTACTCAAGAGGCTGTCTCTTTATGACAGGTTACAATCCTAAGCATAACAAGAGTAATTTATCATACTTAAAAAAACAAGAAGATAATGATACATTATATCAAAAGAAATTGAGAAAATATGGCCAAAAAAGGCTAAATCTTTGGATGTATAATTTCATTATTCATCCGAGCTAAAGAGCTGTACAGAAAAAGGGTAATGAGCAGTGAGTCAATTCTTCACATACAACATGAAACATTCCCATCACAAATGTATGCTCACAACTGTTTCTTTCACCAGTATTCAAGAATCCATTCAAATGATACTGCTGAAATTAGAATTTCAGGTTTGAATTAATAAATGAATGTCATTTTTATGTTTTTGACTACTACAAATGTCTGTTCTGCTTGTGCATGTCTCTTGTGTTGTATTGCTAGAAGTCATGGTTGGTCAGATTTTTTAGCTGTGCCTGTTGTGTCAATAACTATTTATCATTTCGGTGTCTTGTGTCATCATGTAAACCTTGTTATATGTGGTTCTGATTTGGGTCAATCCATTAGGTTATATGTGGTTGTGGTTTTAAATCGATCAGTCATGCTATATAAGATTGTCATTTGTGTCAATCATTTGGGATATTTGTGGCTGTGATTTGTGTCAATGAATCGGGCTGTATGTGGCTGTGGTTTGTGTCAATCATTGGAACTGTATGTGGTTGTGATTTGTGTCAATCATTGGAACTGTATGCGGTTGTGATTTGTGTCAATCATTGGAACTGTATGCGGTTGTGATTTGTGTCAATCATTGGAACTGTATGCGGTTGTGATTTGTGTTAATCATTGGAACTGTATGCGGTTGTGATTTGTGTCAATCATTGGAACTGTATGCGGTTGTAATTTGTGTCAATCATTGGAACTGTATGCGGTTGTGATTTGTGTCAATCATTGGAACTGTATGCGGTTGTGATTTGTGTCAATCATTGGAACTGTATGCGGTTGTGATTTGTGTCAATCATTGGAACTGTATGTGGTTGTGATTTGTGTCAATCATTGGAACTGTATGCGGTTGTGGTTTGTGTCAATCAATGGGGCTGTATCTGGTTGTGATTTGTGTCAATCAATGCATGGGCTGTATCTGGTTGTGGTCTTCAATCAATCAGGCAGGCTGTATGAGGTTGTGGTCTGATCAAGATGTATATGATCTGTATCAAACTTCATTCCTTGGCCTTGACCTGAAGAAGTTCAATGCCAGGTCACTATGTGTCATAATGCTTTTGCTATGCTATGGTGTTGGATCTGCTTGTCTCTCTGCATGCCAGGCTAACTTCCGGATCAGTACATGTCCTTGTGTTCATCTATGTGATGTTCCATGGGAGAGTCACAGGTGATGTCATGTTACCGTTGGTGTTGGATCTGCTTGTCTCTCTGCATGCCATGCTAACTTCAGTACATGTCGGTACATGTACATCTGTGTGATGTCTCTCACTTCCATGGGAGAGTCACATGTGATGGTGAAGGACTTCCATCTCTGCTACAGAGTCGGCTTGTACATTTGTTCGTCGGAGAAACCAACAAATGATTGGCGGCACAGACATCATGACTGCCGCTGTCGGAACAAAGGAGTGCGAAGATTCTTGTAACGTGTTCCGGAGACGCTTTGAGCAGCGGCAGTGTGTTGGCTTTAACTTCTTTAAGAGCATTGGCATTTGTTTTCTGTATGATGCTATTCGCTCCTATCAGGGGACCAGCATGTATGACTTCCATGAGAGAGTCTGTCCTCAAGTGACCAAATCAGGTGGGTAGTCATGGTTTCACCATTCGTTTAGTTAGTTGCAGCCTTGTACAAATCCATAAAATCATCTGACGTGTCTGTACAGTGAGAAGGTGGCTCTGTGCCAACCAGAAGCTGTGTGGTATGGCAAGTTCAGTACAGACCATTGGCCTGTTATTGCTGGAACATTTCATGAATTACATGAATGGTTGAACTGTTGTCTAGTTTTTCACATTGCTTTTCACCCTCCTGGTGTATTATACATGTTACACCTTAATTGTACATCAATTGAAATTGCCTTCAAGAATCACTCACTCACTCTGTGATTATTTCCCAGTTCCCTCCACCCTCCTTCCCCCACTCACTCATTACCTCACTCACTCACTCATTCCCACACTGCTTCATTCACTCATACAGATTCTCACTGCTTCATTCACTCATTTCCTCACTGCTTCATTCACTCATACAGATTCACACTGCTTCATTCACTCATTGTCTCACTGCTTCATTCACTCATACAGATTCTCACTGCTTCATTCACTCATTGTCTCACTGCTTCATTCTCTCATACAGATTCTCACTGCTTCATTCACTCATTGTCTCACTGCTTCATTCACTCATACAGATTCTCACTGCTTCATTCACTCATTGTCTCACTGCTTCATTCTCTCATACAGATTCTCACTGCTTCATTCACTCATTGTCTCACTGCTTCATTCACTCATACAGATTCTCACTGCTTCATTCACTCACATGCATTCTCACTCTCATTCTCTCACTCACATTCTCTCACTCAATCATTCAACCACTCATTCCCTCACTCATTCTTTCACTCACTCATTCCTTCACCCACTCATTACCTCACTCACTCATTCTATCACTTCTTCAGTGACACACATGCATCCTCACTCATTACCTCTCTCAATGAATCATTCAACCACACTCACTCACTCACTCACTCTCTCACTCACTCACTCACTCACTCACTGCTTCCCTCACTCACTCACTCACTCACTCACACACAGATACTGACAGCCCTACTTATACATGTTACATCTTCCAGACTGCTACTGTGCAGACAAGTGTGACCCGGGGACATTCTCGTACAGCGGTCATAAACCCAACTGCCGACCTTGTCCCGTAGGCTACTTCACCAACACCACTGGCGCCACTGTGTGCCAGGAATGCCCTGCGGAGGAGACAACGGCAACCAATGGGTCTACATCATGTGTTCCAGGTGGGTTGCCATGGGGAGAGGAGACAGTTAACAATGGATCTGATTAAACATTTCTTAGTGCTCTCCATCATGTTGTCAACATGAGACTATCATGTGAACTTTGTGTGTTTCAGTGGCGGATGTGTTGTGTAACCCCGGGCCATGTGTTAATTCAACATGTGTTATCATAGGACATTCAGAAGAATGCAACTGTTCTGCAGGTAGGTTTGTTGGTTGGTTGTTTGTTGTTTAACGCTGCTCTCAGCAGTATCCCAGCTACCTGACAACTGTGTGTAAATAATCGAGTCTGATATCTTCGCAATTGTGATACGACATGCATCAACCAAGTCAGCAAGTCTGACTAACTGATCCTCTTAGCGGCCTGTTACGTCAAGCATGGGTTGCTGAAGACTAGTTCTAACCAGGATCTTCACAGGGATGAAGGTATGATTGATGTCATCTGTCACTGAAATCACAAGAAACACAAGGGTTGTATTTTCGCCGAACATGAAAATATGAGCCAGCAAAAGAGTGAGAAACACGAAATGTTTTCACAAGTATCTGGGCGGACATAAAAAAATTACACAGTTCTATTTTTTTCAAATAAAAAAGTTATAAATTTGAACATTCTTTAGGGATATTTTATTTTGTATAGGGAGGGGGGAGGGGCAATGGAAAAATGTTACATGTATCATGTATTCGTGGGGGAGGGGGGGCATGAAAAAGAAGACAACAGTCCTATGACCAATCTTCCCCCCCCCCCCCCACTCTAGAAAATTACCAGTCCCTATCTTGTTTATTCTCAGCTTGTATCATCACTCTTGATCACTGTTGTCAATATTAAAGTAAGATGATCCTGTCAATTGCCATGTGTTTGCAAGAGAAGTGATGTGTTTACAGCAAGTGAGCTACAGCTCTGAAAGTGCGTGTTTCTTTTCTAACAATTTATTCAATATTTTGACCTCAGAGTTGACTGGTCGGTACTGTGAGTCGCCGCTGGATACGTGTGCTTCAGGCCCCTGCTACAATGGTGGCACCTGTCAGGCTGTTGGCGCTGGCTTCTCCTGCACATGTGCACTGGGTAAGACAGCATCTTTGTATGGCACAGTTGGACATGTCCTAAATGACAAGTCTACAGTGTTAAGCATGAAAGTCAAGGGGTCCGTGTCATAGGTCTAATGTTGAATTAGAGATTGAGGGGGTCCCTAGATTCAACTACCATAGGAGCCAGTGCCTCAAGGATTTCAGGACCCCTGTGAATTTTGAAAAGTCAGGTATGGATGATCAGCTTTATTATTACAATGTTTGCGATGTTTTGATTCTAACATGATTTTCATCTGCTTTATTGTTTGTTGTATACCATTGTGGTCAGCAATTTTCCATCTCTATCAGTGTGACCTGTGAATAGTCTGAGCTGGTATGAACTCATGCTGATGGGCTATAATACAAGCTCTCAATCAAGTGACTGAACCTAACCACACAATACAAGCACTCAACCAAGTCACTGATCCTAACCACCCAATACAAACAATCCACCCAGTGACTGAACCTAACCACCCAATACAAGCTCTCAACCAAGTCACTGAACCTCACCACCCAATACAAGCACTCAACCAAGCCACTGAACCTAACCAACCAATACAAGCACGCAACCAAGTCACTACACTTCAGCACCCATTCCAATTAAGTCACTTCTAGGGACAAGCAAAAGAGAGCTTAGCATGCATCAGGTGTTAGAATCTACAATTGTAAGTTTGACACAAGCTAGAGTAAGACACACAACAGGTACTAGTGTTGTTGGCAAGGTTTGCAAGTTCTTCTTCAATCAAACAAGTGTTTCAAGGGTTTCTAAATCCTCTTTGTAAAATGATATGCCCCAAATCCTATAATACTGATCCATGAAATATGTCCTCCATGTACAAGAATGTCCATTGTCTCCAAACTGGGCCACAGTCAGTTTTCTTCTGCCATTGCATGGGATAATGTTTTTGAAGAAACATTGTACAATCATTTTTGTAGGTTTTGAAGGTTCCCAGTGTGAGACATATTGTACAATATATTTTTTAGGTTTTCTAGGTTCCCAGTGTGAAACATATTGTACAATAATTTTTTGTAGGTTTTGAAGGTTCCCAGTGTGAGACTAACATAGAGGACTGTGTGCCACAGACGTGTGGTGAAGCTGGAGTTTGTATTGATGGGGTCAATTCCACGATGTGTCTCTGCGTGGAAGGATACAGCGGAACAAAGTCAGTAGGAGTGCTTCCTGTGTTCTTGAGCTGATCACTGTATCAATATGCAATATTTTAGTATTCAAGATATGAGCCACCTCATGTCTTGACCACGAACTGACACCTGAAGGATAATAATGCACCCTTACAGATTCATTCTTTTAGATTAGTGCAGAGGACTAGTGTAAACCTTGTTTCACTGGACTGCAGAGTTTGAAGCTTGATGGAGACAAAAATGTTTAGTGGGTTTAGTTTTGTTTTTGTTCAGTTCCAATTTGTGGAAAAATTGAAACATTGAATATAGGGCGTGGCCTAATAAATTAAAGGGTCTGGATATTTTAACCCTTTGTTGATATTTGTTTTAAATAGTTTACCTCCCTTATCCCATGAACTAAATCATTACAAGAGGTAAGTGAGATGCGGCTGGGATAGTATCTGATTATAATGAGATTGAATATCAACTAAGTAACAGCAAATAATTATTCAGCACTGTGCTCAGTGAGTGCCATTAATTTAACGGACATGTGCTATTGTTATGTTTAAGATAAGACTCCATGAAGGAATCTGTGTTACTTGATCATACATGAATCCACATCCTCGATTATCCATTCCATTACATTTCCATTCTGGACTCATAGCAATCTCATTAAAATCAGATCTTAGTTCTTGCTACTCCTAAACAAAGATCTGAGGACATTATGGGTCACGACCTTACATCCAACCAATCATTACCAACCAACCATCGATTACCTGATCATGAAAGTGACAGTCGGAATGTGATTTCGAATCATGCAACCTCGTAAATTTTTTACATGGGGTATTCCGAACGATAGTTATGGGCTTAACAACTGAATCCATACAATCTAGACTATCTATTAGCCATTCCAGAATGTTCTTTCGTTCAGGTTTCAAATTGTTAATATGTTTCAAAGCATAGTCGCCAGTTTGAAATTAGTGTGTAAAGCATGAGAAAGCTGCCTTCTGATTGGCTAATGTCGACTTCTTGTCAGTCATTCCATTGGCCGGTCAAAGTTTGCACAAGGTCGGTCTGACATGACCCATAATGGGGTGTCCTCAGATCTTTGTTTTAGCGGTAGCGAGAACTAAGATCTGATTTTAATGAGATTGGGGCTCATAGCTTCTTTCCGAGTCTGATTCAAATGACACAAAATATCGCCATCCAAACAAATAAAGAGTTCATTGTTTTATAGACAGAACCCTTTCATCGCAACATTTGAATTTGATCCTTCTGAAATTCTTGTTCAGAAGAATCATATTGATTGGTTGTTGATTTCAATCACATGTGTATGTGAGAGTAATTCTGTGGGAAGCTGGTGGTAGGTGGGGATGGGGACGTCACTTCCCCAATGAAGCTGGTGGTGAATGGGTCCAGGTTACTTATACTATTGATAAAATACACTGGATAAAGGAGGATGGTGTAGCCAGTGTGTAGATGTCTGTGTTGTCTTCAGCTGCCAGACGGTGGATGTGAAGGCGTGTGAGAGGAACCCATGTCAGAATGGGGGCACCTGTCAGCCCCTCAATGACTACTGGAGAATGTGCACATGCCCACCTACCTTCACAGGGGACAACTGTGGGATGGCCATTGGTGAGTATATAAAATTGTTGAGAGGTCCTAATCTTAAATAAAAGGTCTTTAGCTCAACTTTAGAAGATCATTGGTTTACAAATCTGAAGAGCATAGCAAAATAAAAAGTGGAGAAAAACATAATATGAAAAACTCAATGTTTTAATTCCACCAAATGCATGTACAAAAAAATTATATGCTATGATATGTTCCAGGGCAGGAACAGACTAGTGAATACTACACATACACATTATAGCCAAAAACCATTTTAAGTAATAATTAAATTTTGTTTACAAAATTCTAGAAATTTGTTTTTATTTTAATTTTGTTCCATCCTGCCGATGAGGATTTTTTATACAAAACCAAACCCACAAATATAGAATATATTAATAAAGGTACTGTACCTTAATTTGTCCAACTGACTAAACTTAATGATGGTTAACCTTGAATGTCCACAATTTACAATTTAGCCATTTCTTAAAGTTCTGATTTTTCATGTGCAGTTCTGTCGGAGCACACAAGATAAGTATTGTTCTGTGAGCTGCAGAGTATTGTTCTGTAAACTGCAGAGTATTGTTCTGTGAGCTGCAGAGTATTGTTCTGTGAGCTGCAGAGTATTGTTCTGTGAACTTCAGAGTATTGTTCTGTGAGTTGCAGAATATTGTTCTGTGAGTCGCAGAGCATTGTTCTGTGAGTCGCAGAGCATTGTTCTGGGAGGTACATGATTGTTGGTTCAGTTCCAGCCTACTGCGACTCGTCACCCTGCTTGAATGGAGGAACCTGCACCAACAACGCGCTCAACTTCACGTGTGAGTGTCGTGATGGCTTTACTGGCGACATGTGCGAGGTCCGCAACCAGACATGTGCTGCCAAGGATTGTGGGATGTCTGTGGGCTGTATCGATGATCCAGTGTCTGGCTTGTCACACTGTCTGTGTGGCACCAGCTATGTCAAGGTCGAAGGTCAGTCTACCACCTGTGTTGAAAAACCTATATGGAAGAATCATCATGTAATGTATTTATTAACTTTGTTGTTTATTGTTAATTTTGGGATTTAAGCTTATCAAGTTTCAGCATAAACGAGACAATATCTTAAGTTTCTTAAAGTCTTAAGTTTAGCTTAGTGACATTTTATTTCCATTTTATTTCCATCTGTTACCATAACAGAACATATTAACATTTTGTTTTAATCTGTTACTATCGAGTCCAATGTACACTGACATTCTATCTCGATTTGTTACTTCCAAATACAGTATTCTTTGTAAATCTGTTACAACAGGATTCAACATCAATCTGTTACTACAGAATACAGTATTCTTTGTCAATCTGTTACTTCAGAATAGTGACACTCTGAATCTGTTTTTTACAATACAGAAAAGTGTACAGCTATTGACTACTGTCAGAGTGGGCCGTGTGTGAACGGTGGTACCTGCGAGAGCACAGAGGGAGGCTACACCTGCCACTGTCCCCCCAAGTACATTGGCTCTCTGTGTCAGCACCTGGTCACCTACTGCGATGCTGAGCCATGTCTCAACAACGCCACCTGTTGGGAGGGAGATGGACGCTTCGTATGTGACTGTGCGGCCGGCTATCAGGGTCAGTAGAAATAAACATGTACCTTCTGCTGGATACAGCAAAGGAATATATCTTAACCATTTTCCCCAGAACAATAATTGTTGATGATATTGTGGAATTACCAAAGTGATTTTAAGAGCTATTGGATGCGATTGTCCTCCCATGGTCAGAATATTGTTCCCAAGTACCTCATGCTTGTCACCCTAATGTCAGAATATTGTTCCCAAGTACCTCATGCTTGTCACCCTAATGTCAGAATATTGTTCCCAAGTACCTCATGCTTGTCACCCTGATGTCAGAATAGGTCCCCAGCACCTCATGCTTGTCACCCTGATGTCAGAATAGGTCCCCAGCACCTCATGCTTGTCACCCCATGGTCAGAATAGGTCCCCAGCACCTCATGCTTGTCACCCTGATGTCAGAATAGGTCCCAAGTTCCTTATGCTTGTCACCCCATGGTCAGAATAGGTCCCCAGGATCTCATGCTTGTCACCCTGATGTCAGAATAGGTCCCCAGTACCTCATGCTTGTCACCCTGATGTCAGAATAGGTCCCCAGCACCTCATGAATCAATTATTTACAGGCAATAGTGATATAATAGAATAAAAGTGACACATGGACCACCTTCGTGTGCCAGATCTCAATATCATAGGAACATAGAGTGATGAAGGAGGAAAGAGTGTCATCATTCATTGCTTCAGGAAGATGTTCTTTGTTAAGGTTAAAAATAATAATGGTCTTGGTTCTCAAGCACCGCCCGCATCATCATAAAGTCTGCCACACATTTCGTTTTCATTTCCATTTTCCCCCCAAAATAAAAAATAATCCTTATACTTAAAGAACAATACAATCCAATATAGAATGCAGTAACTTCCCTTGCTTTACTGTGCATCTCGTGTTATGGTCATAGCGGCAAAAAGAGTTTGTGTGCTTCTTTATTAAGGGAATCCTTTCCCAGGTTGATGGTACACATAACATACAAATTTGAACAAGCAACAACAACAAAAAAACACCACCTGCCTGCACTATATTTTCAAAAGTCATTGCCTGAGAAACAATTTTTAATTTTTTAAGCCTAACAGTTTACCATTGTTTTCCAGGTGATACCTGTGCTGAAAACATGGATGAGTGTGTGTTTTGTGACCCAACTGGCATGAATAGTTGTGTTGATGGAATCAACAGCTACACCTGTTTCTGTAAGCCGGGATACACAGATGCAAACTGCTCGGTAAGAATCCACATGCTTCCATTTCCCCATACCATACATAGACATTGCAGTTAGTCTGTAAAATGAATTTATAGAGACAATAGTCCCAGATGGGAAATTTGAATGGGAACAATATATAAATTTATGCCATGTCAATTTGTCATACAATAAATGAAGTTTTGTAGATATTGTTGTAAGTAATAAAGAAAATTATGTTTTCACTGATTTGATGTTAGATTTGTTCATGTACCGTGAAGCACCCTGCTTCATCTGAACATCCACAGATTCACCTGCAGGAATATAAATACATCAACACTTTGATGATAAATACATCAACACACATTCTGATGAAGGAGTAAGTAAATACTCTGAATTGCTGTGTTCTTTATAATAAAGAAGTTGACATCCATAATTTCTCTTCCTTATCAGCACTATGCTTGTAGAATGTGATATCTCTGACTGCAACATTACCAACATATTATTTGATCATTTCTCTCTCTGCTTGGCATGTTTTGAAACAGATGAACATTGATGACTGTGTCAGTGCCCCATGTCAGCAGTCTGGGACGTGCATAGACGGCATCAACGACTATACATGTATCTGCCCAAGAGGATGGACAGGCAAGGACTGTGAGATGCTCGTTGACCAGTGCGCAATGAACAACACCTGTGATAATGCAGCGCCTTGCAGCAGCCTCTTCAATGACATCTACTGCAGGTACCACCCCCACTCCATGCCACTGGAGTACTCCCACCACACCGCTAAGTCTCCATGTGTATCCTGTGATGCAGGGGAGTCTTTTAAACCATGGAACACCAAACCTAAATCCCCAATCCTGACACGTATTCATGAATAGGCACAATTTCATTCTCCCACACTTAAGGAATCAAGGCTGGCATAGATAACATTAAGCTTTGGATGTGAACCTGCTTCCACTATGTCAACATGGTTCTAGATTCAACACCTAGCTGGAACAACAGGAGAGGTTATACTGGTACTGTTGTGTTAAGTTTCTGTATTGTTGCCTTTTAGAATATTGATAAGAGCAAATTCATCTTTAAGGCCAATGATTATACTTAAATTGTCAAGGGATTTCATGAGGTGAATTGAACCTAAACTTTGAGGTAAAATTCAGTTAAGGTCTTAATTTGATTATTTTGATTATACCAGTTAATGAAATGAGATGGAGTGGGTGTGTCTTCAGTTAATTGGGCATTTTTCTTGTAATACAAGTGTCATGCCCAACTAAGATATTGCTGATGAAGCTGAGCTATTGCTGCCAGGATGGTGTAATCTGCTGTAACTCCTCTACTCCTGCTGGTGCAACCCCCTCTACTCCTGCTAGTGCAACCCCCTCTACTCCTGCTGGTGCAACCCCCTCTACTCCTGCTGGTGCAAACCCCTTCCAGTCCTGCTGGTGCAACCCCTTGTAACCCCCTCCACTCCTGCTGGTGCAAACCCCCTCTACTCCTGCTGGTGTAAACCCCTTCCAGTCCTGCTGGTGCAACCCCTTGTCACCCCCTCTACTCCTGCTGGTGCAACCCCCTCTACTCCTGCTGGTGTAAACCCCTTCCAGTCCTGCTGGTGCAACCCCTTGTAACCCCCTCTACTCCTGCATGTGCAACCCCCTCTACTCCTGCTGGTGTAAACCCCTTCCAGTCCTGCTGGTGCAACCCCTTGTAACCCCCTCCACTCCTGCATGTGCAACCCCCTCTACTCCTGCTGGTGTAAACCCCTTCCAGTCCTGCTGGTGCAACCCCTTGTAACCCCCTCTACTCCTGCATGTGCAACCCCCTCTAGTCCTACTGGTGTAAACCCCTTCCAGTCCTGCTGGTGCAACCCCTTGTAATCCCCTCCACTCCTGCTGGTGCAAACCCCCTCTTCTCCTGCTGGTGTAAACCCCTTCCAGTCCTGCTGGTGCAACCCCTTGTAACCCCCTCTACTCCTGCATGTGCAACCCCCTCTACTCCTGCTGGTGTAAACCCCTTCCAGTCCTGCTGGTGCAACCCCTTGTAACCCCCTCCACTCCTGCTGGTGCAAACCCCCTCTTCTCCTGCTGGTGTAAACCCCTTCCAGTCCTGCTGGTGCAACCCCTTGTAACCCCCTCTACTCCTGCATGTGCAACCCCCTCTACTCCTGCTGGTGTAAACCCCTTCCAGTCCTGCTGGTGCAACCCCTTGTAACCCCCTCTACTTGATGGTGCAACCCCCCCTACTGCTGAACCAAATCTTATCCACTGTAAACATAACTTGCCTATGTTCCACATCAGCCAGCCTGGCAGACATACTGGCTGTCACACCAATATCACACATTCAATGGAATCCATTTATACAGTTTGACTTTTCTCCACAACAGGTGTTCAGATCTTACTCATGGTGATCGATGTGAAACTGTCCTTGACCTGTGTCGGGATGCCAACCCCTGCCTTGACGCTGCGGCCTGTGTTGAGAACGGCACAGCAGCCTCCTGTCAGTGTCCAGCAGGTAAGCTGATCTACATTTCATGCCATTTCATTTTAATTCTGAGTCTCTGATATAGCAACTATCTTTTCATCTTCTGGGCCCTAAGCTACACTGTACGAGATGGTTTGTATAATGCATCCTCGGTATCTCCAGAGTTATCATCCCGGTAAACTTACACTAACCCCTGGATCCATTCCCGTGGTTCCCTCATTCTCAAATTACCCGCCCTTGATTTTCTTTAGCCGATTTGATTTGCTACGCAGCTCTATCTAACAGACCAATCTGAATGCAAGCAACAAACCAGACATTGTACAATGTAGGGTTGGCGACATCAGCAATTATGGTGGCAAGTCCCATTGGTTACGATAGAGTTTGCAATCAACATTGACAAACTGACTGACACACAAAAGAAAGCCCTCAAAATTCTTTTTGATGGAAAGGAAGTCTTCATGTCCACCTCCCTTACCCATTTCCTTTTTCCTTATCTTTGACTTTTTGTAAAATGTAAATTGTTAATGAAAATCAAGGGTGGGTAATATAAGATTGTGAGAACCACGGGAATGGATTCAGTGGTCAGTGTAGTTTATGGAAATGCAAGCCTTGGGAACATAAAGGTTGTGTATATTGTGACAGCTTCATTTGTCTCTTGTGACGACCCTGACAAGTCGTGGACTTTCCATATCTTAAGATTCCAAATGTCAGTAATGGAACTCAAATTGCTATCAAAATGCCATCTGTATCCTCCCTATACCATCACAGAAACCTCTGGCACATCGTGTAACAAGCTGATCATCCCTCAGTGTGACGCAAGTCTCTGTGAGAATGGGGGCACCTGTTCTCGGTCAGATGCAGGCACAATCTCGTGTTCCTGTGTTCAAGGTCTGTATTCATATTCACATGCTTGTTAGAAATGAAATATTTATGAAATTGCAAACTCAGAATTCTAGAGTTTGCTCATAAAATTATAGTCATTAGGGATGAAATGAAATGTAACAAAACATATTTGGTGCTTGGTGTGAATGACAAGCCATTGAGTAATATTCAATCTCACATCAATACTTTATTTCTTACATTTGTTTACAAACTCAAAGGAAAAAGACTCTTTTCAATCATTTTTCTTATTCCACAATCATAAAATAATTTGGTCAGACAATATGTGAACCTAGTAAAATGTATCCAAGATTTGTCAATGGAAATTTGATAAATGACTGACATATTAAAGTTTAGTTATTTCTGATAGAAACAGAAATTAAAATGTTCATTTTCAAAGTAACATGTACAATTTTCAGACAGCTTATTTGCAAACCTATAAAATAAATGCTTTTGATAAAATAAAGTAGATCATGTGTATATATCCAGTCTCATAGGACAATGTTCCTTGTTGGAGTCGTCATGACAGAGTGTTGCTTGTAGGGTATGAGGGCAGTCGGTGTGAGACCAACACCAATGACTGTGCAGCTAACCCCTGTGTGTCCCCTGCAACCTGCCTGGATGGTGTGAACCAATACTTCTGTCGCTGTCCGGTGGGGAAACTGCCTCCTACATGTAACACAGGTAAGACTGTAATATACCTGTGTTTCCCCTGCAACCTGCCTGGATGGTGTGAACCAATACTTCTGTCGCTGTCCGGTGGGGAAACTGCCTCCTACATGTAACACAGGTAAGACTGTAATATACCTGTGTGTCCCCTGCAACCTGCCTGGATGGTGTGAACTAATACTTCTGTCGCTGTCCGGTGGGGAAACTGCCTCCTACATGTAACACAGGTAAGACTGTAATATACCTGTGTTTCCCCTGCAACCTGCCTGGATGGTGTGAACCAATACTTCTGTCGCTGTCCGGTGGGGAAACTGCCTCCTACATGTAACACAGGTAAGACTGTAATATACCTGTGTGTCCCCTGCAACCTGCCTGGATGGTGTGAACCAATACTTCTGTCGCTGTCCGGTGGGGAAACTGCCTCCTACATGTAACACAGGTAAGACTGTAATATACCTGTGTTTCCCCTGCAACCTGCCTGGATGGTGTGAACCAATACTTCTGTCGCTGTCCGGTGGGGAAACTGCCTCCTACATGTAACACAGGTAAGACTGTAATATACCTGTGTTTCCCCTGCAACCTGCCTGGATGGTGTGAACCAATACTTCTGTCGCTGTCCGGTGGGGAAACTGCCTCCTACATGTAACACAGGTAAGACTGTAATATACCTGTGTGTCCCCTGCAACCTGCCTGGATGGTGTGAACCAATACTTCTGTCGCTGTCCGGTGGGGAAACTGCCTCCTACATGTAACACAGGTAAGACTGTAATATACCTGTGTTTCCCCTGCAACCTGCCTGGATGGTGTGAACCAATACTTCTGTCGCTGTCCGGTGGGGAAACTGCCTCCTACATGTAACACAGGTAAGACTGTAATATACCTGTGTGTCCCCTGCAACCTGCCTGGATGGTGTGAACCAATACTTCTGTCGCTGTCCGGTGGGGAAACTGCCTCCTACATGTAACACAGGTAAGACTGTAATATACCTGTGTGTCCCCTGCAACCTGCCTGGATGGTGTGAACCAATACTTCTGTCGCTGTCCGGTGGGGAAACTGCCTCCTACATGTAACACAGGTAAGACTGTAATATACTTGTGGGTAGGAACTCATCTGGGCCTCATTCCAATGCAATCTCATTAAAATCAGATCTTAGTTTTCGCTACCGCTAAACAAAGGTATGAGGACATCCCATCATCCATAACGGGTCACGTCAGAACGACCATTTGCGAATTTTGACCGACCAATGAAATGACTGACAAGAATCGACATTAGCTTTCTCAAGCTTTATGACATTAGTTTCAAACTTGCGACTACACTTCGAAACATATTTTGACGTATTTTGATTAAAAAAATTAAAACTGATAAGAAGAACATTGTGGAATGGCTTATAGATGGCCTAGATTGTATGGATATAATCAGAAAACCCGTAACCGTCGTTCAGAATACCCCGTGTTAAATATTTCGTGGTTGCATGATTAGAAAACACATTCCGACTGTCACTTTCATGATCTGGTAAGCGATGATCTGATTGGTTGGATGAAAGGTCGTTCTGACGTGACCCTTAATGGGATGTCCTCAGATCTTTGTTTAGCATAGCGAGAACTAAGATCAGATTTTAATGAGATTGATTCCAATGTGATGTCCGAAAGGTGCTCCTTGGTCAAGGTTTGAAGTTACAGTAAACTACATCTATAACAAACACCCTCATAACAAACTGACGGATATAACAAACTGTTTTTTTTGGTCCTGTCCATATTCTATTATATATGCTGTATATGTGCACATAACAAACTACATTTATATACTGGTCACTTTGAGTTGGCTGAAACCGTAGTTTACTGTATGTAGTGTGTAGTTACGACTTCCCTAGATTAAAATGAGCAGTTATTGTGAGTTACAGACTCACTGTCTGACTATGAAATACAAGGCGGAGTAGCAAGATGCTCTAGGGTGCCACAATTTGCTGTACAGAGTTATGTCCCTTAGTTGCCAGGATTCGCTGATCATGGATCAGATCCCAGGTTTGTGGCAGGTATGACCCATGTGTGGTCTGTCAGGGCTATATGTACATTATAAAATGGAACTTTGATGTAGTTGGCATCTTTTTGGCTTTCCTACCAAATCAAACTGTCGTCATGTCATACTGTTCAAAGTATGTTTAATGCATTGCAATCACTCTCATGGCTGTTCTTCCAGACACAGACATAAACTACGACATGTGTTTCAATCCGTCCGTGACACACAGAAGTGCTGCTCTCCCGTACTCCATCCCCATCACCTACGACAACAACGGAGGCTTCAGCATCACGCTGTGGGTCAAGTACTCCAAAGTTGGTGGCCTTGGAACATTCTTCAGTCTTTATGAGGACATGTGAGTAATAATGATAACTGATAATCAAACTAATACACTTGTGTTCCAAAACTGGTGGGGCACGGGTGGCCCAGTCGTCTGAGGTGCAGCGATTTGCTGTGCAGAGTTGCATCCCTTGGGCATGCCAGAAACCTATGATTGTGGGTTTAAATCCCGGTTTGCCCCGATTATGTTTCTAGGTTTGGCAGCACCATCCATACCAGTGCTCATGGGTTTCACCGAAGTGGTAAACGTCTGAGACCTGTATCACTTCAGGCTTTCCTCACACATTAACGGCGTGATATAACTGGAATACTGTTAAAAGCGACCTTAAACAAAACTCACTCACTCACTCACTCACTCACTCACTCACTCACTCACTCACTCACTCACTCACTCACTCACTCACTCACTCACTCACTCACTCACTCACTCACTCCAAACCTGGCTTCCACAGGAGATATCACTAGAGTGAGATTAATAAAACTACAATGAAATGAAATGAGTTGCTGACCATTGTGATGTCATCAGTTATCATGATGTCACAATCAAATGACATCACTAATCTCTGCCACTGGTTATCTGAAGCGCGTTGCAAGCCACGAATCGCTTAGAGTAAGCAAATTAATCGCTCTCTTTAGTGTCTGCAACAACTTGAAGTGCTTGCACACGCTTCCAAAATGGTGGTGCAACTACCACATGGTTGCCTTGCCCTAATGAAAATAATAGAACAGGCTCGATGACTAGCCGATGCATTTATGACTACTTTGAACATCTGGAGCAGACTGAGGATGATGGAGTGTTAGCTGCCTTTGACAATTTACCAGTAGATCCAGTCAAGAATTTCTTCTCCAGCTGTCAAACTAAGCCGCCATTTTGGTTTGAGAACAAAGCAACCCCAGTGTGCGATTGTTGCGCTTGCAAGCAGCTGAATATTAGCGCACCAATGTAAGGCAAATCTCTGTACATTGCTTGCAAGTGATTGGCACTTTGTAACGCACCCCTGTACTTTGTACACAAGTTATGTCCGTTTTCAAACTGAAAAATTTAGAAGAATGATTTTGGATGATAAATAGAATCTCACCCTTATGCTCTTTGATATCAAATATATCAACACAAGTTGATAAATGTTGTAGACTCTTCAAGCAGTGATATCACTGGAATACAGTTCAATCGGCGTTAAACCTAACTCACTCACTCACTCATCATTTCATTTATTTGCATTCAGTTTATCACCGAGGCATAATTAAGAAAACATTTTTTTCAGTTAATTTTATGCGGTTTGCACAGTTCACTGCTTTTCAAAGAGTTGACAACTTGACAAAACATTGAAGTGATTCTTATACCCATACATATTAGCTGTGTCCTTGGACGTAAAGTAGTATTTTTTAAGCTTTCTGTATGGTATCAAATTCAAGTGTTTTTGTGAATATTTTGTGTCTGAATATTACACTTTTGCACAAGGTTATTAACAGTTAACAGGTTCAGAATTTGGTATTATGGACCCTATGAGTGTACTCTTTTTATCTGGTTGAATTGTAACCTGGCTTCTATTTTTTTAACAGTTTTCGAACTGTGTCCAGAGGGAGCATTATTACAATAAAAGAATAAATGTAGAATAAAGAAACAGGAAATAAAAAAAATATTATTTGCAAAGAATGAATCACTTTGTATCTTTGTTTTGTTGTCTCATGGAGACATAGCAGTGTGCCAGTGAAGATTCTATGGTATGATTGTCACCAGTAACCTAGGCTTGTAAAAGGTGTCTAAATTGAGGTGATGGTAAGGTTTGGTGACTTGATGATCATCTACCCCTGTGGCATGGAATATTGCTCATATTATCAATCACCGGTTTGTCTTGTATAGACTTGAAGTATTACGGTCACTGTGATAAAGCTTGACCGTTGTTCGCTACATTGTTAAACAACAAACAAAGCATTGCTCTAAACGACATAGCATTTGTTTTGTTTTGTTTGTTGTTTAACGCCGCATTCAGCAATATTCCAGCTATTTGAGGTTGGTCTGTAAATAACTGAGTCTGGACTGGACAGTCAGGTGATTGATATCATGAGCATCGATCCACGTAATTGGGATACAATGACATGCATCAACCAAGTCAGCGAGCCTCATCCAGATCTTCACAACACGTCATCATGAGCTAAACTGATGACAAATTGATAATCCTTAGTAACCAACAGTGACTCAAATTTGTTGATTTGATTTACAATGTGGCTGCCACAGACTTTGTAATTAGGACAGTTAGAGAGGTGTCATAATTTTATGTGTAGATCTGGAGGCGGAATGACGTCCACAAGACCCTTGTTCTACATCAGTGAAGTTGGAGTCTACAGTTACCTTGGCAACACCCAGATGCTCCTGCCCTTCTTAGACATCATCTCTGTCAACGATGGTACCTGGCACATGGTCATCGTCACCTGGGACAACACCCGGGGTGAGCTCAGCCTCATCATGGACAGCATCAGACACCGTCGCCAGGCAGACTACGCTGCAGGACAACCCCTTCCACCAAGGTATGCTGCAGAGGAGGGAGGACTCTTTTTTAATTTATGTTTTTATACAGATAATTTAAAAAAAAGAAATTGTCAGGTATATGGTATTCTTTAAATGGACATTGATTGCCTCTCAAACATCTTATTGTCTGTCTTCTATCTGCCTTTCTGCCATGGCTATTGGTTTATAACTTTGACAGATATCAATGGATTTTGACAACGCTTTGGTATGGATATTTCCACGTTATGAACAGGTCACATTTGATAATGAGGTCGGTTGTGACAAAGCAAAAAGTAGAACTGGTCAGGGATTAGTTCAACATATGTGACCAACCAGGAGAAAAGGGACCTCATGACGTCCTAAAGACATTTGACGTTGACGTACTTCAGTGAAAATTGCCATGTGTGATGTCATGTATCTCTGTAATGAATATGAATTGAAGCTTGTGAATTGTATTTTTGTGTTCCAGTGATACTGCAGTTTTAAAATATAATGAAAGTCAAAATGTGATTTTTCACCCATAAGGTCCCTTATATCATGGTTCGTAGGGGCGGTCGGGTAGCCTAGTGGTTAAAGCGTTTGCTCGCCACGCCGAAGACCAGGGTTCGATTCCCGACATGGGTACAATGTGTGAAGCCCATTTCTGGTGTCCCCCGCCGTGATATTGCTGGACTATTGCTAAAAGCGGCGTAAAACCATACTCACTCACTCACTCTCATGGTTGGTCACAAATATTGATAAGTTGTCTGTATGTTATGTAACTATAAGTGTGTGTGTGTATTGGGCAATGTTTCTCCAGACTGTGGATCTCTGTGGGTGCCCACCCGGCCCCGCCCTCTGCCACTGCCCCTGTAAACTCCTCCGAGCCCTTCCACGGCTGTGTGTCACAAGTCAACCTGTACAGTCGACATCTGGACTTTGCATCTGAAGCAGCAGGGCTGGACGGTCGACCAATGGCAGCACTTTCACCGGGGTTAGTGATGAGGTGGACGGAGCTTGACACGCGTGGATCTACCCTCATAGCCCGACCCTCCACGGCAAAGCTGTGTCCGAGTGGCGATGCATCATGTCGGACTCCAATCAGAGGTCAGCACCATACCACTTGACAGTTCTATGCAACTAATTTGGCTTGTTTCATCATCTGGCAATAGCATTCACACATAGCACTTTTGTTACAGACATGTCTTTAAGACTACACACTTTTTTTCTTTTAAGAACAATTTGTGACGTTCAACTCAGTTTTTGGTTCATTCAGTTATTTCCTGAAACAATATTGTTTTTTCTCGCAATTTTCAGGCCCCCACAACACGAAATATAAAAAAAAAAACAGCCCCTTATCATATGGTACATACAATACTGCAAAAATCTCGTTATTTCTCATGAGACTTGATTGGCTTGTTACTTCTCTCGGAAATCATTCATCACTTCAGACCTTATTTTGTTTCACACAAAGAAGTTCCCTTTAGGATTCATTCAAGTCAACCGACATCATTAATGCCAGACCAACTGCTTTTTGTGTAAAGATTGAATGAGACAGTCAACCAGATTGTTTTTTATTATAAGTTTATGAGTATCCTTGTCAAAGTAAACATATGACCCCTGATAGTTCATTTATGTCTGATTTCTTTTGATTTCTACAGATTCTTCTCCTGTGAAGATGGTATTTTGTCCTGAGAACCAGTTTGTGCCTGCCCCATCTGGAACTGTGCAGGTTTACTGGGAGGACCCTCGATTCAGTGGAGCCCAGTCATACATGTCCAACTACAGACCAGGTACTTTGTTGTAACAGGTCAAATAAGTATTGATGCATCCCCACCATACAAGTATCGATGCATCCCCACCATACAAGTATCGATGTATCTCCACCATACAAGTATCGATGTATCTCCACCATACAAGTATTGATGCATCTCCACCATACAAGTATTGATGCATCTCCACCATACAAGTATTGATGCATCTCCACCATACAAGTATTGATGCATCTCCACCATACAAGTATCGATGCATCTCCACAATACAAGTATTGATGCATCTCCACCATACAAGTATTCATGCATCTCCACCATACAAGTATTGATCCATCTCCACAATACAAGTATTCATGCATCTCCACCATACAAGTATTGATGCATCTCCACCATACAAGTATTGTTGCATCTCCACCATACAAGTATCGATGCATCTCCACCATACAAGTATTGATGCATCTCCACCATACAAGTATTGTTGCATTGCCACCTAAAGTTACATTTTGGCTGGACTAACGAGTCTGTGCATACTCCAAACAAAATTGCGTAACAAAATGGACATCCGGTTTGAAAACAACATAGAGACTGCCGTGCAGATTTCAGTCAATCGCAGGATTTGCAAAGCGTGTGTACCATCAACTGGGCATGTTCCAAATGTGTTCATGTTTTAATCAAGGTGCTTGAGTGATTTGATGTACTCCGGGAGTTCAGACCCGTTTTATATAGATCTTGATTATCGACCAGATCGTGTAGACTGGGCACCGCCATTTTGTTTGAAGCAAATGCAGGTGATATGAGAGATGGAATCTGATTGGTCAATAGGGGGGACATAGAAGTGACGTAACTAGTAATATTAGCCACTTGAAATTCCAGCTTAGTTCGGCAAGGGTGGAGATTGGACTTCTATAGTCAGTTAACTCCCTTGCCTCGGGAAGATGGTCTAGAAGCTGTCCAGCTATGTATGTTTTTTCACAACGCCGTGAATGGATAGTAATTAGTGGGCTAGATTCTACCTAACTTTGGTATATGGTAGTGATAAAGAATAATGCTTCAGATGATAAAACATCAAGAACTTGAGGTCCTGAGATGGGAAGTATGGGAGATATCCTATGTACATATATTTTGAGGTGTTGAGCAAGTGCCCATGTCACTATGAAAATACAGAAATCTTCTCATTTGAAGATGAATATGTATTGATGGAGAGGATACAGGAACAGATTTGATAGAAAGTATACATGTGTAGTATAAGCCGAGGTTATGACCAGAAACTCAGAAATAGGTCACTATTCAGTATTGTCATTGAACTGACTCATTTTAAGCTTCATATCAAGTAGATGTCTTCTGGATTTTATAACAGTTGTGTAATGGCTCATCAAAAGTTGATTGTAGTGCGTCAACTCTTAAGATTTCCAAACTGCTTTTGTATTGGTTTAATGAGATTGTTCAAGGTCTGTTTAATTTCCTTCAATATTACAAAGGTGTTGCACTTTCAACTGGGTCCCACATGGTGGTGTGTGAAGCTCGAGACGCAGCGGGGAACGTGGCCCTGTGTTCCTTCATGGTGTTTGTGAACAGTAAGTAGCAGCAGCAGTGTCTTACATCAATACTACTTCTGACTTCTCCCACATGGACTTATGTCACAGACTATGTAGGACTTTTTATCTTCTAGATGTCTGCTTAAGTGTTTGTGTGTACATTACACAATTTGAACCCTTACGTTTGTTGTGCACAAAGTTGCTCTATTTCACCCCCGTCAGCAGTATGAGTTTGCCGTGAATAGCTGTAAAACTGCTGATACGGCATAAAACAATAATCACTCACGAGTGTAAATTATGCAACCATGAAACATAGACTTAGAAGTTACTTCAAACAACAAGTGCCTTCTTTCCTATGACACTAAGTCATAGGACCCGTAAAAATACAGGGAAGAATAGGTCTTCAGCAACCCATGCTTGTCGTAAAAGGCGACTATGCTTGTCGTAAGATCGGGTGGTCAGACTCGCTGACTTGGTTGATGCATGTCATCGTATCCTAATTGCGTGGATCGATGCTCATGATGTCAGTCACAGAATAGCCTCGTCCAGACTCGATTATTTACAGACTGCCGTCATATGGCTTCAATATTGCTGAGTGAGGCATTAAACAATGAACAAACAAAACTAAGTCATAGTTTAATAATGATGTTTCAATGAAACTTTGGAGGGTAATATCAGGATTTGATCAAAATGTTAAATACTTTGGTCATCGCACAGGCCTCTATGTTATATGGGTCTGTGGTTATAGGTCAGCTGATGTCAGAATATGGCCAGTTTGTTTTTCTTGTTTCATAGGAATGTGCATACCGTATTTTCTTGAGTATAGTGCACACTTTTTTCTCCAAAAAAACACAGCTGTGTAGAAGGGGGTGCGCATTATACACAAATTAATGAGTTTTGATGTTTTTCCTCCATGGAAAGACATTACCGTGAGCACGTAACACCGGAAATACCATGTCAATAAATCCATACTGAAGTACGCAAATTAATCATGTAATTTTTAATCTCAAATTTCGAATTTGTACTGAATAAGTTACTCATCACCCGTTCGTTTGCCGGACTTCGCTAAAGGGGTACGTTGTAATTTTTTTCTGCGCTTGGTATTCAAAAAGATTTTTTCCATGATATTGAATCCGCTAGAGGGGGGTGCGCATTATACATTGGTGTGCACTATACTCAAGAAAATACGGTACACAAAAGTTTAAAAAATTAAAAAAAGAAACTGCCCAGATTGGAAGTATGCTTATTTGATAACGGGTACATGTGATGATTATTCTGTTTCTACTTTCTAGGTGAGTCGTGTCCGGCTCAGGCCAGTCCTCGGGGCGGGGGAGACAATGTGTGTGAAGCCAGTAATGGAACATGGCCATTCACAGCATGCACCCCCTCCTGCCCCGCCCCCACCCACGGACTGGTGCAGGCCGTGCCCAACTACTACACCTGTGGCCCTGGGGGTAGCTGGACCTCTCTAGCTGACACCGATGGACTCTACCCCCCATGTGGAGGTAAGGAAAAACACCCTGGATCTACCCATACACAGATATATGTGGTGCTTAATAATGATTCTATCATTTGATGCATGAGTCAGCTCAGGCATCACCTGTTGTCAAAGTCTGCTGTCATTTGTTTTCATTTCGTAGTTCATCGGAAACGCATGCAGAGTAGGACACTGGGTTATTGCTGTACACTGATAATGACTGATACAAAGAGAATCTCACCCGAGTGTCTTTTGATATCAAATATATCAACACGAGTTGATAAAAGTAGAAAAGCATCGGGGCTTGTTGAAGTGTTTTTCCACTTTTATCAACGAGTGTTGATATATTTGATATCAAAAGACACGAGGGTTAGATTTTATTTATCATTCAGCATCATTCTTCCAATTTTTTCAGTTTGTAGACAGTAATAAGTAGTGTCTTAAGTGCAAAAAGTACAACTAACAGCTTCAGTTGCAGAGCCATTAGTGATGACATTTGATTGTGATGCCATGGTAACCAATGATGTCACAATGGTCTGCAAAACATTGTGATGCAATTTCATTGCAGCGATGTCTACAGTGTAGATATGTGCTATTAGTGATGCTTGTAAAAGTCTAAAAACATTCCCATAAGTATTAAAAAATACTTATGGTACCAAGCAGCCAATTAGCATTCATGTTTGTTACCGTAATGGTCTCAAAAGACACAAACCACATTCAGGTGAACACAAAATATATAGACTGTAGCCATTAAGTAATGCCAGTAAAATATGATGAGCCCTCCAGGCCAGTGTTTTCTGACAGAAACATTTTGCACTGCAATAACTGTGTTGCTTCCAGAGCTGACAGGCCATGCCCAGCAGGTGGTGACGATGAATCTGCAGTACCGCATCACAGTCAGCTCCTGCAGCTCTGTCCAGCTTGTCCTGGAGTCCAAGGTGCTGGACAGTGTGAAGGAGCTGGACACCACGTGGAACAACGCCTTCTGTGAGGACTCTGGATGCACCTCCATCACCAGCAACATCACATGCGCACTCCCATCTTACAATGTTCAGATCAAATTTCCCAATGTCAGGTGAGCTGAACAACATTTTAGCCCTCCGCCTAAACTGGGGCTCCTGTCCAGTAACATTACAGAAACATGACACTGTTCAGCTTTTGGTGGGTCTCAAGACAAATTTTCTGATTCAGGTCATAGTGTTGTCCACAGGCACCTATGCCTGTAGTAAGAGGCGAATCAGGTGGTCACTATCAGTGACTTGGTTGATCGTGTGTCATCAAACCATGATAGCATTGGATGTTGCTCACTCTTTCCTGGATATAATGACATACACCAACCAAGCCAGCAAACCTGATCACCCGATTCCGTTAGTCGCCCCTTATGCTTGTCGTAAGAGGCGACTAACAGGATCAGGTGGTCAGGCTTGCTGGCTTGGTTGATGCATGTCATGGTATCCCAATTGTGTGAATCGATGCTCATGATATCAATCACTGGATTGTCTGTTCCAGATTTAATTATTTACAGACCGCCGTCATATAGGCGTATTGCTGAGTGCGGCATTAAACAACAAAGAAACAAACACTGTTTGTACCGACTCGGATATTTACAGGCCTCATTAATATTGGTGACTGTGTCGTAAACACAGCAGTGAGTGGATACCTGGTAGGATGAGATTATAATGTGAATGTTATCCAAGGCAGCTTCGGTTGTATTCTCCCAAGGGAGCTGAGAATGAAAATCGAGTGCAAACTGATCCACTGATTGGGGTAATAATAATGGTGTGGAATTTGGTGCATTGTGAAACAATGTCATTAACAAGCAACAACCGTATGGAAGTACAAATAAGTTGCAAACGTTGGTATGCAGTGAAGATTTAACATGCCTAAGGTGTATCAGTAGGATGCTTACAATAGCAAGTGAGTTAACTTGAGTGGGGTAAGTTAACTTTGAACAGTATTTTATTTATTTCATGGCAGGTAGAAAACACCAAAATGGTCCTCCATACAGGACTTAATACCCCATGCTTAAACCAGAGCTGAGTGTTTGTCTCTTGTCTTCAGTGCTGTGCTGAACACTTCGGCTGAATCTCTGTCCCCGAAAGAGATCCTTACGAGAACAGTGCTGGACAATGGCAAGTTTGACTATGCTGTAAGTGAGACCCTTATTGCTCCCCCACAACAGAGTTGTTCATCTAAACAAGTCTGTAAGGGTTGAACCTACACTAATTTTTGTCAGCACGATAACCAGATGGAACATTTGTTTGATAACAAACTGGTTTTGAATTAAGTCACATAAAAGTGTCTTTTACCTGTGAAATGTGCTGACTTTTGTGACTGCAAGATGTTGTTTCCCTCTCCTTGTAGGTCTCCCTGCTAGGAGCCAGTGCCTTCAGTGTTGTTGTGTCTGCATGATGTTGTTTCCCTCTCCTTGTAGGTCTCCCTGCCAGTAGCCAGTGCCTTCAGTGTTGTTGTGACTGCATGATGTTGTTTCCCTCTCCTTGTAGGTCTCCCTGCTAGGAGCCAGAGCCTTCAGTGTTGTTGTGTCTGCATGATGTTGTTTCCCTCTCCTTGTAGGTCTCCCTGCTAGGAGCCAGTGCCTTCAGTGTTGTTGTGACTGCATGATGTTGTTTCCCTCTCCTTGTAGGTCTCCCTGCCAGGGGCAGAGCCTTCAGTGTTGTTGTGTCTGCATGATGTTGTTTCCCTCTCCTTGTAGGTCTCCCTGCTAGGAGCCAGTGCCTTCAGTGTTGTTGTGTCTGCATGATGTTGTTTCCCTCTCCTTGTAGGTCTCCCTGCTAGGAGCCAGTGCCTTCAGTGTTGTTGTGTCTGCATGATGTTGTTTCCCTCTCCTTGTACGTCTCCCTGCTAGGAGCCAGTGCCTTCAGTGTTGTTGTGACCTCATGATGTTGTTTCCCTCTCCTTGTAGGTCTCCCTGCTAGGAGCCAGTGCCTTCAGTGTTGTTGTGTCTGCATGATGTTGTTTCCCTCTCCTTGTAGGTCTCCCTGCTAGGAGCCAGAGCCTTCAGTGTTGTTGTGACTGCATGATGTTGTTTCCCTCTCCTTGTAGGTCTCCCTGCCAGGGGCAGAGCCTTCAGTGTTGTTGTGTCTGCATGATGTTGTTTCCCTCTCCTTGTAGGTCTCCCTGCCAGGGGCAGAGCCTTCAGTGTTGTTGTGTCTGCATGATGTTGTTTCCCTCTCCTTGTAGGTCTCCCTGCTAGGAGCCAGTGCCTTCAGTGTTGTTGTGTCTGCATGATGTTGTTTCCCTCTCCTTGTAGGTCTCCCTGCTAGGAGCCAGTGCCTTCAGTGTTGTTGTGTCTGCATGATGTTGTTTCCCTCTCCTTGTAGGTCTCCCTGCTAGGAGCCAGTGCCTTCAGTGTTGTTGTGTCTGCATGATGTTGTTTCCCTCTCCTTGTAGGTCTCCCTGCTAGGAGGCAGTGCCTTCAGTGTTGTTGTGTCTGCATGATGTTGTTTCCCTCTCCTTGTAGGTCTCCCTGCTAGGAGCCAGTGCCTTCAGTGTTGTTGTGTCTGCATGATGTTGTTTCCCTCTCCTTGTAGGTCTCCCTGCTAGGAGCAAGTGCCTTCAGTGTTGTTGTGACTACATGATGTTGTTTCCCTCTCCTTGTAGGTCTCCCTGCCAGTTGCCAGTGCCTTCAGTGTTGTTGTGTCTGCATGATGTTGTTTCCCTCTCCTTGTAGGTCTCCCTGCTAGGAGCCAGTGCCTTCAGTGTTGTTGTGACTACATGATGTTGTTTCCCTCTCCTTGTAGGTCTCCCTGCCAGTTGCCAGTGCCTTCAGTGTTGTTGTGTCTGCATGATGTTGTTTCCCTCTCCTTGTAGGTCTCCCTGCTAGGAGCCAGTGCCTTCAGTGTTGTTGTGACTACATGATGTTGTTTCCCTCTCCTTGTAGGTCTCCCTGCCAGTTCCCAGTGCCTTCAGTGTTGTTGTGTCTGCATGATGTTGTTTCCCTCTCCTTGTAGGTCTCCCTGCCAGGGGCAGAGCCTTCAGTGTTGTTGTGACTACACGATGTTGTTTCCCTCTCCTCGTAGGCCTCCCTGCTAGGAGCCAGTGCCTTCAGTGTTGTGGTGACTACATGATGTTGTTTCCCTCTCCTCGTAGGCCTCCCTGCTAGGAGCCAGTGCCTTCAGTGTTGTGGTGACTACATGATGTTGTTTCCCTCTCCTTGTAGGTCTCCCTGCCCGGGGCAGAGCCGGAGCCCAGTGCTTTCAGAGTTGATGTGGTACTACTCTGCGAGTCAGGCCAAGTTGAAGTTGATGAATTTTGCTGTGAGTCACTGTACCAATGTAGACTCAGTGTAATACTGTATTACTGGAGCACTTTTACAAAGTCAACTTAATAGAGTAGTTCATTCATAAATACTGTAATATGGCATACATAGAGCTAGAATCAACAAGATATGATTAAAGCAGGAAAACTACTTGTTTTTTTATCTATTGATGAGTGTTGATATAATTAATATAAAAAAACACAGGAAAACATAAAAACTCTACATATATTTCAATAGAGCTTATCATTATTATTTTGACTTGTGAAAGGGTCACCTATTGAAAAAAGGTGGCTTTTTACTTTTTCACTCACTCACTCTGTTGGAATTGTACAGATACGTGTGGACCAGGCACCTATCACAGTGCACCAATCAACAGGTGCGTCAACTGTCCCATGGGGGAATACCAACCACTATTTGGACAGGTCACATGTCAGTCATGTGGTCCGGGGCAGACAACTCCGTCTGTTGGCACCACAGATTCAGCAGATTGCATCAGTAAGTAGTGGAGATTTAGCAGCCTTGTTCTATAGTTTTGTTTGTCACTTCATCATATAGGTGTAGTTTTGTTATGAACTTTCCTTGTGATAATGAAAGACAGTCACACTGACATACACATACACAAAATGACAAGTGTATTCATGAGTGGATCGAGGTCTTAGGGCCCAGACTAAAACTGAGCAAATCTTTTTTTTTTGTCCGTAGACAGACATGGATGCAACTTTAGAAATTATATGGCAAGAACATATTGTTATGTGGCAGTAGAGAATGTTGTAAATTTATCTGTAATTATCAGTGGCAGGAAATATTTGAAGCACTAGTAAAATGTTCAGATACACTGTATAATCACTGATGACTATAGCCTTGTTTCTATGTGTGTTTAGGTAACATAACAAAAGACTAATACAAATTTGTATTTATTCTCACTTTAGCATAAGATATAGTGATGTTGATTAAACAAATATTTCTGTGATTGTTAATATATTTGTCTAACCCACACAAGTTAAAGACTTGATGTTTTCATAAAATTATCTAAAATTTCAGGAAAACGCATTCATTCCTGTTTACCTGATTTCACATGCTTCAATGTATCGAGTATTCTTCCAGAGTATATATCAGTACATGGTCTCTCATACTACATATCAATGATAGTGCAAAACGACACAAAGAATGAATATATGAAGCATGCTATGTTTATTTAACGGTAAATTTAACGGACATATTCTCAAAATAATTACTGCCGAATGATCTATGAAACAATATCTACAAGAAGTACATTGCTACTGTAGACTTGCACAAGTCTCTAAGGCAATAATTATCAGTTCAAATCATACTTTCTTGATTACATTAATAAGAACAAGCTGTCCCTATAATAGACTGGCGTCCTTAGACTGTACTGTCCACATGTGTAGACTAGCCTATTACAAGGATGGAATTACTCTGTACAATACACCCATGGATTTCTCATTCAGTACAGCCTTAGAGCAAGGCTACCAAAGACTGAATGCTGTTCCCTGTAGTATGACAGCTTTTTTCGCTTATGGTATAGAGTGTCTCACAAAAACAGGCTGCATAACATTGACAAATTATGTAGGAAATACATTGATCTACAATGACCACCAGCTTCTGTGTTTTATAAGTACAGAGGTGACAACAAAGTTACCATAACAACACAAAAAAGAATATGCCTGATGCAGTATCTAAGAGTTACCTCCCCTAGACCATATTCTTAAAATCTTTGCTCACAGCATTGTTGAAGGCAAATACATGTCAGCTGCAACTTTTAGCCAAATATTTGAGTAAAAGATGAGACAGGTGTAGTGCAGGGAAATGTAATGATGTGCAATTGGTGCAGTAAAAAAAAATCACCTGCACAGACTTTGAAATTCACACTAGTCTGCTAGCCGGAGACTACTAAATTGTGCTGAGGACCAGTAAATCCTTAATGATGGTAGTCCTCATGGATATAGTAGCATTTGAAGGCTATAATTCTGAAAAAGTTCTCAATTCTTAAAGTTTGCTACAAATTGTAGCTAGTCCTTCTTGAATGAGACAAAAAGATTTACTCTGCGTACATTTTCTGTCCGTTCTTTTCAGTCCCAACCTCGTGAGAACTAGTTAAATCAGGTTTATACTAGTCTTGATGACTAAGATTCCCAAAGCTGCTGCATCACACCTGTATGCTGCTTTAGTGTGATTCCATGAATCTTTCTTCCGTAGCTAACTGCACTGTTGGGGAATTCTACAACATCACCAGTGGGAACTGTGAGCCGTGCCCTATAGGAACCTACCAGAACATCACTGGCGCCTTGTCCTGCAGACTTTGCCCTCTTGGTCAAGTTACATTGAACACAGGCACCACATCACATTCAGAGTGTGTAGGTGAGTATGATGATATTGTTGTGATACATCAGTGTTGCTGTGTGCTATAAGAGAGGAGGTCCATGTTTGGGATAGCGTTGTTAAAAATCTTTATGATACCTCCATGTCAGAATGTTGAGATCTGAATGGCACAATACTGTGCCTGGGAGGCAGATATAGTTTTGAGCGGGAGAATAAATCCCTTATACCTCTCCATGAAGAAAACAGCCTGCAAATGGATTTCTCAGCAGGAAAATAGATGCTTTATACCTCTCCATGAAGAAAACAGCCTGCAAATGGATTTCTCAGCAGGAGAATAAGCCCCTCATACCCTGCTTTGAAGCAAAAGCTGCACACAACGAAAGTACTGTGACAGTGCACAAGTTAACCTCAGCTCAGTCAAACAGCTGCTTTCTATCAATTTTCAATGTGTTTTAATTCTTCTACAATGGCAGATTGAACATGTCAGTAAGATAAATTCGTTGTAGCAGTATCACTCAGGGTACATGGGGTTTTATGCATCCCTTGTTAGGTTCTATATCACTCTCTATGAAACCTAACATGGGGCGCATAAAACCATGTATACCCCTCGTGATACTGCTACAACTTATCATGTTCTCCATGTTAAAAAATATACATGCCACTATCATAGGTGAGGCGAAGTTCTTCAATAAACAAACAAATGTATGCATGTATGTGAACTTGTTGTTTGTCTATTATTATAAACTGCCTCCGTGGTCCAGTGTTAGAACGTCCACCCGGAGAGCGGAAGGTCCAGTGTTCGATCCCCGGCCACGTCATACCAAAAGATGTTAAAAGATGGTACTTGATGTAACCCTGTCTGGCGCTCGGCATTAAGGGGCTAAAACAAGGACTGGTCAGCTCGGAGTCAGTATACTGTGTCTGAGTGGGGTAGTCATGTTAAACTGCGACATGGTATCTCAGTGAGCTAGCACTATAAATCGGCATCAGTCCGGACTAGTACAAGCAGCCACACAAACACATACACGTACATGCACGTCGCTATATAAGTTCGATAATCTTGGACACGACGTTAAACCCAATTTCACCTCTATTATTATAAATGATCATCCAAATGTAGATACCATATTTGAAGGTAAATGGTCATTTTGATTTAGGAATATATTTAATTTCAATGTTTCATCTGTAAGGCTGGGTTCTATGTCTAACATTTGGATAGGTAGTATATTGCACAATATGTTTGAACTAATTGTATATAGCATTGATTTATTGCCAAAATATATTCTGTAACAGTTTATTGGAATATATTTGCTATTAGAAGTCTTGACAGGCAAATGACCTATGGTAAATTCTGATGATCGATGGCCCACTGGTGGATTTATTATTCAGATGTCATATAAGGAATGTTGGTGGCAGTCAAGTTCTCTGTATTGCAGATGGATGTAAGTCAGGGGAGCAGTTGTCGGTGAGTGGGGAGTGTGTTGAGTGCCCGGTCGGAACCTACAGGGAGAACTCTGTCAACCAGGTCTGTCTCAACTGTGACCCCGGGCTCATCACACCAACTACCGCTGCCAACTCATCGACTGAGTGTACAATAGGTCAGTGTAACAATCTATACATCCATACATCCATACAGACATACAGACAGACATACACACTGATGCGGGTGTACTGTAGGTCAGTGTAACTATAATCTATACATCCATGCAGACATACAGACAGACAGACATACACACCGACGCGGGTGGACTGTTGGTCAGTGTAACTACAATTTATACATACATGCAGACATACAGACAGAAAGACATACATACCCACGCGGGTGTACTGTAGGTCAGTGTAACTACAATCTAAACATACATGCAGACATACAGACAGACAGACATACACATGCACACACGTATCAACATACTCACACTTTGTTTCCAGCAGAAGTAATTTAGCGCTTTTCAGATTGTTTTAAGTTTACATTTTTCTCAGGTTGACATGTATTATCCTTGTAAAAAGTGTATCTCTGTTGGAGAATTGACATCACTGTTGTTTGTGTTGTCAACATGCAAACCATTCACTAATCAGGAAACAGAAGTCCGCTAGTGGGCGTGGCCTATTTATTATTTGACACACATTATATAATATACAGTAAACTACTTTTATAACAAACATGCTTATACCGAACTGACGGATATAAAAAAAACTGTTTTGGTGTCCCATCCATTTGCTGTATAAATGCCTATAATGAACTACGGTTATAACGAACTACGGTTATAATGAACTAAAATTAGAAGTACCCTGAGTTCGTCATAAACATAGTTTTCTGTATTATATATACGTCATCTGGACATGTTTGTTGTCAGTGGCCTGCCCAGTTGGTGAGTTCAGGAATGCCAGTGAGAACGTGTGTCAGCCGTGTCCACAAAATACCTACCAAGATCAGAAGTGGCAGGATAACTGCACCTCCTGCAACGACCGACACCGCACTGACGGCATTCGCTCCACTGCTGCCACGGACTGCAAATGTATGTATGACTCAGGAATATTATCTTCCCGAGGCAAGAGCGTCCACTAGCCTTTTAATCAAAGTCTTCTTTCCACCCTTGTAGGCCTGTGATGGGTAACTTGGGTACTCAGGTTGGGGGGTACTCAGGTCGGGGGGTACACAGGTGGGGGGTACTCAGGTCAGGGGGTACAGAGGTTGGGGGGTACTAAGTAGGACCCGGGTACCCACAGAACTACCCGGACCCCTTGGTTACAGTCACGTGATATATTGTTTAATGACAAAACATATCTAGAACTCTATGGTCACATATAATGACGGGGGGATATAGCCATCAGTATGTCCGTCTGTCTGTCTGTAATCATTGTTTGTCCGGAGCATATTTCCTAAACCGTAAAACCTAGCTTCACAAAACTTAGTACACTTACCAATCAGGCTCAGTAGTAGTGCTTTTTGCTATGTGGAGATTTTTAGAATTTTTTATTTTTGTCATTTCCATGGAAATATGATGAACTTAGGAAATTTGAGGGTAGTGCTCTTGTCCGGAGCATATTTCCTAAACCGTACAACCTAGCTTCCCAAAACTTGGTACACTTAACAATCAGGCTCAGTAGAAGTGCCTTTTGCTATTTAGAGATTTTTCGAATTTTATGTTTTTGTCGTTTCCATGGAAATATGATGAACTTAGGAAATTTGAGGGTAGTGCTCTTGTCCGGACCATATCTCCCGAACCATACAACTTAGCTTCTCAAAAGTTTTTACACCTATCAAGCAGGTTATGTAGTTGTGCCTTTGCTATTAACAGGTTTTTTTCTATTTTTTCTTTTTTCAATTTAAATTGAAAATTGATGAACTTAGGGTAATGTCCTCGTCTGGAGCATATCTTCTAAACCATGCGACAGAGATTCACCAAACTTTATGCACATATCAATCATGTTCACTAGTAGTGCAGTTTGTTATTTATAGATTTTAATCTTTTTAATTTGTAGCCCCTGACATATAATGAAACAAGATGTTTAGGTTTGTTTTTTTGTCAATCCCAAACATACAATGTTTAGTGAAACAATTGTGACTGATGTGTTTCTGTGTGAATTATTTTCTATTAGTGTTAATCTGTAACCATCTTACTTTTAGTCAATCCCCAGTATACAATGTTGAGGGAAACATTTGTGACTGATGATTCTCATTATATCCCCTGAGTGATAATGTTGATGAGGATATATTTGTAATAATGTCATGTTATTGTCATGTTCAAATGGTAGAAGGAAAGTTATTTCTCTTTGCCATCTGAGGGAATTGATGGCACTCATGGCAACCTACTTCCTCGTAGTGAGTGCCGGTAACATGAACAGCAACCGACATGCCACGTCGGGGGGATATGTCATCTTCGGATCACTCTTGTTAAAGTAGTACATTAGGAAGTAGGATTTTTGTTTTAGAATTGTTTGTTTGTCTGAAAGATTTGGTAATCTGATACAAGTAGAGAGAGTAGGGCTGGGACGAGTCCAAATTTACTATCCAGGTAGGTCTCAGGAGATGTCTCAAAATGTCCGATTGGGAACATTTTTAGCATAGCCCTGGCAAAACGTATTTGGATACATGTATTAAACAATCTGGTCATTCATACACTGAAGCTGAATTAAGTTATCTTTATTCAACCATATGAAAAATCAGAAAGAATGGATGCATGTTCAGAAAGAAATGCCAACATTAGTGACTTATAGTGTAACCATAGAGTTCTTGATAATTTTTGCCATTAAACAATATATCACGTGACTAACCACAGATCCGGGTAGTCCTGTGGGTACCAGGGTCCTACTCAATACCCACCCGACCTGGGTACCCAAGTTACCCATCCCAGCCCTCAGAGAGAGCCTCAAAGTTACAGACATATTCACAAGTTTAATTACGTTGTTTACTTGTTACAGTGGGGTGTTTATGTTTTGATGTGTATGTGTGCTCACTGTTTTATCTGTATCTTTCAGTTTTCTGTGAATCTGGGTTTGAGCCAGTGGACAACACAGGATGCAAGGAGTGCCCCATCGGCACGTACAAGGACTTCACCGTCGACCCCTATGGCAGCTGTCTGCCCTGTAGCGGCAACTTAATTACTCCCTCTAATGCTACAACTTCAGTGGATGGGTGTTCTGTAGGTACGTTTTTTATCCCAGGACGAGGGTATACATTGGTTTGCACACTTGTGGGTCACACCGGCCCAGAGATCTTAGATAGGTAGTTGTTGTGCAGGGTTGCACCCCTTACCTATTCCAGGATCCGTGGTTTGAATGATGGATTTGCCTTATTTAGGATCTGTACCATACCCAGTACTCACTTTGGCCTATTCCCCAGTACCCCATGCATCTATGATGGGGATCAGATGTCCACAATGGCGGCAGGACCCGTGAAGATCCGGGGTCGCTGATTCGGTTGATGCATGTTATCGTATTTCAATTGCATGGATTGATGCTCATGATGTCAATCACAGGATTGCCTGGTCCAGAATTCGATTATTTATAGACCGCTGTCATATAGCTGGAATATTGCTGAGTGTGGCATTAAACAACAAACAAACAAACAAACAAACAATAGTGGCAGAGTATGGTACTTCCTTTTGTGACAGGAAACCAAAAGTGTTAATTGTAAAACACACCACAGAAATGATCTTTATTAAGTCACTATTTTAAAATAAGCATCTTTTTGTGCTATGATTTGCAGTAAGTATACAGTAAGTGAGGTGATGTGAAATGGGGTTTAACGTCGCATTCAGGATTATTGCATTTATACAACGTGCATACGTGTATGCATGTCCTTGTCGAGACTGTTGCCAGTTTTACAGTGGATGCCGCTGTTTAACATGGCTACCCAACTCAGACACAGTATACTGATTCTGAGCAAGCCAGTCATTGTTAAATGCCCCGTAATGCCGAGTGCAGGGTAACAACAAGTATCCTCTTTCAGCGTCTTTAGCCATGACGCAGCCAGGGTTCGAACCCCCGACCATCCGCTCTCCAAACAGATGTATACAGTGAGGCTGTGCTTCATAAGTGTTAGAAATGTAGAAATTGTTTCCTATCATGTGTGTTTTCAGTGAACTGCCCGCCTGGATCCTTCCAGTCCAACACCTCATCCACGCTGTGTGACCTCTGTCCTGAGGGGTCCTACCAGCCCCTGGCCGCACAGCCAGACTGTCTGCCATGTGCCGACAACGAGACCACGGTGTTGATGGGCAGTAAGCTGCAGACCGAATGCACAGGTGAGCTATCGTCACATCATGGAGATACTTCAGTCCTGTTGTGCAGGCTTCGCATGTGCAACACACTAGACATCTTCCGGAGGCAACAGCATCCACGAGCCTTTTTATCAAAGTCTAGTAGAAACAAGGCTTATATACAGGCTAGTGGACATGCTTGCCTTGGGATGATGCAAACAAGACTGAGATGGGTCAGTAAGGGAAAGTTCCTCTTTAATGAAAACAGGAAGTCAGTGTTGACGAACACCAATGATATAAATAGAGAATCTCCCAAGTGTCTTCAGATATCAAATATATCAACATGTAGAGTCTTAAACTTTTATCAATGAGTGTTGATATATTTCATATCAAAAGGCACTTGGGTCCGATTCTATTTTTCATCCAACAATGTTCTTCCAACTTTTTCAGTTTGTAAACAGTAAATAGACTTGTCTTGACAGTAGAGAGTACAGCTAGCCAGCTTTAGTGGCAGAGTGGTTAGTGATGTCATTTGATTGTGATGTCATGGTAACTGATGATGTCACAATGGTCTGCAAAGCATTGGGATGCAATTTCATCCCAAGCACTATCTCCTGTGGAAGCCAGATTTTGATGATAAAAGATATTAGGCAGCTGGTATTCTTGGGGGTCCAGGGTCCTTGGGGTTAGCTGATACAGTAATTGAAACGAGGGACCCCTAAACTTTTAACATTATGGTCCTGACAAGGACACCGAAAAAACTGCCTGCCTGCCTGCCCATGGCTGGTGACTTTTCTGTTGGGCTGCATTAAATTTGACTCCACCTGCCTGACTGTCCGGAAGATAATTTAAATATTCAATATTCCTCGCTGGTTCTCAAGTAATTGTTTGCATCATTTCAACTGAAGCAAGACACGATTGTCTTTTATTTTTCTTTATTTTTCTCATACTGTGTTAGCGATCATTATTAACAGTGGATGAAAGGAAGTAACCACACTTTCACTGGTCAATCTAGTCTTAATTTTAGTGTATTAGGATTGATATTAAGAGACCCGTGAAGATTCGGGGTAGACAAGGTCTTCAGCAACCCATGTTTTCCTGTAAAAGGCGACCATGCTTGTCGTAAGAGGCAACTAATGGGATCGGGTGGTCAGGCTTGCTGACTTTGCTGATGCATGTCATCATATCCCAATTGCTTGGAACGATGCTCATGATGTCAAGCACTGGATTGACTGGTCCAGACTTGATTATTTACAGACCGCCGTCATATAGCTGGAATGTTGCTGAGTGCGGCGTTAAACAACAAATAAACAAACAAAACACATAATCGGAAGTACTCCTTTATTAGGGGCTGGAAAACACAGTACGAAGGATACATTTAAATTCAACTTTATCTGAATGCGGGCAGCTGTCTTTGAAAATGGGCATGCAACATTTATGGGTCACCTGCCCGACTGTCTTGTTGTATTTAATATTATTTCGAACACTGCTCCTCGCATGCTTTATTTGGAACACAGAGGTGTAAGACTGTTACAATGTTGCAGTGTACTGCCCCTCTGGCCAGGAGGTGGTGGGTGGGGAGTGTCAGCCATGTGTGCAAGGCTTCTACAAGAACAACTCCCAGGGCCTGCTGTCTGTGTGTGTGGCGTGCCCAGAAGGATACATCACTCCTGGTGCTGGAGCAGAGTCAGTTGGGGAATGCACTGTAGGTGAGACCTGTTTGTTTCTCTGCCAGGCCTGCTTTGCCGTGTGGATCTAACCCTGATGATTGATCCCTGAAGAGCAGTATTAGGTTTAATTAAGAAATAAACGATGAGTGGGAGTTTGTTTTTTTTTACCATAAACAACGACCACAGTTTTTGTAAGTTGTTTATTTCTTATAAGGATGATGATAAAATGTACAAGCTTTAAAAATATTTACCTGTATTTTAAATGTTGGTGATTCCCTGAATAGAATCCAACCTTGGCAATGTTGAACAAGTCCATTTTATGCACAGGTGGATATTTCCCGCATATTCTCACAATCCTCACGTCGATTACCTGTACCTTTTCTCCTAATATGATTGTCATATCTCTCCCACTTTTGGAAGTAATAGTTCGGCCATCGTGTTTATCTGCTTTGCCCAGCCACATCTATGGGGAACAACTCACTAGACACTCCCCCTCCAAAATAACATCATCCAATATACAACGTCATCAAGCTGCAAACTCATGTTTGAATCTCCAGTCATGATAGAACATTGTTTTATCGTGAAATAAGCCACACTTCGTTCTTCATTGTTCTGAGCGATTTTTTCGCGTAGCTATCTTATATAGCGCCATCAATGTCTCAATCCTCTATATCCCCAAGACTTGCAATTCGGTAAGCCTAGACTAGTCGCTGGATCCATTCCCATGGATCTCCCGATCTCAAATTACCAACCCTCGATTTTCATTAGCCAATTTGATTTGCTTTGCTACTCAGTCTAATGGACTGTGAGTTACTAACCTGCCTCAATGTTAGGGTTGAGTTGGCGATGTCAACAACATGGCGGCCATTCCCATTGATTACGATAGAATTTACAATAAATTCAACATTGAAAAACAGACTGACACACAAAAGAAAGTGCTCCAAAATATTTTTGATGGAAAGGATGTCTACATGTCCATTGAAACTGGTGGTTGCAAGTACTCCCTTACCCATTGCCTTTTTCCTTATCACGACATTTGATTGGTCGGTAACATGCTAATGAAAATCAAGGTCGGGTAATTTGTGATCATGAGAACCATGGGAATGGATTCAGGGGTCAGTGTACCGGTAGGTTTTCCGAAATGTGAACCTTGGAGATATAAATATACAGGATGCAATGTCGCATGTTATATTGATTCCTTTGTGAAGGAAGATTTTGCTGACTCAGAATATATATATTCTTGAATATGTTTTAATTCTTTGTTTACTTATGTTCTTTTTGCAACCAGGGAATTGTTCAGCAGGTACGCGGTTTATGCCGGGACCTCCTCCTACATGTGAGCTGTGTCCTGAAGGGGAGTACCAGCCTCAGCCATACCAGACCACATGTCTAATGTGTGATGCTAACACAACCACAACCAGCAATGGATCTACAGCAGACACACAGTGTCTCAGTACGTAGTCCTCTCTCACCTCCACTAACAGAACTGGATCTACACCAGACACACAGTGTCTCAATACGTAGTCCTCTCTCTCCTCAACTAACAGAACTGGATCTACATCAGACACACAGTGTCTCAATACGTAGTCCTCTCTCTCCTTAACTAACAGAACTGGATCTACATCAGACACACAGTGTCTCAGTACGTAGTCCTCTCTCTCCTCAACTCACAGAACTGGATCTACAGCAGACACACAGTGTCTCAATACGTAGTCCTCTCTCTCCTCGACTAACAGAACTTGATCTACATAAGACATACAGTGTCTCAGTACATAGTCCTCTCTCTCCTCAACTAACAGAACTGGATCTACATCAGACACACAGTGTCTCAGTACGTAGTCCTCTCTCTCCTCAACTAACAGAACTGGATCTACATAAGACACATAGTGTCTCAATACGTAGTCCTCTCTCTCCTCAACTCACAGAACTGGATCTACACCAGACACACAGTGTCTCAATACATAGTCCTCTCTCTCCTCAACTAACAGAACTGGATCTACATCAGACACACATTGTCTCAATATGTAGTCCTCTCTCTTCTCAGCTAACAGAACTGCATCTACATAAGACACACAGTGTCTCAATACTTGGTCCTCTCTCTCCTCAACTAACAGAACTGGATCTACATCAGACACACAGTGTCTCAATGCGTAGTCCTCTCTCTCCTCAACTAACAGAACTGGATCTACATAAGACACACAGTGTCTCAATACGTTGTCCTCTCTCTCTTCAACTAACAGACCTGGATCTACATAAGACACATAGTGTCTCAATACGTAGTCCTCTCTCTCCTCAACTAACAGAACTGGATCTACATAAGACACACAGTGTCTCAATACGTAGTCCTCTCTCTTCTCAGCTAACAGAACTGGATCTACATAAGACACACAGTGTCTCAATACTTGGTCCTCTCTCTCCTCAACTAACAGAACTGGATCTACATAAGACACACATTGTCTCAATACGTAGTCCTCTCTCTCCTCAACTAACAGAACTGGATCTACATAAGACACACAGTGTCTCAATACGTAGTCCTCTCTCTCTTCAACTAACAGACCTGGATCTACATAAGACACATAGTGTCTCAATATGTAGTCCTCTCTCTCCTCAACTAACAGAACTGGATCTACATCAGACACACAGTGTCTCAATACTTGGTCCTCTCTCTCCTCAACTAACAGAACTGGATCTACATATGACACACAGTGTCTCAATATGTAGTCCTCTCTCTCCTCAACTAACAGAACTGGATCTACATCAGACACACATTGTCTCAGTATGTAGTCCTCTCTCTTCTCAGCTAACAGAACTGGATCTACATAAGACACACAGTGTCTCAATACTTGGTCCTCTCTCTCCTCAACTAACAGAACTGGATCTACATCAGACACACAGTGTCTCAATGCGTAGTCCTCTCTCTTCTCAACTAACAGAACTGGATCTACATAAGACACACAGTGTCTCAATACGTTGTCCTCTCTCTCTTCAACTAACAGACCTGGATCTACATAAGACACATAGTGTATCAATACGTAGTCCTCTCTCTCCTCAACTAACAGAACTGGATCTACATAAGACACACAGTGTCTCAATACGTAGTCCTCTCTCTTCTCAGCTAACAGAACTGGATCTACATAAGACACACAGTGTCTCAATACTTGGTCCTCTCTCTCCTCAACTAACAGAACTGGATCTACATAAGACACACATTGTCTCAATACGTAGTCCTCTCTCTCCTCAACTAACAGAACTGGATCTACATAAGACACACAGTGTCTCAATACGTAGTCCTCTCTCTCTTCAACTAACAGACCTGGATCTACATAAGACACATAGTGTCTCAATACGTAGTCCTCTCTCTCCTCAACTAACAGAACTGGATCTACATCAGACACACAGTGTCTCAATACTTGGTCCTCTCTCTCCTCAACTAACAGAACTGGATCTACATATGACACACAGTGTCTCAATATGTAGTCCTCTCTCTCCTCAACTAACAGAACTGGATCTACATCAGACACACATTGTCTCAATATGTAGTCCTCTCTCTCCTCAACTAACAGAACTGAATCTATATCAGACACACAGTGTCTCAATGCGTAGTCCTCTCTCTTCTCAACTAACAGAACTGGATCTACATAAGACACACAGTGTCTCGATACTTGGTCCTCTCTCTCCTCAACTAACAGAACTGGATCTACATCAGACACACAGTGTCTCAATATGTAGTCCTCTCTCTCCTCAACTAACAGAACTGAATCTATATCAGACACACAGTGTCTCAATGCGTAGTCCTCTCTCTTCTCAACTAACAGAACTGGATCTACATAAGACACACAGTGTCTCAATACTTGGTCCTCTCTCTCTTCAACTAACAGACACCTTGACAGAGTCTATGAAGTGCAGTACAAAAAGAGCATGAGATTGTGTGATCTGTCTCAACACAGGATATAGTCATTCTCTTTACTATTGCCTATCCATGCCCATGTGTGTTTCAGAGTTCTGCCCCTCAGGACAGGAGCTTGCTGACTCCTGGAACTGCTCCTTGTGTGACCTTGGGACATACAAGGACAACAATGACGGGGTGTTCCTTCCATGTCAGACCTGCCCTGTGGAGCTGACGACACCCGCCATAGGCGCCACCTCTGTTTCCGACTGTTCTCTCAGTGAGTAGACGTCATCATGATTTATCAATTACTCTGGGCTAAAACATCTCAACATTTTCTGAAATCTTGAAAGATTAGATTGAATAAGTCACATAGTTGGAACATAAGTTTATGCCATCTTCTATGTCACTCTTTTATTGTCGCTACATACAAATGCCATATTCCCTGTAATAAGCACCCTTGGCACTGAGAAAAAATCATACACAACTAGTTAAGTTTGTTGTCGGATATCACACGTTGATGAAATTGAAACGTTTTTGATTATAGATAATTACTAGGTACCAATAGACCCCTTTCACATTGCTGTGTTTTCTGTAAAAATCTGTAAGATGCACATACAAAATGCGGACTGTCATGTTAATTTTCGAGCTGGGTAGGCGGCGCTTATAAGGATTACTTCAATTTATGGAAGGAACCTATCCCAAGATTCTTGACCTTGACATTCAGACAACTGCACTGCTGGTTTCTATGTGGCAACTGGAACCAATACATGCATGGAGTGCCTTGTGGGTGAATACCAGCCCTACCCTGCCCAGGTGGCATGTCTGCAGTGTCCTGACAACACGTCTACTACTAGCCAAGCAACTACTTCCAAGGCTGAATGTCGGTGTAAGTCCCATGGGATGTTTTCATAACAGCTTATTCAGTAAACATCTTCAGCCTGGTAATGAACAATTTCCTTGTTAATGTTAAGTTGTTTGAGTTTTTTATTAATGGTATAACTGATTGTTTTGACTGAGATATAATATTTTAGTCTGCAGTCTGGTACTCCCTGCACATGATTAAGTTCCATTCTCTCTTGTATATATATATATATGTATCTTGGTGATTGGATATAAGGCTTATTTTTAATTGACTTATTAAATACTATTATCATCATGCATTTTAAAAATATAGGAAGATAATGGTTGGAAACTTGTACAATTAGTCAATCAATTTTGGTTGATATTTGTTTTTTGATTTATGCCAATTTTTCTGTTTGTATGTAGTGAGCTGCAGTGAAGGTATGGAGGATCGCAATGATATGTGTGTGCCGTGTATGATTGGCTTCTACAAGAATGTCACCAGTGTGGGTCAGTGTGAGGCGTGCCCGGCAGGGTTGAGGACAGGCAGCGAGGGCGCCACGTCCGAGGCGGACTGTAATGTGGGTATGTACTGTCCACACACAGCTTCATTCAACTGTTAACTTGCTGTAAAACTAGAGTTTTGCCATGTTATGAATGTAACAGGTAGAGGGGGCCTAGGTGGCCCAGTCATCTAAAGTACCGCAATTTGTTGTGCAGAATTGCTAGAATGATTGTGGGTTTGAATCCAAGAATTGTCCTCATTTACCACCACAATTTGTTGTGCAGAATTGTGAGAATGATTACGGGTTGGAATCCAAGAACTGTCCTGATTAATATTCTGGGTTGTCAGCACCATACCCATGCTTGTGGGATTTCACCAAAGTGGTAACATGTAACATCTGCATCACTGACGGAAATAATGTTCCGAGCAGCGATTAGTTAAACCCAACCAACTTGATCACTCATTCTCCAGGATGGACATACATATACCGGTAATTATGCTAAGGCTTAAAGTTGTTCCTCAGGCAATGGCTTTTGAAAATATAGTGCCGGAGGGCCATAGTTTTGTTTTGGTTGTTTAGGCTAGTAGGTAACCAAATTTTGTTTTCAATAATTTTTGTGAAATCATGTTGTTCTTAAGTATTGTAGTATTTCACTGCAAGGGTTGTGTGATCAAGATGCATAATAATTTAAGATTTAAAAAAAAAAATTAAATGGAAATAAAAACGAAACATGGGGTGGACTTTGCCCATGAATTGCTTTCAGGTAAATGCACCAAAACATTTTATGTCAAGTTTGGTGTTTGGTTCATATCGCCAGTAGTAGCCAATCATATCTAAAGAAAATTATATGATTTCATGGCCCATCAGATTTTTTTAAGGGCCCACATTTTGGGGGTTAAGTGTGCCATGTGGCCCACCTTTTTTTCAAGGCCAGAATGCATTTGTGCAGAGCCAGAAGCTGCAGTGAAATGTGTCTTTGTGGGACTGGTGGCCCAGTGGGTAGTGTTCTAAGTAAGACAGAACTTTGTGGTGTTTCAGTGGGCTGTGAGCCTGGCTCGTATTTGGATGCTGGTCAGTGTACACTCTGTGTGGAAGGCAGTTATCAGCCCCAGAAGTGGCAGGACTCCTGTTTGCCCTGCACCCCGGGACTTATCACCCTCACCCCCGGGGCTGTCACAGAGGACCAGTGTGTGTGTGAGTAACATCTTCCAACAAACTAATGAAAATTTATAGTAAAGAAAAATACGACAACCACAAGTCGTTTATTTCTTATGTGAGTAATCAACATTATGTACAACCTCTTTAAGGATGATGATAAAATGTACAAGCTTTAAAAATATTTACCCGTATTATAATAATGATGACTCCTGAATAGAATCCGACCTCGACAATATACTGGTATTCTCCCATATTTTCATAATACTCACATTGATTATCTCTACCTTATCTCCAAATACAGCTTGTCATATCTCTCCCACTTTTGGAAGCGATCGTTCTGCCATGGTGTTTATCTACGTTGCCCAGATAAATCTATGGGGAACAGCTCACTGGACACTACACATTCAAAAATCATGTCATCCAATATATATAACATCATTAAATTGCAAGTGCATGCTCAAATCTCCAGAAATGACCTCATGATAGAATAATGTTTTATCGTGAAATAAACCACACTTCGTTTTTGATTGTTCTTTGCGATTTATGTGATTTCTAATCATGCAATCTCGAAAACTTTAACAAGGGGTATTCCGAACGATAGTTACGGGTTTAATGACTGAATCCTTAGAATCTAGACCATCTATTAGCCATTCCAGAATGTTTTTTTGTTCAGGTTTCAAATTTGTAATCGAGAATTTGTCAAAATATGTTTCGAAGCGTAGTCGCGAATTTGAAATTTGTGCTGTAAAGCACAAGAAAGCTGCCTTCTGATTTGTCATTCCATTGGTCGGTCAAGGTTGGTCTGACGTGACCCGGAATGGGATGTCCTCAGATCTTTGTTTAGTGGTAGGGAGAACTAAGATCTGATTTTAATGAGATTGTGCATAAATATTTAAGTAAGCCTTTATGAGACTCTTGTTGACCTGGTCTGTGTATCATGATAACAGACTATCTGTGTAACCTGGTAACTGTCTGTCTGGGACCCTGTGAAGGTCCGGATTAGAAATGGTCTTTAGCAACCCATGTCAGGCTTGCTGACTTGGTTCATGAATGTCATTGTATCCGAATGTTTAAATGCTCTTGATGCCAATCTCTGGAGTGTCTCGTCCAGACTCAATTATTTTCAGACCATCATGTAGCTGGAATACTGCTGAGTGTGTTGTTAAACAACAAATAAACACATTTTATATGTCTAACATGGTAACAGACTCTCTATGATACGCTGAAATTCATAACATTTGTGCTGAGAAACACATCAACAGTCGCACAGTGCTACACAGTTTAAGTCTGGCCATGGAATATACCATCTTCGCGAGGCAAGGGAGTTAACCGACTGTGAAAGTCCCGTTTCCACCCTTGCCGAACTAGGCTGGAATTTCTGGGTTTGATCGTAGCACCATCAGTGGCTATTACGAGTTATGTTCCTTCTTTGTCACTCCTATGGACCAATCAGATTCCACCTCTCATATCACTTGCATTTGTTCAAACCAAATGGCAGCTCCCAGTCAAGACGATCTGATCGATAATCAAGATCTTTATTGTAATAAAACAGGTCTTACTTCGAGAATAGCATCAAATCATGTGAGCATCTTGATTAAAAACATGAAAAGATTTGGAAAATATCTGTTGACGGTACACGCTTTTGACCGAAGTCTGCATATTAGTTTACCAACCGGATTTTGAATTTGTTACTTAATTTTGATTGAACTATGCATAGACTCATTAGTCCAGCCAAAATATAACTCCATAATTGCAGCCTAGTTCGGCAAGGGTGGAAATTGCACTTTTATAGTCAGTTAACTCCCTTGCCTCGGGAAGATGGAAAATATACACTCAATTTATGAAGCTAAAGTATATTACCATACCATAGCCGTTTATTGGATATTAAACCAACTCATGTATGTGTGTGTGATTCCTTGTTGCCAGTGGATTGCGTGTCGGGGAAGGCGTACGACGCGGTGAGCACCCAGTGCGAGGACTGTCCCCGGGGGTACTACCGCAACCAGACCGAGATGAAGCCCCAGTGTCGCCTGTGTCCTCCCGACACCATCACAGAGAGGACAGGGGCTGTATCAGCTGATGACTGTACTATGGGTAAGCTGCATTGTGTATTTAAGAAATATACGATGATTGGGGGTTGTTTATTGTACAATAAAACACCACAGGGAGAATAATCCATGAGGTGCGCAGCCCCGAGTGGTTTATTCTCCATGCAGTGTTTTATTGTATGATAAACAACAACCATGAGTCATTTATTTCCTATATGAGATACAAACATTATGTACAGCCTCTTTAAAGATGATGATAACAAGTACTTCCATATATATTTTCCTGTATTTAAATAATGATGTCTCCCTCAATGGAATGTTGGACAAGTCCATTTTATGCACAGGTGGGTATTTACCGCATATTCTCACAATCCTCGCGTCGATTACATGTACCACTTCTCCAAATATTGCTTGTCATATCTCTCCCGCGTTTCGATGCGACCGATCGGCCATCACTCCCCTCTAAAAAATAACATCATACATATGATGTCATCAAGTTATGAGCACTTGTTCGAGTCTCCAGAATGATGTCATTATTTAATATCTTATATCATAGAATCATGGGTATAAAACCTTGAATACATTGTTTGCTGTAGTGCACAATAGTTTATCATAGTTGTGTAGTGCACGTAGATTTACATATGTTGTGCCTGTGACAGGTAACTGTACTAGCCCAGCCATTACATCATACCCCCTGACATATTGTCTCTGTGACAGCTAACTATACTACCCCAGCCATTACATCCTACCCCCTGACATATTGTTGCTGTCACAGCTAACTGTACTACCCAGCCATTACATCCTGCCCCCTGACATGTCTCTGTGACAGCTAACTATACTACCCCAGCCATTACATCCTACCCCCTGACATAATGACTCTGTGACAGCTAACTGCACCACCCCAGCCATTACATCCTACCCCCTGACATATTGTCACTGTGACATCTAACTGCACCACCCCAGCCATTACATCCTACCCCCTGACATATTGTCTCTGTGACAGCTAACTGCACAGCCCCCGGCCAGTACGTGGACACGTCCAGCAACACCTGTGCCGACTGCCCAAAAGGAACGTACCAGGACCAGAAGTGGCAGGTTGCATGTAAGACCTGCGCCCCAGGATTCACGACCAGAACTACGGGGACGGGCTCTGTCCTCCAGTGCTATCGTATGTACACGCCATGATGTTATGACAAGGACTGCCTGAAGGGCAGGGTGTAACCTCAAATTTAATAGTGGAAAACTGCATATATTAATATCCACCCCCAAACTGGAAATCCAAAATGTCTTTTGGGACATTGTTAATGCAAATGTTCTCTTTTTGGTAACACGTATATGGAGAGTGAGTGAGTGAGTATGGTTTTACACCGCTTTTAGCAATATTCCAGCAATATCACGGCGGGGGACACCAGAAATGGGCTTCACACATTGTACCCATGTCGGGAATTGAACCAGGTCTTCTGCGTGACGAGTGAACGCTTTAACCACTAGGCTACCCAACCGCCCCCGCATATGAAGAAACAGGTGTAAAATATAATAACTTCACTGCACAATGCAGTGATATGTTGTAGAATGTAAAGATAATCAACTGAAGTGAAGTTCTCTGATCAAGTTTAATCACACTCAGTTTGTAATAAACGATATGTTCATGTCAGCTTGACATTACATTTTTCTCTCAGACAAACAAATATTTAAGAATATTATTCATACACCCTCATTACCTCAGAACATTTTACAATCAGAGCCTAAGAGAAGGATAGTACCATTTTGCCTTGAAGGGCAATGAATCTGAGCATGAAACATGAACTCATGTGACTCACTGTTATCAGGTGACTGTCCCTCTGGGTCGGAGGTCGTTGAGTCAACCAATGCCTGTCAGGTGTGTGCGCAGAGTCAGTACCGAGCTAAGGGACAGAGCTGGACCTGTCAGTACTGTGACATCAGCTTCACCACTGCGGGCAGTGGGTCCACGTCCGTCACTGACTGCAGCATTCGTGAGTACAAGCCAGTTATATCCTCGTCGTGAGATTAGGAGATAGCCTATGCTACTCAACAGAAGTTAAGGACCACCCGATTCTTTTGAGTAGATATTTAAACTGTTAAATACTATTGTTGTTGCTGTTGATTCTGATAAGGTAGACACAATTTAAGGATAACAACCTCAAAGTTGTTATCCATAAATTGTTTGTACTTTGTCATCCGTCAACTTGTAAGGAATGCCTGTCAAATAATGTTGATTCTGCGTCAAGAGTTCACTGGCTTTTCTGAACATGTAAAACTGACAAATAATAGGTCATTTTAAACGATTAAAGAGATATTATACACAAAGAAAAAGTTAAGCACACCCCTATTTCTGAAAAAAAAAAATCCACCAATCCAAAAATCATGGCATGGGATGACTGACCCTAGGAGCTGAGTGATACCAATGTCATCGGATAGAACAAACATTTGACAACAAATAATGAAGATATTGGTGAGTTGTGATTGAAATTTACTGACAAAAACATCATGGTAACACGTACGTTTGATGTTTCATGTGAAAATGTTCCTTAAGTTTCTACTTGACATGACATGTGAAACAGATCAGTAGCGGGTATAACCACCACGTGCCCGGATGACGCATTCCACCCTACGTCTCATGCCTCCAGTTGGATGTTGGATCTGTTGATTGGTCAACAACAACCACTCCTGATGCAATGCTGCTTCCAACTGGCGTAAATCTTGTACAGGAGGACCCGTGCCTGTAAGCGCTGCCCCAGAATATCCCAAACATGTTCAAGGGGGTTCAAATCTGGGCTCATTGTTGGGCAGGGTAGAGTCGTTATTGCGTTGGCCCTCATATAATCCACGACTGCATGCGAATGATGAGGCCTGGCATTGTCTCTAAGTTCTCAGATTCCAGTTCTGTCGTGCAATACACCATGCCAAACGAGCAGTTTTGTGGTGATCTCTCAACAAGGGTCGCTTTATGACTCGTCTAGCCCTCAGTCGTGCTGCTTTCAACTGGTTCCTGACGGTTCTGGTGCTGAAACGCCGATTGGGCAACCACAACTGTTTCAGACGAGTACTTGTTAAAAAGGGTTCTCGACATATGAGATGAAGAAGGTCCCTGTCTTCGGGATGTGTCGGCACAGGAGGTCTGAGCATGTTTCTCGACTGAATGGCTTACGACAGTGTGATGATACCCCAAATTCCGACCAATGGCATTACAAGACATTCTTGCATTATACATGCAGATTACTTGCCATCTTGTGGCGTTTGATAATCGCCTTTGTGCCATGGTTACACAATGTCATGTCATGGAATAATTGTTTAAAAGCGAGCTTAAGAATGCAATTTTAATGTTTGGATATAGAGATATTGCTTTTAGAGATAGTCGAGGGTAGCATGCTGCACGAGCATACCATGCATGGCATGTGAGCTTTCGTCATGCATGACTGATTACATCTTCTCGAGAAAACATAATTCTTCCTGTAATTATACCTTTCATGACTGTTACAAATATTGGGACCAAACAATAATGAAATATTTTAGGGTGTGCTTAAGCTTTTTTCTTTGTGTATCTATCAAACATGGCATTGTTTATGTCAAAGAAATCACTCAAATCTGATGATTCTTGAACTAGGATCAACAAACTCGTGATTTCTCCATGACATTTTCAGATTTGTGATTGAAATTGAACATTTGATGCAATCAAGTTTATTTTCAAAAAGGTGTTGTTGGTTAAGATGTTGGTAAAATCCAGTCAATTTTTGGGTGCTGAATCCCACTTGCAACACGTACCAACAAGTCAGATTGCAGCACACTCTCCCATTCATTTTTAAAATTCAGCCCTAACATGCCAATACTAATCCTCAAGTAGCAGTAATGAATAGTGTTGTTTAATTACAGATATGAATTTAATTAACTTTATTAAAATAATAGGACAACCAAGACTTTTGCGCACCTATCAAACCACTGTTTGATAATTCCTTGAAAAAGCCTTCACACGTCAACTGTGGTTAATTTTATAACGAGTAAGGTGGATAATTATGTAACAACAGTCACAACATCCAAGCAATCGTGACCAACTCTTGTTAATCCATGACATGCTGAATATCAACTTATGCCCCTCTCGTGTCCATTTTTGCGACAGGGTTTCATGTAAGTGCAAACAGGCATAGCTGAAAGAATTGTCAACTTTTTGCATAATGATTCACATATATTTACCCCATATACCATGTATATTCCAGATGCTATTGAAAACACATCGGGACGTACAGTAGTATACCATATGATTAAACGCATTCAGCTGTAACTTGGGTATGGTTTTAATTGCAAGACATATGTAAAAAAAAAATTCTGAAGTTAAACACTGGAACAGCCAAGTTTCACTGTTTTTCAACCCAACCTGATATATATGGTTTTCCCTGTATGTAAAATAATACTAATGTCTCATGTGCAGCCCTGTGCAGTGCAGGCACTTCCTACGATACAGACCTCAAGATGTGTGTGGCATGTGCCAAGGGAAGCTATCAGTCGCAGATAAACCAGCAGAGTTGTGTCCCTTGTCCCAACCAACAGACCACTCGAAACACTGGCTCCCTCACAAGCACTGACTGTTTATGTGAGTATAGTTTGTTTGTTTGTTTGTTTGTTTGTTCGTTTGTTTGTTTGTTGTGTAATTCCGAATAATGCAATATAACATGCAATCTACCAAGGCACTGAGACTGACAACCAAATCCATTTAGCCGCCTCTTACGACACCTGGGGATCTATTCTTACCGGACTCATGGAATCTGTCCAGAATAACAGAGTGCTGTACATCCTCTGCATATGTAAGATGCTGGCTGACATTGTTCCCAAAGATCATATGTTGGTTTGAAACTTCAATGATGTTTTGTAGTTTCTCCAAAGTTGTAAACAAGGCTTTCCTCCCACATCAAGCTGACATGCTGTGATATTAAGAAATACTATCCGAATCGGTTGTAAACTCACTATTCATATGAAGGATGTAGGGTAACCTAGTGGTTAAAACATTCACTCGTCATGTTGAAGACCCGGGTTTGATTCCCCACATGGGTACAATGTGTGTACTCATTCTAGCGTTCCCTCTCCGTGATATTGATGGAATATAGCTAAACATGGCTTAAAATCATACTCACTCACTATTCATATGCCATGTATACGATATTTTCTAGTTTGCCAGTGGAGACCGAAGCTGTCTCTGTGGTGCTGTGTAACTGTGTCCCATGCACTCCACTTCAGTACACATGTACCTATCCGATCGTTCACATTGAGACTCTGGAGAATAGGGTGAAATGTTACGACTACTGTTGGGCCATGTTTCAGCCCTGTGTATTCTGAACGAGCACAACTGTACAGCGCCATCTGAGTGTGCGGACGCCCCGGCAGGCTTCACTTGTAGATGCTCTCGCGGCTACGCCGGACTCCCCAACAACTGTACACGTATGTTCAAATACTCTTCATGTTCAGATAGCCTACTATTCACTTTACAACACTACACATACATTCAAATAAGCCTATTATTCACTTTACAACACTACACATACATTCAGATAGCCTACTATTCACTTTACTTACACCACACAGACATTCAGATAAGCCTACTATTCACTTTTCAACACTATGCTTACATTCAGATAAGCCTACTATTCACTTTTCAACACTACGCTTACATTCAGATAGCCTACTATTCACTTCACAACACTGCACTTACATTCACATAGCCTACTATTCACTTTTCAACACAACGCTTACATTCAGATAGCCTACTATTCACTTTTCAACACTACGCTTACATTCAGATAGCCTACTATTCACTTTTCAACACTACACTTACATTCAGATAGCCTACTATTCACTTTACAACACTACACATACATTCAGATAGCCTACTATTCACTTTACAACACCACACATACATTCAGATAGCCTAGTATTCACTTTACAACACCACACATGCATTCAGATAAGCCTACTATTCACTTTACAACACCACACATACATTCAGATAGCCTACTATTCACTTTACAGCACCACACATACATTCAGGTAAGCCTACTGTTCTCTTTACAACACCACACATACATTCAGATAGCCTACTATTCACTTCACAACACCAAACATACATTCAGATAGCCTACTATTCACTTTACAACACCACACATACATTCAGATAGCCTACTATTCACTTTACAACAACGGGCATACATTCAGATAGCCTACTATTCACTTTACAACAACAGGCATACATTCAGATAGGCCTACTATTCACTTTACAACACCGGGAATTCATTCAGATAGGCCTACTATTCACTTCACAACACTACAAATACATTCAGATAAGCCTACTATTCACTTTACATCACCGGGAATACATTCAGATAGCCTACTATTCACTTCACAACACTACACATACATTCAGATAGGCCTACTATTCACTTTACAACACCGGGCATACATTCAGATAGGCCTACTATTCACTTCACAACACTACACATACATTCAGATAGGCCTACTATTCACTTTACAACACCGGGCATACATTCAGATAGGCCTACTATTCACTTCACAACACTACACATACATTCAGATAGGCCTACTATTCACTTTACAACACCGGGCATACATTCAGATAGGCCTACTATTCACTTCACAACACTACACATACATTCAGATACTATACCTAATACTATGACCTCGACAACTGTACACACATGTTTAGATACTATACACCTGACAACTATAAACATGTTCAGATAGTCTGCACCTTATAACCATACATGCATGTTCAGATACAATATACCTCACAACTGACTTCAAACTGTAGGTGGTCAGTTATCTTTGATGTATGTATCTCCTGTAGATGTGTGTGACCTGCCTTCATACTGCAGTAACCAGGGAGTTTGTCAGCGAGACAAGTTCCCCTCCTGCCTCTGCCCCGACCTATACGATGGGGAGAAGTGTGAAATCAGACTAGGTGAGTCTAGGAAGATGGGTGAAATCAGACAAAGTGAGTCTAGGGAGATGGGTGAAATCAGACTAGGTGATGGGTGAAATCAGACTAGGTGAGTCTAGGGAGATTGGTGAAATCAGACTAGGTGAGTCTAGGGAGATGGGGGAAATCAAACTAGGTGAGTCTAGGGAGATGGGTGAAATCAGACTAGGTGAGTCTAGGGAGATGGGTGAAATCAGACTAGGTGAGTCTAGGAAGATGGGTGAAATCAGACAAGGTGAGTCTGGGGAGATGGGTGAAATCAGACTAGGTGATGGGTGAAATCAGACTAGGTGAGTCTAGGAAGATGGGTGAAATCATACTAGGTGAAACTCGGGAGATGGGTGAAATCAGACTAGGTGAGTCTCGGGAGATGGGTGAAATCAGACTAGGTCAGTCTATGGAGATGGGTGAAATCAGACTAGGTCAGTCTAGGGAGATGGGTGAAATCAGACTAGGTCAGTCTAGGGAGATGGGTGAAACCAGACAAGGTGAGTCTAGGGAGATGGGTGAAATCAGACTAGGTCAGTCTAGGGAGATGGGTGAAACCAGACAAGGTGAGTCTAGGGAGATGGGTGAAATCAGACTAGGTCAGTCTAGGGAGATGGGTGAAACCAGACAAGGTGAGTCTAGGGAGATGGGTGAAATCAGACAAGGTGAGTCAATGTTTGATGGGTGAAATCAGACTAGGTAAGTCTAGGGAGATGGGTGAAATCAGACTAGGTGAGTCAATGTTTGATTGGTGAAATCAGACTAGGTAAGTCTAGGGAGATGGGTGAAATCAGACAAGGTGAGTCAATGTTTGATGGGTGAAATCAGATTATGTAAGTCTAGGGAGATGTATGAAATCAGACTAGGTGAGTCAATGTTTGATGGGTAAAATCAGACTAGGTGAGCCGAGGGAGATCGGTGAAATCAGAAAAGGTGAGTCAAGGGAGATGGGTGAAATCAGACTAGGTGAGTCATGGGTGAAATCAGACTAGGTGAGTCAAGGAGATGGGTGAAATCAGAAAAGGTGAGTCAAGGGAGATGTATGAAATCAGACTAGGTGAGTCTAGGGAGAAATGTGAAATCAGACTAGGTGAGTCTAGGGAGATGGGTGAAACCAGACAAGGTGAGTCAAGGAGATGGGTGAAATCAGACTAGGTGAGTCAAGGAGATGGGTGAAATCAGACTAGGTGAGTCAAGGAGATGGGTGAAATCAGACTAGGTGAGTCAAGGAGATGGGTGAAATCAGACAAGGTGAGTCTAGGGAGAAGTATGAAATCAGACAAGGTGAGTCAAGGAGATCGGTGAAATCAGAAAAGGTGAGTCAAGGGAGATGGGTGAAATCAGACTAGGTGAGTCATGGGTGAAATCAGACTAGGTGAGTCAAGGAGATGGGTGAAATCAGAAAAGGTGAGTCAAGGGAGATGTATGAAATCAGACTAGGTGAGTCTAGGGAGAAATGTGAAATCAGACTAGGTGAGTCTAGGGAGATGGGTGAAACCAGACAAGGTGAGTCAAGGAGATGGGTGAAATCAGACTAGGTGAGTCAAGGAGATGGGTGAAATCAGACTAGGTGAGTCAAGGAGATGGGTGAAATCAGACTAGGTGAGTCAAGGAGATGGGTGAAATCAGACTAGGTGAGTCAAGGAGATGGGTGAAATCAGACTAGGTGAGTCTAGGGAGAAGTTTGAAATCAGACAAGGTAACTTGAAGGGGGCCCTATCTCTTAAGGCATCCACAAGTATGCCAGAAACCTATGTTTTTCCCAATCGCCCTGTATAACTTTCCACCCACTTCAAACTGACACACTGTGATACTACTGAAATACTGTGTTGAACCAAAGTCACTCACTCACTCACACCCTCACTTACTCCATACCATTGATGTTTCAGCACCTGCATCTGATAACAAAGATGCAATCATCGGTGCAGTCATTGGCGCTTGTGTAATTCTACTGTTTGTTGGGCTGATTCTAGTGGGCATTTATGCCTGTCGTAGGTAAGTATGACTGACTTGCTACTGCTGGGCCTGGTCCTGTAAGGAATCTGGGACAGTCATTGTTAAGTATGATGTTGCTTTGGGGCTAAGAGCTACATGACCCTCGCCAAATGGACGTTTGGAGTAATTATGTGTTTTTCCGCCTAACCTGGTCTAAGCATACAATGAACATATCTTAAGTTTTTCTCAGCTGAAATTTTGTTCTATATTCATAATTAGACAACTAGGTCAAACTTGCTCATTGTTTAATATTCTGGATATGATAAAGTGAAACTTCTCAAATTCTTTCAGCTATGTGTGTTTGTCTTTTCTAAAGACTTACTCCTGTGATAAGACGGTTACACTATTTTACATGTATGTTGCTGCAGACCCGTGAAGATGCAGGTTAGAATAGGTCTTCAGCATCCCACGCTGCTTGTCACAAGAGGAGACTAACGGGATCGAAAGATCAGGCTTACTGACTTAGTTGATGCATGTCATCGTATCCATATCGCATAGATTGTTGTTCACAATATCCATCACTTGATTGTCTGGTTCAGACTTGATTATTTACAGGCCGCCATCATATTGTTGTAATATTATGGACAGCTGCATTAAACAACAAACTTTGTTTCAATGACTTTAATGTTTGCATCTAGTGTTGGCTTGACTCTAAAGCATCAGTAAAGTTTGTAATCAATTTTTTATAAGAGTGTAATTGGAGACCAGGATATTTTACCATTCATTTGAGGGAGTAGTGGGTTGGTTATCTTGGGTTGTATACTCCCTAGGGAGCTGAGAATGATAATTGAGTGCACACTGATCCATTGCTTGGGGTAATAGTAGTGCACTTGTGATTATCATTTACAAATCCACTTGGTGAATGGAACGTTATGTTATTATTGTTGTCGTTGTTTTTATTATTAATATTAACGTGTTCAATGTGTGACACCCAATCAATTCCTGTTGCAGAAGACCCCCGCCATCTGAGTCTAATGAACAACTGGACGAAGACAGTACGAGCATGACTCCATCCAGCTTTGTAGGTACCCGTGCTAACACAGCCAGGTATGGCCCCTTCATGGTAGCACTGGCCCCAGCGGAACATGGCGGGGCGTACGACCCCTCCTTCTACCGAAAGCAGAGCGACGTGGACAGGGGCTATATTCACTACGAGAATGCCAGTATTAAACTTGCGTAGACAGACTGTGATGGAAGTTGGAGCATGAGCAGTTGTTTCATCAGACTTTGTGGAACTATGCAAGACTGTTGTCGACTACCTTTGTCAGATTGCTGACATGACATGGCCATCTTGAGGCTTGAACACCGTCTGTGTAAGCTCATCTAGATCATACTAGTGTCTTACCTGCTGGACCAAAGCATGACTGTGATTGTTCATAATAGGCTTTCATACTCACTGACAGCCAGAAAGCAACATGACCGCTGACACAAATCCATGATCTCTCTGCTATATGAGCTCTGTTTCGAGCGTATGCCATGTTCTTGACACATGAAGTCTTTTGAGCAAGTATGTCCTACAGATGGATTGTGTTGGGCAGGGAGGTGATACAGTGGAATATACCAGTGAGAGACTAAATAGTGGGATATTACCCTAAGACTGATCCAGATCATTATGGTGATAAACATTACCGTATTCAACATAATAAGCGCCCAGGGTGCTCTCAAAATTAGAAGTAGGGGGCTCTTATTAGAATATTATTTTGGCGAAAGATAAGAGTTGAAAGAGTTGAAAGATAAATTTTGTTGTTTATGCTGATATATTTTTTCAGAATTTAATTGCCCATAATTAAGGGTGCATATAACACACAAGTGTGTATTATACGCTAATAAATAAGTCTTGTGTACATTGATTAATCAGAAGGGATGCTAATTTGGATTGTTCACTAGCCAATATATTAGCAAATATCGCCGTTGGCACTTATTACGTCGAATACGGTATATCATACTTTAATCCATACTTCCTTCTGAGGGTTGTGTCCCTTGACGAGCCAGGATCTTCTGGTTATAAATCCCAGATTTTCCAATTTATTATGTAAGGTCAGAGAACTTCTATAAGTAGATTTTAAGATCAAAATGTCTCCCTGTGTAACCTTGGGACTTGGTCTCACATTTAGCTGACACAGTTTCATAAAACTGACATATTTACCATTCATACACATGGCTTCTAACATGCACTGAATTCAAGAATATTAACACGACTCACTCTTGCCATGGATGGTTTTACGCTGATGAAGGGCATTCTATTAGCATTTTATATCTTATTTATTTTGATCATTTTGCAATCCTTATAGCTGCACTCAACAACATAAAAGTGTATACTAGTTTACTGTAAATCTTGAAATTAATGCGCCTCCAAATTAATAGGACTGCTGAACCCCCCAAAATGCGACTCACACCATCCCCACCCCATGACTGACTGATATAGAAGATTTAACGTGCGCTTTCCGACTGCAGCGTATTTCGCACACGGGATACCCAGTGAAATTATATATATCCTTACCTTCATCCAATGAAACCGCAAATAGCACCGCTTATTAGCACTAGGAAGGGCACTTCTGGAATAACAATAAACAGTGTTTTCCTAAAACAACATGCAGTTTATATGTTTATTCTGTTGACTGGCATTAAGGAAGCTCAAAGGCAATAAAATAATTGAACCAACAACAGTTCACTGATTGGGGTGATCAATGTTGCCTAGTTTGACAAGTGTGGGTAGAACTCTTGACCACAGCAGTAATAACTCACTGGATGCCTATTGTGTAATTTATTGTGTAATTCCTATTCTTAAAATGACATTGTTATATAGTTGTAACAACTGCTGCTGAATAAACTGTGTTTGTGTATATATTCAAGTTGGTATTTCCACTGTTCAACATAAACTACCATAACGAACACCAAATAGGAAACCAACAACAAAACTGCAAACAATCAAACGTATTCACCCCAAAACTTAAAATCCCCAAAATAGACACATCCCTAGCCAACACAATAAACAAACAAACCGACCCAAACCTAGCTAAAAGCACATCACTAGCTTACATCCATCAAAAATGGCCAAATTGGTGTCACATATACACAGACGGATCCGCTGATCCGATCACAAATCACACAGGTTTCGGAGTCCATATAGCCCAACCAGTCAAAAATACTCAATCCTTCCGACTCCCAAACAACCAATCTATATTCACCGCAGAGCTCATGGGTATCGCCACGGCGCTCCACAGCCATCACACCAAAAACCAAAAAAAAATCTTAATACTCTCAGACTCACTAAGCGGACTTCAGGCCCTCCAAAACAAAAACACCAAAAACCGCCCCAAATTAATAAACCAAATTCTCAAAAGCGTAAACAAACTAACAGAGGCAGGCAAAAACATACAACTTATCTGGATACCAGCTCACGTAGGAATTTACGGGAATGAAAACGCAGACAGAGCCGCAAAACAATCCCTAAAAATACCAGACATAAGCCTTAAGCTACCAATATCTAAAGCAGAAATCAAAAGTATAAACAAACGTAAAATCACCCAAAAATGGCATAACCTCTATCAAAACACAAAAACCCAAATCCTAAAAACCCTCAAAAAACCCCTCACCAAACCAAAAATCCTCCATCCCTCCAAAAAAATCGATAGAATAATCACCAAACTCCAAACAGGACACACCAAACTAAATAACCACCTTCTAAAACTAAAAAAACACGCAAACGGGAAGTGCCCACACTGCACTCACCCAGAAACAATAGACCACGTACTACTACATTGCACCCACTACCTCACACAACGTACAACATTACAAACCAACCTAAATCCAAATAACGCTCTTACCTTAGAAGCAATCCTTAACCCCCAAAATAAAATAGAAAACTTCAAAGCCCTAGGCATTTACCTAACCAAAACAGAACTAATTAACCGTATTTAAAACTTCACTAAACCACCAACACTAAACATCCAAAAAACATCAACTCACCCCCACACACTCCCTTAGTCCCAACCACTCCCCCAAGGCATGTATTCCAAATCTCAAAATTTCAAAACTTTATATAAGCAACCACTAAACCCCCCTCCTTGGTTGCACTCCTCTCGCTACCACTTTTATACCACTAAATGGCCCGGCCGGGCCCGTGTGCGAAATACGCTCCAGTCGGAAAGCGCACGTAAAATCTCCTAATATAAGTAAGTAATCCACTGTTCAAAGTGTGCAGAGAGGCCATCTATTTGTTGATTTTTTATCATTTTGGAGACACAAATGCGAAGTTTCATTAATGCGAACAAAGACCACTTGCATTTTTCACATTTAATTCACGCTCGCGTTAATTTCAAGATTTACAGTATTTCAGTTACTTTGAAGAAGGTTCGAAGATGTTTGGAGAATTCTCTTTTTATACTCTGCCAGATTTTGTTCAGCACATTATGATTTGTTTCTATACGTGTAATTCCACACAGAATAGGAATGTGTTAATACCATGTTGTGATGTTGTTAAACGTTGACGTGGTATGGGTGGTACAAATAGGACAGAGGGTTAGTCTTCTTTAAGTGGTTAATATATGTAAGAAAAGAAAACTGTGATTATGATTTACAAACGATTAACAAAATCATAAAATTTCAGTTGAATTTATATATTCAATAGTTATGTCTTTTTAGTTATGAAAGATTATCTAAAATGCATATATATATATATATATCCAGAGGATATTCATGTATCTTTTACTATGCACTTAAAAACAATCAGTGTGACAATTTTACATGCTCAGCATTATTTTTAAATCTTTGAAAAAGAATAGGTTGTCTGAGAAGGGAGACAACTCTGAGGCATTGACAACTAAAGGGAGACAATTCTAACAAATACCTCCAAGGCAGTAAAGGTGAGACAGTTCTAATTAGTAATTCTGAAGTATTGACAGTAAAAGGGAGACAGTCCAACCAAATACTTTCAAAGCGTTTATAGTTACAGGGAGACAATTCAGAACAAGTGATAAAATAGCCGTTGTAAACAGAGACATAATAATAAATAATTATTTTATAGTCTCTGTTATCAATCATGCATTGTACCAAAAATATCTAACAAGAAGAACAGGTTTTATAAGTGACTAGGCAATGCTTTTTCACTTATGGTATAAAAACAATAATTTCATTTAATTCCCGGTGTGATTTTTGTATGTTTATCATATTATGGTAATCATTATTTTATCAACACTGAGATTGATAAGATTTAATCATAAGCTGTCAGTGAACCAGTGGGCAAGATTGTTGGATTCTATATGTTGTCCTAATTTATTGTAATGATGCTTGATTTCTGGCAAATCGACCATCGGGTAGTCTAGTGGTTAAAGCATTACTTTTCACGCCGAAGACCCAGGTTTGATTCCAGACATTGGTACAATGTGTCCAGCCCATTTCTGGTGTCCCCGCCATGATATTGCTAAAAGCGGCGTAAAACCATACTCACTCACTCACTCGGGCAAATCAGTTTTTAAGGGCACAATTGCCCTGCTGTTGTCACTAACATCCTCATGAATATGCAAGTAGTGTCTGTTCTTTTCTTTCTGTACACATGGTATAGTGGTCAATTTATTTCTCTACAAAATATTTGTAAAAATGTTGACATAAACCTCACAGAATAGTGAATTGTACAGGAATGGCATTTTAATAAATTATTTATTTTTCCATGTCAATGCATTGTGTTGTTCTTCATGTGTGATACTGTGCTGTGCATAGGCGGATCCAGAGGGAGGTCCCCCTGTCTCTGACAGAAGCTAGTTGATGGTTGGAGACCGAACTGAGGAAGAGAGAAAAAATATGATCATTGCATTATATTTCTGGGAATATGTATAAAATATGCTGCAGCAATAAAATATATTCTGAGCCCATATGCTGAATGTTACCCATATGCGATTTATCTTCCCACTAGACACACCGTGAGCTGAATGTAAACCATGTGCTATTTATCTTCCTATTAGACACACCATGAGCTGAATGTTAACTATGTGCTATTTATCTTCCCATTAGACACACCGTGAGCTGAATGTTAACCATGTGCTATTTGTCTTCCTATTAGACACACCATGAGCTGAATGTTAGCGATATACTATTTATCTTCCCAATAGACACACCATCAGCTGAATTTTAACGATATACTATTTATCTTCCCATTAGACACACCATGAGCTGAATATTACCCATGTACTATTTATCTTCCCATTAGACACACCATGAGCTGAATGTTAACTATGTGCTATGTATTTTCCCATTGAAACACCATGAGCTAAATGTTAACGATGTACTATTTATCTTCCTATTAGACACACCATGAGCTGAATGTTAGTGATATACTATTTATCTTCCCATTAGACACACCATCAGCTGAATGTTAACGATATACTATTTATCTTCCCATTAGACACACCATAAGCTGAATGTTAGCGATATACTATTTATCTTCCCATTAGACACACCATAAGCTGAATGTTAACCATGTGCTATGTATTTTCCCATTAGACACACCATGAGCTGAATGTTAACGATGTACTATTTATCTTCCCATTAGACACACCATAAGCTGAATGTTAACGATATACTATTTATCTTCCCAAATAGACACCATAAGCTGAATGTTAGCGATGTACTATTTATCTTCCCATTAGACACACCATAAGCTGAATGTAAACGATATACTATTTATCTTCCCATTAGACACACCATAAGCTGAATGTTAGCAATATA